ATCACATGGGTGTGGCATGGGACTAACAGTGGTGTCATAGAAGCATTTATAATATGTCATATGTCATAAAAAGTCAGTATTTGTTAGAAAAATTCACCCGAGACCGATGTAAAAATCATCAAACGGGACATTTATTCTTGCAAGGAGACAGGGTTGAACACATACAGAATATGAGTCAAAGGTTTGTCTCTGAGTCTCTGACATTTATACAGGAGAAACAGGCCAGTGCGCTGGCAGAGTAATTTGCATACACTATGGAAAACACACAAATTCCTTGGCACAGAGTAATTTGCATACACTATGGAAAACACACAAATTCCTTGGCACAGAGTAATTTGCATAAAGTCTGGAACATCTTTTGGAGACGTTTCTTTGACAATTCGTTGGGTTAAAGGTCATCTTATCCTAATCAGGAAACGTCATGGTTGCAAATGAGCTCTGAGTAAACACTGACATGGTCAACAGGTTTATTATCTTATATTTAGGACAAACAGATGAAATGCTCACCAAGTAGTCATCTGTGACACCTAATCACAAAACCAGTTGAGACACTTGGTGTCGGAGGAAGTTCACACAAAGTTTCACATGAGGACACAGGCCTTTGGAGCAAAACATTCCTTAGTGTTTTGTATTGTATGTCATTGAAAATGTAATGGTGTAGTATTTCTTTAAAGAAGTGTCATAATCTCATACTATTGTATGCAATACAAATGTGTAAATTATGTAAAAAAAAAGTCACTATACTACTTCATAAAAAAGTCATGGTATCGTATGTCATAAAAATGTCATAATATGCCATAAAAATCACAATATAGAAAGCTATAAAATGTTATAGCTATAAAACACCCTTGAGCCGAACCGGCAGCTGAGACGCTGAGAGGAGTGTGGCGTGGATCACTCCGGGCACAGCCGTGTGGGCTGTTGTCACCATTATTTTGTGTCGCCCTCTGATTAGCAGAGGGTAGCTTTCTTTTGCCAGTTAGTTACCTAATGAACATTCCTTTGGTTAAACCTCCGCAGTACTCTCTCTCTCTCTCTCTCTGGGAAAATAACACCGTTACTCCCCGCATCCCTTAGATGCCAAAACGGGGAACGTAACAGCATGCCATAAAACGTGATGAAAAAAGTCATAATATAGCATGTGGTAAAAATAGAAAAATGTCAAAGTAAAGTATGTCATAAAACAATCCTATTAGGGTACCACAACCTCCCAGCACAAACACAACTTAACATCAGTGTCAGTATCAACATGCAGAGAACAAAATGAAGGGAAACTGAACTACTTCTTCTTCTTCTGTGGTGTTTAACGGCAGCTTGCATCCTTTTTGTTGCATTACTGCCATCTTCCGGTTTCAGTCAGTTCCTATGTTCCCAACTACTAAACTTTCCCCATCAGACCCGTTGCTCGCAAAACGTTTGTAAAGCACCTTCTTCCCAGATTACTAGATCCCCACCCTGTTATATTATTCAGCTCTCATCCCTAATCTTTGCATTTCTCCCAGCATGCCCCTCCTTTCTGAGCTGTGTCTAATACAGGAGGTGATAACATGTTGTACAGTTTCTGGTGCCTGGCAGTGCTCACAGAGACCGGTTGGATGCTTCCCTATCATGTGTCGATTGCTGTGCCCTATTCTTAATCTTGATATTGTAACGTCTTCTCCCTTGTATTTTACACTGGGGACACTGAACTCCTGAGGCTTCCTTCTTTTATATTGGGCCCCACTCTGATTGGCTATAGCTCGAAATCTGTGGAACCCATGGAGCAGCATGACTGGCCTGCACAGGTTGAAATCAATCACCTGATTGGCACCTGAAGAGGAAACAAGGGAGGGAGGGAAAAAGAAAGGCAGGAGGAGCGAAAGCGCTTGACACATAACAGCATATAAAAAAAAAAGTCAGAAAAAAGTCATAGTATAGTAAGTCGAAAAAAAAAGTCATAGTATAGAACAGGAGTCACTAATAGGCTAATGGTCTTCATTAGACGTTGAACAGGTTGCAATTAGCTGTTTGGTGTCTGTCTTCCCCTGCTGTCAGGAATCATTATTTTAGCCACCGTCAACTCTTATCTTCACTCTTGATTTTTCTTCTAATTCTTGACTGTGTGAGTAAGACATTGAAACTTATTTCACCTCTGCAACAAAATGAATAATAAACACTTTTTAGTGTTGAAAATGACAGGAAAGAGAACCTTTTGAATGTAGTCACCTTTACTTCACATCTTGAAACAGAAAAACTTGATTGCATAACAGTCCACAACTCTCATTTAGCCCAGACTTTCAGATTCCACATCTGTGCATGTGAGGTCTGACAGGACCAATAACAACACACCTGAATGACAACATAAGACACACAGGCAGGCAACAACCAGCTAGACACTGAACCTTCGGCACTTTAGGGACAAGTAGCAGAAATGCAAATTGCACATGATGCATGTTAATAAATGATATATATATATATATATATTATATTTATATATATGTATAAATATATATGTTCAAACATTAGTGTCTTCAAGAAGAAATATTAAATAAATAGGAAGTAAATATTCAAATACCAAGTTGTAATGTTCAAACAACCACATGTACAACATATACCAACAACATGCAGGATTGATGGAAAACATCCAGCAATAGTGAGGAAGAAGGCACTGGTTTTACAAACTCTTAAACACACAGGCAAGCAGTAAAGTGATACAATTATAAATCCAAATCGAGTTTCTGCACAAAATGATTGAGCATCTTCTAACTGGCACATTAAGGATGCAATTCCTCTACAGTAAAAATAGCCTTAAGTCACTTGATGTTTCTTCAGTAACCTGGCATCTAAAGAAATGGTGTTTACAATTTGTAGACCATTTCCAGGACCGTTTCTCATGGTTTTAAACACAGTTATAACATTCTTAGTTGCTAAGGGGCTCCTCTGCCTTTGAACATTGATGTCCAGGGTACTTGGGTGCTGAAGAAGTCTCTTTGTCATTAATTTCTCTCTTGGTAACTCTCTGAGCTATCCCATAGGGCACGTGGCACGCTACTGTCCCCATTTCTGCTGCCCCCTCAACGTGAAACATCTGGTCGTCAAAGAAGATGTGCGGCCTGATCTTCTCAAGCATGGGGCCCTTTGGTGCCCCTGCCAGAAAGAGAGCCTCGTCGATCTCCAGACCCCATGAGCGCAGAGTTTTTAGGGCTCTGGTACCAGAGCTGGCTGCGCTGCGAGCTGTCACCAAGTAGGTCCGGATTGGGCAGTCCATGCGCTGGCCTTTGCCATAAAATTTCTTCTGTAGCTTTCCTAAAGACTCCAGGAAACCTTTCAACGGCCCCTGCAGAAAGAAGAAGGTATAGAGTAAGCACACAGCCTCCATTTGGTAGTTTCTACATTTATATGTGGCTCATTACGCAGTCAAATCTACACAATTGTTAGATTCTGGGCCAAAAGGCAAAGTTCATAACACACTGTGCTCTGTATGCAGAGTTTGCCAGCTGCTTTATAGTAACTTGGGACTTACTTTCATTGTATTGGCTGTCATTCATATTGGTATAATAACATTGTTATTACCAAGTTGGTTCCTGAGATCTGGAAATGTGGTGAGATCATTAACAGAAGTGAGACGGGGCAAGAAATAAGCTGTCGGGCCTGTTTAAAACAAAATATGTTTGAATAAGAGAACGCAAATGATAAAATTAAGAACCAAGTTTAAAGACCAAATGCCTTGTTCATCTTTGACCTCATGTACTTACTCATGCACAATGTTTTCCTGATGAATTAGGGATTGTTGCCGACTTTTCAGGTGCGCTCACTTTGAGTTTTACTTCTAGTTGAGGTTCTTTTGATAATCATCTGACTGCTTGTTTCTTGCTCTGTTGGATTTCTGTCCTGTTTGTCGTTCCCTGTCTATTCAAGGGTGAATGTATTACATGCACGACATGTTCAATAGAAGTGTGACATGGATAATTCATTTGTCACTATGTGTATACTGTACATGGTCCAGAAGCTTGTTCTCGTGTGCCTTCTCGTGCTCAAAGAACTTGTCCAGTCCATGGGCCTTGTAAATGCGCTCAGACTCATCAGAAAAGAGGACGGCATCGCCATCAAAGGCGACACGCAGCTGAGTTTCCGACACTTCCGCCATCTTCTCTGGGGTGAACATAGTGGCTGCTGCTATTCCTAAATGTTTGGTGGAGAAAAACGTGTGTATAAATTAATCTTACATAGCATGTAGCAGAGACACTAACTTCTGCCTCTTTAGTGTAATGTCACAGCTTCTAAGTAATATACCTTCTTCCAGAGCTTGCCGAACCTTGACTGGATCAGCTGACAGGTAAAGGTTAGTGTGGTAGGCCTTCAAGTAGCCTATGGGACTGTTCCCCCCTGTCATACAGAAGCGCTCAATGAACAACTCTGCAGAGAGGAAGAATTAAGAGATCAGTGGACAGCTGATGGGCATAAAATTAAAGATAGGCAAGAGTCGACTGATCACAATGGTGTGAAAGAATCGGGGACATGACGACCTATTTTTACATAACTGATTATTGTCAACGTCAAATACTGATTGCTGGTGGTGTGTGGCTTTAGAAGGAGGCAGAGCAGAGGAAATGAAGAGCGCCAGGCGACCCCTTAAACTGAGAGGGAGTATGTCCACACTCAGGGATTCACAAAAGGACAATGATGCCCACCCACTCAATTCTAATTTTGTGAATTTGTTGAATTCCTTTTGTTGATGTATTATTTGTGGACATTCCTTGGAACTCAGTTAATTGTAAGTAACAGTCTTTTCAAACCCTCTGTCTTGCGGTGAGCTGTGCGATAAAGAAACCCGTCGTGAGGCTCTGTCCGTCATCAAAACACAGGTTCCTCTAACATGCAGCTGCGAGTCCTGAGCTCCTCTACTGCAGCAGAATGTGTGGCAGCAAACCTACACATTCACCAGACATTAACTTTCCTTTTAACTATAAATGTCCATGTCATACATTCCTCAATGTTCATACTCACTCAGAAACTCTTTAGCAAAAGTGTTTCCCAAACGCACTCACTCAGCACCACGGACAGCAGCCTGAGCCGCAAATGTATCAACGCTAATTTAACAGCTTGTCCTGGACTAAGCGACACAATGTTATCACAGACACAGATTACAGTAGGTGCGCATTTACCAACATACGAATGGTAACAATTACATTGCTATAGCTTTAAATCCATGATCCCACTGCAGAAACAAAGAGAAATCTGTACCACCCATTAGAAGTTTATGGGTGTTTCTTCTTCCGACTAGAAAGTCCAAAGAATGCTCCTAAAATCCTAAAAAACATTATCAGAGGTAAAGATTATAAAACCTAATTCAGAATATCTTTGGACAGAGCCAAGCTAGTTTTTCTCTCTGTGCTTAGATAACCGTATGCTGGCTCCAGGTTCATATTTAATGTACAGACATGAGTGGTATCAATTTTCTCATCTTACTCATGGAAAGAAAAGCAAATAAGCATTTCAAAATGTTGAACTACAGCCTTAAATCTGTCATTTCATGGATGTCCTGTGAAAACCACAGATATGTCAGCCCTGTATTCAGTTTCATGACAAGGCATTTTTCAGATAATCTTTAGCTTGAAAAGTACAAAAAAAACATATAAGACCTCTTGATCCTTTAGTTTATTTGAGTAATTAAAAATACCCAAATATTGATGACACGAGTGCGTTTTTATTATTCATGTGCATGAGTAACTCACGGTGATGATTGATGGTATTGATGAGTCTTAGGCCGACGTATGCGTGGTTGTTGGTCATGAGCACAACATCAAAGAGCTCCTCGCTCTCGGGGTAAAGCTCCCTCAGTCGCGTGTTCACAGCCTCCAGAGCCTGGCAACACAACAAAACACAAAAACCAGCTGTAAAAGAAAAAAGATCATGCTATATCACAGCAGCGGGGATGGATTTGAATGTGAGTGGGTTGGTGTTTTATGCTTATTACTCATTCACCGCCTCCAGAGACACGACCTAACACATAACACTGACACCAAGTAATCCCTCTGCATTGGGTTCGATATAGAGTGTATGTGTTTGTTTCTCTGACCTTCACGAAAGAGAAGGCGGGTCCGGGGCTGAAGGGCAGCATTTCATGCTCCACCTGATACTTGATGTACTCCTCCATGCCTTGCTGCTCGTAGATGTGCTGCTCCTTCTCCATGTTGAAGAGGACTCGTGCAGACACGCCGATGGTGATGGCATTCTCCGGCTTGGGCTGGAGGATAAGAGTGAAAGAACATTTCACTTATACCCAGATTTGACTTATTCTTCACAAACACAGTTGCTTTATTTGAATAACAGTGTTTGTTATCCAGTCAGGTTCAGAGTTGTAACTTGTCTGCCTGTTACTCCTCTGCCTGTTCATAGTCTGAGCAGTAACATAAGAATATTGGAAACAGTTCTTGGCATTAAGGGATTATTTAATAAAGTCCTTATTGCCAACAGTGGGTAAACTGAGTGAGCTGATGTGACAGAATAGAGGTGACAGTGTGATATGACATACTTTCCACTGGACGACTCTGATAGTGGAGGCCCACATAGTACCAGGCTGGCTGACACATGTTAACTCTTTGGAGGCTGGGACGACAACACAAAATGTAGCACACTGTGTACATATGCTTGAACTGTTTGGTCATATTTTGACGTATGGGATGAAAACTTACTACAGCTTGATGAGTATTAAACCAAAAGTTAATGTCACATCCTGCAAGTTCCTGGAAGCTATAGTAGTTGTGTCTGTTTCTGTATTTTGGTGTATTTTCTCTGGGGAAGAAATCCAAATGAGTCGATAGCCTTCACGGAGAACCGTGCACCTGATCTGAAACAAGAGCCCTGTGTGCTTTGCTCAGTTTCCAGCCGACACAATGAAGCTGATCCACTGTATCCTGTTTCACCCAACTACATTTACACCTAACTTTCTTTCACTGAGGCTTCAAATGCAACACTTGCTAGTAAACCTGGTATTAACCCTCCTGCTGTTACCAAGGCTAGACTTTGCTAAAGTTGAGAGGCCAGATCAGTCATGGCCAGTGTGAAATAGGCAGCCTCGAAGTAGTGAAGTGTGGCAGTAAGAGCAACACAATTCTGCTCCACAAGCCATAACAACAAGCTGAATTTGACTTCACAGTTCACATCTGATATGTGCAACGAGCGTCCTCTTTGCTGTCACCAACTCTGACACGTCACATAGGAATGGAAACTCATAGGAACTGCTCCTGTAAGTGGATGCTGCATTCGGAAGGCTGTACTCACTGGTTTAGGTTTTCTGGTGGGAGTGGAGGGCTTCAACACCGTCCTTGCGTCTTCCCATTGGGCTCGGTTGCCGCTGCTGGTCAAGTCCTGTCCACTGCCGGTCAGAGACTTGTTTAGACTCATCTTACCGCTTGGGCTCACCACTCTCCTGTCTCCCTCAGATCCACACTGAGTTACAGCTCTGATAGCTCTCTTATCTCGTCTCTCTCTCTCTCTCTTTGGCCGGAGTTCCCATCAAAGTCCTTACTCACTCTTGCATATTCACAATTTGAATTCCGTCCTGGTGCACTCAAGAGATGAGATCACTCCGACTGCAGCCGCAGAGGCTTGGCCAAATGCTCTTAAAGAAGGGACGAAGAGAAAGAGTGAGATGTCGCAGAATAAAAGAGAGGTGGGCAGAGATTAATGTTCCCTAGCGTCATGCTAGATATTCCTTGTTCAGCCCTTCTGTGCTTGGCTTTTTCTGCCTTCTCCCGGTACTCACACACACTGATGACTTCAAGCCACAATGCATCCTCCCCCTTTTTAATGCTTTCAGGGTCTAACCTCCTGGAGCAGCAGCAGAGCATGTGATGTATGTGACAACATGGTTGATGCACCCTATTGGACAAATCAGGCCAGCATGTCAGAACACTGCTGCGTCATGATGCTTGTATCCTAAGAGAGAGTTGGAGTTGGGTGTCCTAGAACATAGAAGCAAAGCTATTTTCTCATACAATGCATCAATAGATCATTTAAAGTGAAGGTGTTTTTTTATTATTTTATAATGTTGCATTGTGTCCCATGTGCTCTGAGCTTCCAATAGCACACTGCTGTTTCATATTCCTGCTCAGCAGTGTGGGAAATGGTGTTCGTCCTGGGTCATTTGCTTCCCCCTGTGCATCAAATGATTTATTTATTTATTCTCTTCCCTTCCCATGTAAAACACTGCAGGATCTTTCCATCGATCGAATGACGGAGCAGCAGTCCCAGTTGCCAGGCAACGGCCAGGGAGTCAGACTGGCTGGGACGTCCACATCTTGGATCTGATTGGCTGCGGGGACACCAGACTGTATATATAGCCCTCCAGATATGGCAGTAATCAGAAACAGACCGGTGACGCAGGGAACAAAGATGAAAGGTTTGTCTTTGAAGAGCATAGGCGTAGAATAAATGATGTTAGATTGTACGAGAACAAAAAGGTAATTTACCGACTATGACGATACTGAACAGACATTCATGCAGGGACTCAAGGAACAAACGATCAATTAACACCTGATGGACACATACAGCCATTCTCTCGATGTACCTGTCAGCATTACAGAGGTAGTAAATGCTGACTGTTGACATCAAGGCTATGCTTTGCTGACACTATTAGTGACCAAAAGTCATTTTCAAAAAGGTGTTTCATTTTTTTCACTATTTTCAGTGTAGATATAGGGTTGCTTCCACTTTACTTTCCAGGTATTCATCAAGAATGAATCAAATTAAAAACCAGCAGGGGTCCATCACACCTATCTGTCCAATACTTCTAGAGGCAGCGCGCATGAAACTGACTGCAGTTGCAATTGTGCCCATGTTACCATCGGGATAATGTGTTTGGGACCACACACTCTCCTCCGGGCTCTCCAGAGACCAGACTCAAAGAGCTTTTATCGATTGACAGAGGACAGCTGAGGGATTGTGTGTCTTTTATTGTGTGGAACCTGAGGATCTACAATCTGTTTGCTCTATTAATTATTTGCATTAAAATCATACATGTTTGACATAATTAGGAATTAACAATGCACACTGTCTCAACACTTATTTGTGTAACAAAGAGCACAGAACAACCCTGTGATCTATAGATGGAACACTATATCCCAGTTGAGTCTCTCAGCAGTGTGACGGTACTGAAAGCTAAAGCAGTCATTCCTTGCATTACATGATCACAGCCACTAGAGCGCAGTAGAGGATAAACCTCTCAGCCCTGCAGCGTGGTCCTGAATACTTCACCGCTTCATTCATTGCACTGGGCGTTGCATACAAAGAGGACGTGAAAGAGATACTCTGCGAGTACGAGAGAGGAAGTTGATCTGAAAACAGGAGTTTTTGTGTCTTGAAACGCTTTCAATTTGGGTTTGTAGCTGCGTAGTGACTATACTCCTCTCTAGAGTGTGTATGTGGTAGTTAATATCCATTATTATGGGCTAAAACATATTGTTTTACTTGAATAAACCTTGTATTTTCAAAGAAAGACTAACATTCCGTTTTATTAAGGGAAGTTTGGTAAAGTTTGACAAAATAAAGCTTCAATAGTCTATACATTTGTCTATAAAGAGCCTCTGAAACAGCAAATAAAAACTGCACGAATAAAAACATCACATTCTGCTGCATATGTGGTACATCAATTATATATTTACTCTTGCTGTGGCAAAACTGTGAGCCCTAGTTGCTCTCTGCTTTTGTGTCTCTGCTTTCTAGTCTGGGGCTCTGAGGGGGTTAACAGGACATGGAGACAGTTGGGCCGCACCCACTGAGCTAATTTAAATAAAGCCGGCATTTGGCGCGAGGCTCAGTGGAGCCAGCCTTTCTTCATACCGGCTGTAACACCACCCCCATGCACCCTGGAGTGGCGGGAAATGCTGGAGAGAAAGAGGCACAGAGGTAGCAGTGAGAGAGAGAGAGAGAGAGAGAGAGAGAGGGGGGGGCGGGGGGGGGGGTACTGCACTGGCCGGTTTTGCACACCTTCTCTGGTCTGCAGTCGTTGGGTTACCCTGGATGCATGTCAGACACAAACAAAATGTACCTTGGGGGGGAAAAAAAGACAGTGAGAAATAAAAGAGGAAGGAAAAAGCAACACGCCTCCTTCTCTGTTTTGGCGCGAGACAGATACTGCTCTCTCTCTCTCAGTGGTAGGCTGTGGGTGGAGACAAAAGCAGGCATGATTGGAGTGGGCCAGAACAAAGAGGACAACAGCCCCCCCCCACACACACACACACACACCACTTGTTATCAGCCCCCACCCTTAACACACAGCCCGAGGGCTTGAGGCAAGGCAGATGACTATTATAACCTTAATCAGTCCTTCAAAGCAACCACTCAGGCATGTTTGCCACCACCAGATTCTTTGTTCTAACTGGGGTTCTACTTAGTTTTGGCTTGAACCCTTTTCATGTATAAAACTCACAGCCACACACGGATGATTTTACCAGACACAAGTAGAGGCCCCTTTCTTGCCGAGTTAAGAGCTGGCGATCATCCACCACCAGAGGACCCATATGAAGGTCATTTGTTGAAGCCGCATCCCAGGGCCTTTAACAGCAGCCACACCGCACTTTAAGTGACATCATTGGATTTGTTCTTATTGGCTTTCAGTGAGGCAACCGTCTAGATTCACCCCAACCCCCCTAGATCTGTAGTGTAAGTAAGTAAGTGGCTGGCAGCTGACTAAGCACCAGCATCTTTTTGTCTGGCAAAATCCACCCATCAGAGAGCAAAAAGAGCAGAGCAGCGGTTCTTCTCACTTCCTGCCTCCAATGGGCACAACACAAAAACAGGAAGTCTGTGCTGCCTGTGTGTTTCCTAGGCATTATAACAGAGCCTCTCTCTCTTTCTCACACACACACACAGGCCTATAGTTGGGAAGAGGAAAGCAGGGCACTGATTATTACATAAGCTCCACAGTGGCGGTCACTCAGGCCCTGACTACAACAGCAGTCACATTCAGACGCAGGCTGAAAAGAAGGAATTGTAACCATGCAAGACGGACAGAGGCGTCTATGCACTATACATTCACCATCAGATAAGAGACAATGTGATAACACACTGCATGTGTATGTGTGCGTGCGGGGGGAATCTGCATTTTAGCATTCAAATGTATATTCATTTAAATACACTATCGTCTCACACTGCAGCAATTGGTCAATAAATTGGCTTCTGATGGGGGTGGGAGGAGAGGGGGAGACAAAGAGCACTAGCACTAAAGTGAAGATCTAGAGGGGGGTTGCAGTCACAGTGGGGCCACTATGAGGTCTGCAGGGGGTTAAAGGGGACTTGGGGGAGGGGTTAAGCGTCTCTCTGAGTAGCTTGGGGGGGGGGGGGGTAGAAGGAGGCGATGGTGATGGCACTCAATGGAGCTAAATTCAAAAGATGCAGTAAGTGTCTCAACTTCAACTGAAGCAACCTTATACCACAGAGCTAAACAATGGAACATCTGCTGGCTGACAACGCTGTGAGAGCAGCAGTGGCTCTGATTTAAACTACCCCCCCAACAGTCGCAACAGGTTTCAACATATTTCTGAGATCATAGATACTTGGTATCAGCTCAATGACTTTGGCAGTCTGACTAGATTGCTCCACTTTATTTTGAAAGCATCAAATAGTTTTTAAATGTGGGAAGGTGACTGTATTCAAAAGCAGTTTGGGGAACATGTCAGATTCTACATCAAATAGTGCATCTACTTGTATCCCAGTTTTACAGGTTATGTGTTGGCACATTTACACATCGTATCTTGGTTTCAGAGACCCGGATCGGCCCTTCTCACACCTTTGAGAAACTTACAAGCTGGGGTACCAAGATGCAGTGGCACATAAACATCTTATCCATGTAATCGCTGTCTGCCATGCGTGCTGGGGCATTTATAACCTGAGTTGCAGAGAAAAAACAAAACAATTTGACCATGAACAATGCAATGAGGATCTACATGCTGAAACAAATGTGCCACCGTAAACAGAACATTGACATAGTATCATTATCGTTATAAGGTTAATGAAGCCTGATTAATGTTAACTCATTGAGGTATAAATAGTGCTAATATACTCATTCAAACACTACAACAGTCAAACATACACCCAAAGGACCATAATGGAAATAAGCTCCTGGACTTCATTGTGTTTTATCCTTCAGAAAAAAATCTATTCAATATGGCCAATGTGTAAGCTAACCCTTTTTTAATTTACACAACAAACAGACATGGAGAAACATAATTCATTTGGGGTTGTGTTTGTCTCCACCTGAACAATGTAAGTCAAATGTTTATTCTCATTTTAGCTCTTTTTTGGTATTCGCCAGCTCCTGAGTGAAATACCTGGCTATTTAGCTGTGTAATGCTCCACTGTGTTCACCAGCTAGTTAATACCTTTGTCTGTCTGCAGTGTGGTGCTGGGAACGGGAAAAGTAGTGGGAAACTGGTGCTTGGGGCGACCGTGGCTCACTGGGTTAAGAGGGTTGTGCTGGGACGTGTCACGTGTCGAAGTGTACCTGAGCAATACACTGAGCCCCAGGCTCCCCCCGGGCGCCTGTTCTTGGCAGCCCACTGCTCCCTATATACAGGGATGGGTCAAATGCAGAGACAAATTTCCCCCTTAAAGGGATCAATATAGTATAATAAAAATTTTTAAAAAGTAGGTTTTAGAGATTTTTTAGCTCAAAACAGCCGCCTTCTATGCCTGGAAATGATGCTGATGAAAGCTGATAAGATAGATGATAGCTTCAAGGCTCTCTTCCTGCTGACATCTGTCCTAACTTCAACTCCAGCCATGTTCCGACTGTTACATTCACTCATGCAGCTGCAACTTTTATGTTTCAGTATTATTAGCTCAAAGATGCTAACATACTCTGCAGAGCGGAGGAGAAGTGCAGAGTTGGTTGCTAGTTGATTATTCTCTGGAGGGTTTGTCACTGAAAACGACCCTTTTCACATAACACACAGTCATCTGATCGATTATTTAGCTCAAAATATGGTTTAGAGCAGCTTTGAGAATACTTTTTTTCTTGTTTTCATTGCTGGTGACATAATGAAGAAGCCAAACTCAACGGAGAGCTGGAGCAAGTCCAGGAAACCTAAAACCCAAGGGGCTTTATCCTCACCTGCCAAGGCTACTCAGACAGTATAGAAATGACAAACAATGGCACAATAACATGTCAGTACAGAGTCAGGTGATCAGATCAGAAATATGGACAATTAATCATGCATTTAGGCTTGTAAATGGTTTCACATCATATCCCCAATATGAAAAATAATAATGATAATATTGATCAGAGCCAACACCAAGATACTCATTGGGAACATAATGCCAGCTTTAGTGACTCACTCACTAGCCATGTCACCCTCACCCATTCAGTGTTTGTGTATGTGTTGGAAGGGGGGGTGATGAGTGAGGTTGCCTGGGTGAGGGCAGCACAGCTGTCACTGTTGAGCCCCCCCCTCCCCCCCCTCTCTCCTTGTGCTTATCCATTAACAAGCGCCATGGTTACATCGTCACAGCTAATGCTCCCTCTTATGTCTCCAGTGGCCAAAGACCCTATAGAAACAGATTACTCGTGTTTGTGCCTCTTACACATAACTTGTGAGGCTTTTTTCTCTAGTCTCCCATCCTAATTGCCTACTTTAGTAACATTGACCCATTTGCAGTGTTGGCCCTGCGTTTGTTTGTTTACCCATCGACTGTTGGACTGACCATCCTCAGCGTGACTGTGTCATAAATCCAGCCACTGACAGCTCACACAGTGTGATGGGTTGAAGACTTTTTGATGGGTTCATTATAATCAGAGCTGTGGTGTGTCTGGGTCCAGATGGCAGCAGTGTTTACACTAACGGGATTAGGATTAGCTCCAGATTAGACAGGCTGGTTGAAAGGCCTGCTCCGCTGACACGATATGGCCGCCTAGCCCCACGCTAACTCTGCTGAATTTGTCTCAGATGCTACTAACCCACAACAGACAAGATAGCTGTCTGCTGAGGGGGGTAAGGAAGGTAGGAACTACTAGGAAAAATACCAAAACATGTGGCCACACAACAGGTGCTGCACAGGAGCTCCCAACACTTTGCGTGATTATTTGGCTTTAAGGGGGTTTAATTGTTGTCCTGGCTGAGGTTTAAAGCAAAACTCTGGTTTGACACCAGTCACCTGTTGTCAGATGTATCCACAGAGAGAGGAACATATACAGCATGTTCCAACTGAATCATCACTGTTATGTAACATAGGCCTTAGGATAGGGAGGGTGAGCAACAGAGAGAGAGAGAGACAGAGAGAGAGAGAGAGAGAGAGGAACTGAGCACAGACGACTGACCTAGATCAGTAAATGGTGGAGATAGGTACCTGTGTTGGGGGGGCAAGAACCAGCAGACTGGGTCTGAGGGGGATTGTCAGGGAACAAGGGGTGTAGCGAGAAAGATAGGGACGCAAGAAGACAGCAGGAAAGGGAGATAAACAGGAAAGCAGGGAGTCAAAGAATGTGATTTCTTGCAGCATAGTCATTCTTGCGGTGGTCGGCTCATAGCCTCATTGGGATCAGACGGACAGAAGCCGCCACAGCCTCGGCTGAGTCCCAGTGACACAACCAGGCTGGAATGTGGGTCAGTAGGCTGGAGGACTAAGACCAGGGAAAGTTTCCTGCAATCAGTTGTGTGGGTGTGTGTGTGTGTGTGTGTGTGTGTGTGTGTGTGTGTGTGTGTGTGTGTGCCCTCACAAGCATGGTGCATCTGTTTGTGCCTCTTCCTGCTTGTGTTTCCCGCATCTTCCTTGACCGTCAGCCACTTGAAAAATAGAATAAGGGGAAGGATATGTGTTGAGCGTTGAGTAAGAAAAAGGGATAACAGTGAGTCCGGTTCCCCTCTCTCCAGCCGACTACGATTCCCACGGAGCATTCAACCGTCCCAAATCTCTGAACCAAGCCTCCTATTGGAAGACGATTCAATTCAACTGCAGATCATTCTCACACAGAAGACCATAAGGTTATCCTAACATAAACCTATATCTCCTCCTCTCTATTGTACGTCCTATATTCAGCCACATATAGGTCAGAGATAAGCAGCCAGTTCAACCATGCTGTTAGAATCACAAACCAGTGCAGCTTGCTCATGGTCCGTTTCCTCCTCTGCCCCACTGTGTAAACACGCAGTGTCTACATGCTATACAAACCAGGCCAGTCAGAACACAACCAGTTTACATGGTGGAAATGTTGCTCAATGTGCGTCTGTGTGTTTTTGCAGAGGTAAGAGATTCATCAGAGTGACAGCGATGGGGTTTTAAAAGTTGCGAAAGTTTATCCTCCCAATTTCCACGAACACAGATGCACTTTATATGTTGCTCAATTAGAAGCGTTTATGGTTATATGTAGTTATCGCACTCCTTTTTCAGATTCACACTCGTTTGACCTAGATAGTGGTTGAGGAGCAAGACATGCTGGTGCGAAGAGTATAACCGGTTGTGTTTCTTGTCAGGGAGACCTGCTAAAGATAAGACATGCTCTTGTGCTTTTGTGTTTTTGTGCCAATGTTTACAAGGTTGAGTCATTGTTCTGAGGGGATGCAGTTATATGCCAAAGGTTACACATGCAAAGAACATACTAAATACACTCACTCTTTAGGTGAAATGTGTCGGTAACCACACACATGCTCAAAAATAAAATGAAAGATTAATGAAATTGCTTTTTACATAAGACAAATATGTGTGTGTGTGTGTGTGTGTGTGTGTGTGTGTGTGTGTGTGTGTGTGAGGAGGATGTATAAATCGGAGAGAGGCTGCTCTCCATCCAGCCAAATCATCAATTCTCCACAGTCCCACCCTGATTGCACACATCACACACACTTCTGTCTGACCACCAGTAAAGGCTGTCACGTTCTGTCTTGTACCCTGGGAATATGTAGACCTCTATGACGCAGCCATGAACGGATCTCCTCTTACATCCGCCTGATATTGAATAAAGGGGACGGCAACAGGCTGCAGCTGTTTGGGACTAAAAGGCTTATTTTACTGCGGAAAACAAATGTAGCCGGCAGATGTGAGAGAATAAAACACATGTGGTCAAAGAGGACACAGTCACAGTTTGAGCATGTGTGTGAAAGTGATCACATCTGCACTTCAGAAGTCACGGCTCAGTGTGGGCGTCGCATGGATTTGAGAGCAGAAAGTCTAGTCTGGCAAGTTAACCGTCAAAGCAGAGTAGAACAGAGATGAGCATCCCACTGGAAGAAGAAATCCTCTTACCTCATTATTTCCTTCAGGGAAAACCCACTTTTTTAAAACATATCAGCATCATAATCACTGAGTGTTTATGCTGTTAATTTAGCACACATGCAGCTGCTGTTTCGGAGCTCCTATCAATGTGGGGGTTTTCCTCTTTAAACTGGATAAACTGTTGAATGTTGGGTTTTTTGAAGATATATACTTTGCATGTTGGTGTTGGATAGCTGCATTGCCCAGAAATGAACCATTAACTGCGCTAGCAGCACATCTCTTGGAGAAATGCTTTGAACCTTGACGGTTATTAAATTAATAATTGATTTTCTACTCTTGTGTTGCATCACTTCAGATGCATTTCATGCTCAGAAGGTAACAGGAAACAAATCAAACGGGCTGCTCCTATCTGGTCCAAGACCTGATATCTGATTTCTGCTTTCACTTCCTGATATACCGTTTGCTGTGACTAGACCTCATCACCCTTTCACTTAGTTTGCATTCCTGTATATATGTTGGCTGAGTGAGTTTATCGAGGAAATAGGAGTACTTCAAGGCACTAAGTTTTGCACAAGTATTAGTTATTTCTTAATTAAATGTCAAAGCAAAGTCAAGCAAAAAGCTTCAATTATCTATTCGATGGGGTCATTTATCTCTACTGAGCCTCCTGAGACTTAACACTGATTTTGTAAAGGAAATATTGAACTGTGCCAGAAAATAGTGCCCTCAGGGCCGAAAATGGGACCCAGAGAGTGAACCCAGGGAGGTGGAACACCACGCTATTCCTGCCGTAACAAAGGCCAGTGAGGTGTTGAGACGGTTGGAGTTCAGGGTGTGCCTGGCTCATCTGTCAGGCTGTACTTGAATGAAATGGTTGCTTTGAACCTAATACACAGATGACTGGCAGTCAAACCTGAGTCACCCAGTCTTGCAGAGACTCGTCTGAGAGGTCATCGACGGGGCAGCAGCATCTCACAGGAACATTGGTCATTGCATCAAACTTTGCCTTTTTTTAGTCCAATAAAGTTTTGTTAAACTTGTGGGTGTGCTCTCCATTTTGAACTCCATTGATTACCCGCACCCAAACTACCTGTCTGCAAATCATATACGCCAGTGTCGGGATCTTAGCCACCGCAGGGTTACGAATCCTACAGGGACTATGAACTGAAAATCTGTCGTCAGATTAGAGTCTCAGGTTACTGAACTAAGCATCTGCTGCTAAACACAACTGTTAATCTATCAGAAATCAAGAAAAAAAAAAAACTCTTTACTACAACCCTCAGCTCTACTCTACTTACACAAGTAGGTCTCCGGGAGAACAACAGATGCAGGAATCCAACTGGCCCACAACACACCCCCCCCCCCTAATTATATGGACCACAATGCAATAGAGTAATGCCAAAGTGTAGTAAAAGGCTTGTCACATAACAGATGCAAGACATATGACAGTGGACAAGAGGTGAATGTCATCCAACAATGAAGAACGTAGAAAGAGTTTCACTTTTTCCCATTTTACAGCCACTTACGATGAAGCAGCGCTGCATACCTGTGTGAATAACTGCACCAGATCCAGGTAGCAGGCAACTCAAACCCCCGTCTCCATCCAAACCACCGGGGACCGTTCTAAAGATACCCGACTGTATCTGTGTGTGTGTTAACCTAGTTCAGTGCAGCAGCCACTGCAGAGGGGAGGATCCACAACAGTATCACACACACACACACAGTCTCCAAGGGCAAGTCTCAAGGACAGCCCAGGTTTCACCTCCTGTGGACCAGCAGCTGGTGCACAAGATGCGTTTACACAACAGATACGGCAAAGTGACACAGCGGGGGAGGAAATCCTGCAGGTTACTTCTTGTATGTTGTGCCCTCATTTACAGCTGATCTGTAGATAGTTTCTCTGGAGAGGCACTACCACAGCAGCATGTGGTGGATCTTACCTACGATCAGTGTGAGGCCTGATAAATCTACAGCTTGTTACTTCCGCCTCAAACAGAAACTAACAAATTTTGATGGCACGGTCAAGATGTTATTAATATTACAGAGGAATACGGCAACTTGTGTCTTCGTGCATGTCATTGCATAATATTTTAATAAAAACAAGATTACAGGTTTGTATGCAAATATGGTATAAAAATTTAATGGCGCTGTCAATGTTAGCATGCGTTCAAAAAACAAACAAAAAAAAAAAAGAAACAAATTCAGGAGGAGCATTGAAATCACAAAGTGACATGTGAATATAAAGTACAGCAGTGCTACTTATTTTTCACCCAGTTTTCCTACTTTCTTAACAAAATAGAGGTTCCTCGATGCCTGGCGGCACGTCATAAAGAGGAGGAAAGCTCGTTGACAACTCTTAGTCTCGTCTCCTTCTCCAGGAGTGACAAGCTATTATTTACAGAACAATTTGTACATCAAACCACACGGACTCATTCACTCATATGTACACAGTAAGGCATTCGCACTTCACTCCATCACAACCTGAAGGCTACATAGTCACACTTACAAACTATGAACAGCGTTCTTATTTCCCCATCACAGCATACCAAGATATATCTTAGTCATCACTAGAAAATCAATTCCATTACCCCTGTTCAAAACTAAAATACTGTCCAAAGAAAAACAAAAACACAGCACACTAGCTGCTCCTCCGTCCCATATCAGGCTCATTGGCCAGCACAGTCAATTTAGAGGAAGCCCACAGCAATATGAATGTATTCCAATGAAGTCCCGGCTATTTACACGAGGCTGTTATATAAAAACTGTAGTTTTCCAAAAAGTGACAGATAAACTTGAGAGTAAAGTTCCTGAATGTGAATAACAAGGATAGTTTATTTCAAAAGCGTCTCAAGAGCGCTTCAGCTCAGCTAATCTGCGGAGGAGCTGCTGCTGTCGGGTTTTGAGGCATTTCTTCTTTTGGAGCTGCCGTTTCTCTCTGGTGTGAAGTTTCGACAGGTACTTTGTCGCGTGGGTCAGGATGGCCACCTTCGGAGTCTTGGCCGACTCCAGGCCGGGGATCTCATCACGTAGGGCAAGGAAACGGGACCGGAGATCGTTCCTCCTCTTCCGTTCAAGCAAGTTGTGGTTGCGTCTGCGGTGAGTGTCCTCTGCGTCTGAGTTTAGGGGACTCTCAGTGGGGGAGCCGGGCTGGGAGACACTAGCCGAAAAGTCCAGCCGCTGACTGGACGATGTGCAGGTACGCTTGCTTGGAGGCTCTTCTGCATACTCCTCTTCCTCGTCGTCATCGTCGTCCTCCTCGTCATCGTCTTCGTCATCATCATCATCATCATCATCATCATCGTCGTCGTCGTCACTGTCTGGGGACCGTGCGGCGTAGTTGTGCTGCTGCCGATGGACAGACATGTGGAAGCGTTGGGGGCAGGGGTCAGCCCGGACCGTGATGGTCACCGGTTTTCTGGCGTTCACCAGCCGCACCCGGTTCTGCTTGCTCTCCACGGTGACAACATCGATTTCCTCTTCATCATCTGTGATCACATATGAACAACCCATCAGCACACATAAAAAAACGGTTTTAACAGCATAATGTTTCTATGCCACCCTTCACTAAATACGTCAAGAGAAGAACTATAAGGAACAGCAAAGCGTGCAAATCCCTACTCCATCTGAGGAGGGCAGAGTAGGAGCTGCTGTGTTAACAGCAGTGGTCATCCATGCCAAAGCTCGCAGGGAATTCAGGCTTTTGTCTTTGAACACTGAGCATTCATCAACAATTTAAATGAGGAGATCTGCTGGCGGGGGGCACTCCCTAATTTGGTTAGTGTGAATGAGTTACTCTCAAGGTCTGTAGCTGAGGTCTGAGTGTAGTAGCAATAAATCATCAGGTCTAGGTCACCTCGCCCCTCTACCGCACTCTGGTTGTAATGCAGAGCCAGAGGAAGATATTGAGAGGGGGCAAATTCAAGGCAAAGTGACGGGGGCGCGGTTTTTTAAATATTGCTTGGGTAACCTGCGCAAAACATGTGGCACATTATCAAAGTGAGAGTAAAAAAAAAAAAAATGCAGCTTTAAAGTGACCGACTGTTGTACTTGATAACCTCTCTGAACCACAGACCACAGTTAGTCAACAGCAGCCCAGCATTCCAAATTACGCATTGTTAGAGGGCAATATAATCCTGAGGCAGGAGCAGGGTGGGGCAATTTAGAGCAAGACTGCTTCCTTACCAGAGGAATCAGAGCGGGACTCGGAGCCAGACGACGCCGGCTTCCTGCAGCCGCTTGTCGGGAAGGTGAAAACAGCCGCGGGGTCGACGCAGTCTGTCGCCGGGGTGGCGAGCGGGCCGCCGGGAGAGACGCACTGCGCTTTGCTGCTCGGCCTCACGGAGATCTGGGCCACCGGGGGGGGGACGGCCTGTGCCGCAGCAGTCACTCTCGCATTGACCTTCTCCAGCTGCTTACTGGCAGAGAAACTACTCCACATGCAGTCCTGGATGATGATGGAGCTGAGGTTGCCGAACAGCTTCCCTGTACCGGGGATGAACTGGCCCTCGCACTCCTCGTCCTGCCCCAGGACTTTGGACAGCCAGTTGAGCTGGTCTCCCGGCGAGAAGAGGAGCGAACCGGCGCTCAGAGTCCGAGTGGGAGACATGGGAGGGGTGGGCAGCAACTCGAACTTTTTCCATATGTCCTCGCTCGGTGCGGTCGACTTGTAAAAATCCTCCTCTCCTTCGAAGTCGTTGAAAAAATAGTGCTGGTAGCAGTCGAACTCCATGTTCACAGTTAATCAAATCCTCTAGAGTTTATTCCCAGAAATGATCAAATGACACCAGCTGCCTCTGAGAAACGTCCTGCACAACCCTGAGGGGGGAACAGCACAGTGATTAGCAATGATCTTTTTAAAGTAGTTGCCAGTATGATCACATTTCAAGTATCCATCTAATGGGCCATTAGGATATCACATCCCTTTAAAAGCATGCCTTCTACAAACGGGACCACGTAAATAATTGATTGCATCTTGCGGATGCTCTCTTTAAAAAGGGGTGTACTCAAACTGCCCAGGACCACAAGGTTATTATATAATCTATATAATAATATAAGCGTCAACTATGATTCAGTGCAAGCATTTTTTGTTTGTTTTAAGTAGGCTACACGATAGATTTTAAGTCTACAGGCTTACAGGACTATCCTGCGTAAAAGTAACGCGCGTGGCTGCATTTCCTGAAATGCAGGCAGCGCTTTGTTCCACAGAACATGTGAACCAGCGAAGAGGAAAAGTAGACCGCTTCACAGTCACAGCGTGGGTTTGCTCTCACAGGCGGCCATTCTCTTTCCTCACTGGAAACTTTCAAAAGACAGACACTAGAATAAAACGACTCACCGGCTCTCTGCAAAAAAAAAAAAATAATCCCACGGCTAAAAATTCAGGGCATTGGAAATCCCTCGGCAGCCAAAGAGCAACGAGCTCACGTGGATCAGAGGGATAAAAGCTGACCCGGGTTGTCGTTGGACACAGCGGCGCGCTGTTTGGACGCAGTCTTTTACTTTTATAGCAGTTTAAAGGGGGGAAACCGGGGGCTCAAACAACAGGCTCAGGGTCCGCCCCACAGTGTGTTACAGAAAGCCACACAGTGCGTTTTTCGCGCCAGTGAGATATCCTGTTATAAGGAGCTAAAAGAGTGCAGGGAGGAGCCTCGGAAATATCTGCAGCGGTAGATCCGGGTAAGCCCCACCATATGCATGAGAGGGGGGGGTGGCGCTCAGCCCCGCCCGTCTACAACACCAATTATGGTCACAATAACTGACATATTTCACCATCGATATTTGTTGCTCCTTGTAGCAGTAGATGGAAAAAATATGGTTAATTTGCCAGTCATTTCCTTTCATCTGATACATTTATATTCCCTTGTAGCCTCCTTTACGTGACCGTTTACACTCCTACTCAACTACATTTAAAAGCACAATATTACTTTTCACTCTACTATATTTACTTTGACAGCTTTAATTGCGAATCACTTTGTATATTCTACATACAATACATACAAAGTTTGTACTCAAGGATCAATTTCATATCAAAAATAAAATGTAAAGCTATGTCATAGATTCAATTACTTATCTGTATATAAAGTATAGCATTCAATTCCACGTTCAGCTGCTACAGAAGTATGATATATAAAGCTGAAGCATAGTAGTTGATTAATTGTCTTATGTAACAGTGAGCTGAATATTTTTGATTACACAAGACAAGACATGTCATTGATCAAACAAGTAATTGATTGAGAACTATTAATCACCAGGTTAGGCAAATAAAACGTCCCAATATAATAATTAACAAATCCCAGGGGACTATTTTCTGCATAATGAGTACCTTTACTTAAATGCTGACTTTATTTGGAGTAGTTTTACATCGATGTAGTTCTGCTTTTACTCATGTAAAGGATCCATCTTCCACCACTCCATCCCCGAGCATAATAAACACTAAATCAATGTTTCACCATAACCACAAAATGCATTTGAGGTCCACAAAGTAGTGACGTTCAGCTTTTGACACGGCGGTCGTGTCAAGTTTAGCGTCTTCATTGCGGTCTTTGCATTGCAAGATGAGCTGTGGCCCTCATCCCTCAGGTAAAGCTGACATGGCTTAACCTCGAGGCCAAACATTGGCTTAAAGATGATCCTCTTCTGTTCAAATCAGCAGATCTCCAAAGTCTGAAAAAATTCCCAATCCTTTTTCCAACAGCACTTTTTTAATACGTCAATTATAACTGATAAACCATCTGCAGGCACATCAGATGGAAAGGGAAACAAAGCAGCTGTGTAGCAGTTTCATTGTATTTATGTGAAAAGTTGTTGACTCACAGTATCTAGTCTTTTAATTTGTATCGCAAAAAATAGGAATTCAATATCCTAGTCCAGCATAACACAGGTGTGTTCTATTCCAAGCAAATAAACAGTTCCACAGTGAAGGGTGGAGTGCATCTTTGAATGACCTGCATTCAACACAAAAGAGCACACCAAGTACACAAACAGCCGAGATCCTGTCTGCAGGTGGCGGTGAAGTGAGTAATCTTCTTTACAGTGAGAGACAGCCTCTTCAGCAGCAAACAAGTTAATGTCTTAAACAAGCACTGTTATATTGGGTCTTAAATCCCCTGTTTACAGGACACAATGGCAGCTCTGCCAGATAAAGAGAAGACCTCCCTCGTAAAACCCACGTGCAGCACCTATCGACCTGAAACATTTTATTATTTTAACCATGATATGACCATATTGAACAAGGCAATGATTAAGTGGACACATGATTTGTCTCTACATTGTCTGGCGTGAACAAATGCAGCCTCACTTTAGAGCAAAAGGTCATAGTTCACCAACGTCTCATGACCAGACACCACCAGGTCAAAATCATTCACCAATTGAGGCCTCGACATCACCCGTACTAACATATTGATTCGTTTGGTCCACACCATGCACGTCTCCTCCTTGATGAAGCATCTCGACTGACGAGATAAACCCCCCCCCAATATCTCTGGTCACACGGCCAAGTTGATGACTGATTAGTGATGGGCATCTGTTGTCAGCAACAGGCCTGAGGTCATTCCCCTGATTGAGTGGCGTCTGTGAGTGTTGCCAGTGGTTAAAGTCAACTAAAGGCAGTGAAACAATCAATACATACAGTAGCTGTTTGGGAGCTTTTGATTGTATCGCAGGATCTCTCTTTTAGCAGATGGAATCTGCCCAGCTGCCATGAAATGACAAAAAAATGACATCTTTTTCTTTCAATACTAATCTTTAGATTTGAAATTAAAAACACAAAGTTGAGAGATGGACTTGATTTTGACTTACCAGTCTTGACTGAAGACTTGATGTCATAGCAAAGACTTTAGACTTATTTGTGACCTGCAAGTGATTTTGCCCTACCAATTGCTTATTATTATTATATATTATATAGAATTAGAAATTACATTTTTAGTTGCAGGAATACAAATTTTTCACATAAGTTCTGTGGAAGATATTTTATATACGATAACTATGCAAGTATGGACTTACATTAGACCAGCATTTTGTAAACCTTGTGAATCTCAACTGGAAATAGTTTACACTTTTATAAAAGCCTGTGACATGTCTAAGCCTGTTTTTGTTTATTGTTGTAATATTAGTTTAACGTTGCCTTCTTGCCCTCATTAAAAAAAAAGAGATTTAAATTTCCGTAAGACTTTTACCAAGTTAAATAAAGGAAACATGAAGAATGATAATGTATGCACATCAGTGGATTTTAATTCAATTGCATTCTGAATTCAAAATAAGTTCAAAAAGAGACGTATTCTTGCCAACTTTAAGAGTTATTTCACCCACAGAGCAATGATCACAGCCTGTAGATCCTGAAACTTCACATCCCATAATTACACAGTGGACCAACCCTCACTCTGCTATGTTGGGAGAATTTCATCCTTGCCAAAGAGAAGAAAGAAACATCTTTGGTCCCATAAAAGTTAGATGAGGCCCTCTTCCTCCTCCTCCTACTCCCCCTCCCCCTCTCTTGTATTCCTTCATCAAAACCTGGGGATCCTTTCCTCAGCAAGGACATTGTTGGTTTGTTAACAATGCTTAACACCAACAATAGCCTGCTCCCCAAGGCATCTCCCAGCTTAACTTCAAGTACCTGCAATTGTCCTTCATTGCTATAGTTGCTATATGTGTGAGGATCGTAAAAAGAGGGTGCGGGGGTCGGGATCCACCTCGGCAGAGTCCTCATGTCTGCAACATCCACTCACCCGCCTGAAGAATATTGGTCACAATGCAGTGCAGGAATTTGAATGGCTTTTTTTTTATTTCAGGGACTGTGTGGAATTGTCTCCATGTGGGGGCGTCCTCCTCTTCCCCACGACCTCGGTGACACGGGAACCCCCAACCCTGACCTCTCACCTCCTCCAACCATCTAAAAAGATACAATCTATAGCGAAAGTGGGACCAGTCACCCAGTAGCTCAGAGAAAAGCCATGCAGATGAGAAAGACAACGTAAACAATTCACACAAGTGTTATTGCTCCCCAGGGATGTAACACACCGTATTCTGACACCCTCCTTCCTAAAGTACCACAAGAGTGTGATCAGAAGGGTGCCAGCTTTACCCGATAACAGCTTTCACACACCAAAGATGAATATCTAGCAATGCATGCCTTACATCAAGCCTTTACTGTTGATGTTATCACTTGTCTTTTCATTTCCTCCTCAGCTGAGTTACAGAACATATCATTAGATATGATTACAGTCTAGGATCCTGGCCTTTCTTCAGCATTAAATGATAAACTCTGAGTTAACGATTACCACAGGAAGTGCTCATGTCATAAATACACTAGTTTCTTACACTTGTGCAATGTTTACTGATGAAAGCGTAATGTTTACGCCACACGGCTGTACAAACTGAGATCAACTCGTTAGGGACATTCTTTATACATGTTAAAAAGGAGTGAGTAGATTATGTGAAATTCTGACATGAGGGTAGCAGTTGGAGAGCCACATCCCTGAACGCAACCAGGGCCTCACTGCAGCACATGTGGGCTAAGTTAGGCTGCCACCTGGTGCATGCTATGTGTAATTAACTGATCTCTGTACTCACGTGTTACTGTGGAATGGATGAGTGGTGGTATTCATAAGCTTTATTTAAGACAAAGTACGCCATGACATGTAAAAGTCTTACATTCAAAACAGGGAACAGCACAGAAGTATAATATAGGTGTTATTTTATTATCACAGGTCTGCAGTATTTTTGTGTAAATAGCATTTTCATGTTGTAGCTGTTCAGGGAGGGGCAAATGTTTCCATACTTATACTGTTGAGTGGTAATCTATAGCAATGCATCATATTTTATACAATGATCTTGAGTTTCTTTATCTGAAATCTTAGTCAGCAAGGTTACAATCTATGCTGTCAAACACTTGGAGTGGAGCAAAAAGTACAGACATGAGGGGAAACAGAAGTAGAAACTAGAATATAATGGGAATACTCAAAGTAAATATTCTAAGTGCAGGTATCCTAGATGTATCTTAAAGTGCAGTATTTGAGTAAATGTACATTCAGCCACTGGAATGGCCTGACTCCCAACACCAGTATACCAAAACAAGGAAGGATAAGTTTGAACGCGTGATCATTGCAGACTCTAAAAGATCTCACAAATATTGACAGACTTCTGCAGCTGGCCAGTATAATCAGACTAATCAAACAATGCAGTGGACAGAATTACAGATCATTGTATCCCTCACACCTGATGGGACTGATTTGATCGCTGTATCTAAAATCGCTGTAACTAAAAACACTGCGATCAAGATCAGCGTTCTGTATTGTTCCTACGGTTTGATATAATGTTTGCTGTTAATACATGTGACTGTCACACAGAGGAATATACGATGTGCATCTTATCAGGCGTTGCAGCACAAATTTGCTCCGGAACAGTACTTTTTAATGTTGCCTTGATGTCCAGTAGATGGCGACATGGTGGCATGCTGAACTTAAGTTACATTTTGTGGTACTTGACTTGAGTATTTCCATTTTATAATACATTAGAACTCTTCATTACTTTTCATATGTTTGATTGTAATCTGTCGGCTAAAGCGACTACTTACTTTGCGGATTAAGAGATAAATCATATGATGATATTATCAAACATCACCTCAGCCATCAACATCTGCATAAACTCAGGATCCTGTGGCCACATCATGCCTCTGACTCTCAGAAAGAAGAGACTCGTCCTTCCTGTTTGGAAAGCAGGCTTTGGACTCCTGTTCAGAGATGCATAGTTTTCACTGGACATGAAGGAATGAACAATTTATATCATTTAATATTTAAAGCTGTCAGACAAATAGAGTTTTAAAAAAAAGTACAATATTTGTCTGTGAAATGTAGTGGAGAATTATAAAGTTGGATAAAAGTAAAGTACAGTTACATACAGTATATATGACCCTAAAGTTTGCTAACATTAGCCATCATAAGCTAGTCATATCATAGCAACAAAACCTCTGAGTGTGCTGAGTTGAGCAACGGTGTGTGTTGTATTGATTGTGAACTCCTGTGTTGATCAAAATTGTATTTTCTTTATCACATTATCACTATGTGGGTGTTTTTGTGTGTGATGTGATTCAACTGTAACAAGGCTTCAAACTAGATTTCAACTGGAAAATAAATGAAGTACAGTCAGATGGTTGTGAATCTGTGCAGTCATTTTACAAGATAGGCGATTGCACTTTGATCAAAATTAAAGATTTGGTTATAGGATAAGTAAAAGTATTGAACCTAAGTACTCATAGTTACTCATTTACATAAAGTGTAAAGGTCGGCTATACTTCCACTTTTACTGGAAATAAATCTGCAGGATTAAGATGTTTTCAGTTGTTGTATGTCATAAAACATACAACAACTGAAAACGTAAAGTAATTTCCCCTCACCTCCGTTAAGCCAACCATGTAGGCTTCGTTTCACTGGAGCTGGGTCAATAAACGACAAGGGGAAACCCAGAGTGTTCAAGGAAACTTCCAAAACAGCCACACACTGACATAGAAAGAGACATATTCTCTTTATAGAATGATGTCTGTCTGGCATCGCTCATGTCTCACAGTGACTGAGATGGTCAACAGAGGACAAAGTTTTTATACCTGTTTCTATATACAGTAAATACTTCACCCTTCTTCTGGATTCCCCCCTAACTTTGCTTTGAACAGAGGATTTGGATTAGTCTTCTTGACACACTATAACACACAGGTCTTTAAAGCTCTCCACAGTCAACTTTAACTAGGTTGAATGGAAACAGTATGTGGCGGCATGCGTCGGGTTTGTGTGTTTATGTGTCTTGTTTGAAGAAGAAGCAGCGACGTGGCTCAGCCAAGAGGTGGCATCGTATTTTAGCTTTTGATTTGTGGTGCTGTTGAAGGATGGAGGTCAATAAGAGACAGCTGATTCAATATTATAGGGAAGGAGAGAGAGCACATTTTATTTCAATTGCTTTTACTTCTCTGTTCTATTTGATGAGTGTGTGCAAATAGACAGAAGGGCGTGTGTATATTTACATTGGAGAAGCTAGAATCCTATTTAGAAAGGAGGCAATAGGAAATAAAATGCTGCACTAAAAAGCCAGAGGATACAGGATCACATTTTGCTGACGAGGAAAATAAAGGTGCTTAGAGGTATTAAAAACATTATATATATAAGATACTGTAATGGAACTTGCAAGCTTTTTTACCATCACATAAGTAAAAGTGAAAGCAATCTGGTGACCTTTGTTTTCAGGGACGTTTTACACACACTAACTGCCAAGATTCATGATATCTCTCTCCACTTAATTAGTCCGTCCAGTATATCCAACTGTACTTTTACTGACGACTTCCATCCTTTCCAGTATCTCCAGCCCGTTTAACAATTGTTATTCCCTTGGGTTATGCATAATAAGAGATGATTCAACCAAAAGCAGCTTAACACCGCTCATAATGTTTTTTAAAAAGCATTGAGGTTAAAGTACACATCATTTTGTTTAGTGGTGGCCATTATCTTAAATGGTGTGCATATCACATACTGATGCCAAAAGTGGATGGAGACCTTTCCGCCTGTCTATCTCTTTTGACATGATCTGTCCATTCATATCTTTGTGAGGACCAATTTGGGTTTTAGATCTCAGGTTTGGTTTGAGGTTGGGGCTAGCGTTGGGTAAGGCATTTATGGTTAAGGTTATGGCATGGGTCTAAGAAATGCATTATGTCAATGAGTGTCCTCACATAGCATTACAAGGGGTGGGTCATGATGTCATCACTGGCAGTTTGGCCATTTTTTCATATTTGTGCAGTCACAAGTTAAACTTACAATTGGCCCCTTGGTGTTTACCTGAGGGAAGGTGGGTGCTATGCTTCTACAATGGCTCTGTTGGTTAGGAATGTTATCAGCTGTAACTGCCATGTGAGCACCTTATTGCACCTGTAAAAACAAAACACAATTCAAATGTGTTGAATCAGCCCAGTTAAAGATGGAGCACAGATAAAACAAATTGCCCTTGAGAATTATTTGATAAAATATGTGGCAAGAGTTTCATATGACAAATTGAACATTTTGGGATTTTTAATGTCGGTTTATACTGCATTTTCTTCTCACCAACATGTATTTCCTTTAGCATCATTCGACACAGAACACGCAATGACACGTCATTGCATTAAATGACGTGGGCGTACTAGAATGAATGAGCCGAAGGACACAGAGCGCGAGCACCTTCACGCAGAGACTGTCAGAGCAATGGGCGCCACCCTATAAAGCTATGAAGCGTTTATTTTTTCTTCCGACATTGATGAATATTACGACATCCGAAAGGACATGTTGATAGATTTATCGTCTTAATAACACTATGGCACGAGGAGAGGGCGCCGAGCAGTACGCGGCGGGTTTACTGCCAATCAAACCTATAAATACCGAGATCAAGACAGCAAAGGTAAGAGCAAGCAGAGGATTCTATATTTGATTTCTGGGGTTATTAAAATGTCTTTCACCCGTTCATTCAGGGGCGTAAAAAGGCGCCTAAATGACGTCTGAAGAATTGTGGTCGTTACTTCCTTTTGGTTTCGCACCGTCAGTGACTCGTCCTTGGTATTTGAATTCCACCCGGTTTGTCCATCAGCCGGTATAACGTTACCGGCTTTAAAGGGACCACATCTTAAATAAACTTGCCATTTTGAACGTTTGATTTAAACCGTACAGTCTTGTTAAAAAATAGCCTCAAGATCTCAAGTCTCAAGATCATTCCCAAGTGTTAGTATTTCATATAAAAAGGTGTGACAGCATAGCATTCAATCTATCGACAGCCCTACAAAGTCCACATCTTGTCTGTGCTGTGATCTGTGATCTCTTTTTAACAGCAAAATCAAATAGCAGGGCATTTCACATCTACAAGAGCATGAAGTCTACAATCTAAGCTCTGCAAAAGTAGTCCAATTGAATTAAAATATACCTTTTAATACTTCTCTAGGGCTGACAGAAAATGAGTTGGCATTCTCACTGCGTTAAGACATCTTGTAGACAATTTGATTGATTTAATTGAAATAAAGGTATAATAGAAATACTTGTCATTGGCTTCACTTATTCAAATAGAAGTGATTTCATCTATCATCTTGAAGTTCTCTCCAGTTATTTCCTTGAATTCAGAATCTCTTTGTTGGGGAGGGATTTTCCTCACCGGTCATCAAAGGACACATGACTGTACTCCTTCATGTATCTTTAGTTCTATTTTCACCGGATAATTGTGGCAGCGGGGCCTCGTTACGCTGAAGGGTTTGGGGGAAGAGAACATTGCTCATTCATGATTTGTGAGAAGGCAGCAATTTGCTCCCAACATGAGGTGGTGCCGCTTTTGTGTCTGTTGCAGATGTGTGAATGATGGTGTAGAGAGACCCCCTTGCTGACATCATCCCACCCTTACAGCTGATTGGCTGTGGCTGTGGACGTGATAAGACTCTAAACTGTCTGCTGACTGTTGGCTACTCAGCATGAAATGTCACACCTTCCAACATCCTATTGATAGAGCCAATGGCAGCGCTTGATTCTCTCTTTGAGGGTGTGAACTACAGTAACCTCATAGTTTCACACCACTGTCTGACTGCAGCGCGTACGCCCCGGACTGCATCAGGGATTTGTATTTAATCTGGCATTCTGAGCGGTGGGGCGAGGGAAGTTGGCCGATCTCATTCCCTCGTGGCAACAAGTTGTTTACCACAGCATCAATTATGCCAAAAGTTTCTGATGGGGATGGATGATGATGATGATGGTTGTTGAAGCAGGAAAGAGGGATTAAACAAACTCTAGAGGAAATCTGAAGATAATGACCACATAGCGCACCACTGCCCACATCACTTTCCCTGCATTTATAGCTCTTCTAGGAATATGAGCATGTCAATGTTGACAGATGCACAAACTGTTATGAAGCCAAACTAACTGCCTTACATATCTCCTCTGTCCTCCCCTCTCTTTGTCTTCCAGCCAAAGGACCAGAGAAACCGTCTGACTGTGTGGAATAAACTGTGCTATGCCGTCGGTGGGGCTCCCTACCAGATCACAGGCAGCGCTTTGGGCTTCTTCCTCCAGATCTACCTGCTGGATGTGGCTCAGGTGATTTGACATGAGACACACAAAGAGGGAAATCACACTTGTCAGAGCTAGAAAACACAATCTTCCTTGCATATATATCTTTGATTTATTTAGAAAAGGAATGTTTTGTGCAACTGGAAAATTGTAGGAATACTGAAAGAGGTAAATTAAATGTCCTCTGTCTTCCAGATTCTTCTAAACAAAGTTCATCCACTTATTAATTCTGCGTCACCAAAGTTGGAGACTCATTTCCTTATCTTTGCATTTTTCCCATTGTTTCCCGCACAGATTAACTTCGAGGCCGACGCTTGTGTTTGCTCTTCTCAGCCTCGTATCACTTTAACTTCCCGCAGTAGCCGGTCAAGCGCATTAACGTGGACTCCTACTGCCTTGCTTTGTTGCTCAATTAGCAAATTAGACTCTTCCACTGTACACAGTGGGATCTTAAATACAGGCCTTTCAGCTCAAGAGATGAAACCATTAAAGTGGCTTTGAATGCTACTTTACTTTTAAGCATATAACACAGTTGTGTATTTCACTGCAGCAGTTACAAAGTCTCGAAATGTCTCCATAACCTCATTGGTGTCGTGGTTCTTCTGAACCGCTCACTAGCCGTGCCATATGAGGTAGTGTTTAGCATCCTCTTTGCTTTGGTTTTCGTGTCTCACTCTTTTTTCCCCTCTCTCCCTTTAGCTGGATCCCTTCCATGCCTCTATCATCCTCTTTGTGGGCCGGGCCTGGGACGCTGTCACAGACCCCACAGTGGGTTTCCTGGTGAGCCGGAGTAGATGGACCGGCATCGGCCGCATGATGCCCTGGTAGGTGTTTGATAGATAAGAGTTCGGTACAAAATGTGAGGCAAATGTACTGACAATGAGCTGTATCCGTGGCTACCGAGGAGGAATAAGTGGAGAGACTTTGAGAATAAAGCAGTGAGGACTTGAGTCGCATGATTTGGACTGGAGTCCGACTGAGACAAATCAGAAAGACTTTCAACTTGACTTGGACTTTAACACCAGTGACTCATGACTTGAGCCTTTTTGACTTCACACCTTGCCAGAGAAAGAGAAGATTTAAACGTAATATTTAAAAAGTGTGCCACAAATCAATACATTTCCTTTCATTACATCCATGTTTACTTGCGAGAAGTGTTCTTCTTCACTGCCTTTGTGGGCACATTGCTTGTGTTTCTTGATGCGTTACCTCCACCAGTAGATAGGTGGAATAGTAAAATACTATTAGCACAGCAAAATCTCGTCTCACAGTCTACAGCATGTTGTCAATCCCATGCATGTATGAATGTGTTTGATTACTGTTCGTGTTACACTGGTGACCGGCTGGCGTCCTGTCAAGGGTATCCCTGCCTCTTTCCAAAAGCATGCTGGGACTTCAGCTCCTTAAAACCCTGAACAGCCTCGATATATACTTTCATTTACTTTTACCTTAAAGCTCTGAAAGGCTCAACAAGAAGCAAGGAAGTGCAGGTTATACATTTGTAGGATTGAAATGCTCTGCTTGAGGGAGGGGGTTTGTAAAGGAACATGACCTTGATATTCTGCTGATAGAGTGAAATGGGGTGCAGCTTCTTTTACGTGTGTGTGTGTGTGTGTGTGTGTGTGTGTGTGTGTGTGTGTGTGAGAGAAGTGTCTGCTTCTGAAACCAACACTTCAGGCCATGATATGATTCATACAGGAGCCAATCTAAATATTTTACGAGCATTTCTCTCGCATGATGTCACGTTGGTATCTCGAGCATCATGGGTCTTTGAGTCAGAGATGCCGGCTGTGCGCGAGTTGCACGCTGTGGTTTGAAGGGGGAAGGGGCTTCCGCTGCGATTGGTCCAACCCACAACACACCATCAGCTTCAAACCAATAGGGGTGTGTCCATCTTTGTGTGCGTGTTGGATTTCACTGTTTGGGAGGGTTCTTTTGGAAGCGGAGAGAGTTTACTTTAGGTCAAGGAAGAGGCATGCTTGGTTGAAATAATGCAGGTCATTGTTTAAAAAGGCATCGTGTACATGATCCTCAGTGGCCTGTGCAGCTTTTCAAATTGAAGTGAAACAACCAGCCATTAGATAAGAACACACGCATGACTTTTATGTCTTGTATTCAGATATTGTGACATTGCACTAGAATGGGACATTTAGTTTTGTGAGCATATTAAACACATACATTTTGTGCACTATGTAAGTTGATTCTGTCTATGTACCTCAAGGCCATTTCCTGTGCTCTACTGACCTCCAAATGTGACACACAAAAAATCTGTGGTGTGTGTGTGTTCAATCAGTGTGCGAAACAGTAGCAACCCGGCCTCCATTTCCAGATAAATTAGCTCTCATTAGCCCAATTCACTCAGACATTAGAGGGAATCAGGAGGCGCTGTCTTTATTTCCCATGTGTGTCAGGAAAGAAGGAAGGGTGGGTGGTTCATATGACCACGTGCGAGTGCAGAGGTGTCCCGTTCAATAAAGAAACAACTCTGTGTTCAGTGATATGGCCCTCAGAGAAAGTCAGCACAATGCTTCTTGCATGACAGCTCATGAGAAGAATGAGGGGCAAAAATATTGATTTAGATATTAGTTAGATTTGCTGTCATTTTACAGCACGGCAGGAGGAAGAAGAAGAATAAACCGTATGATATCCTCATGTTCATGGGGAGTATTAGCTGGACTGTGGACAAATGTCTGAAGTGGCACCGGCTTCGGTGACTGAGGTTAGCTGGAGGACACACAAAGCTGAGGAGAAGACTGTTGACACTGGGCGGGGGTGAGAGCGAGGTGGACCAGAGCGGCCTCACCGTTCGTCCGGCCCACCCTCGTCCCCTTCTGCAGCCCAGACTGAGTCCTTTTCTCCACACAAGAGTTCTAACAAGGCAGGATTAGGGGGATTATTCTCAAAGCGACCACGAGATAGTACAAAAGAAGTGAGTGACTGCAAGCGAGGAAAAATGAAAGAGGGGGGGGGGGGGGGAAAGCTACAGTAACAGTTGGCAGAATTCATTAAACACTCTTTAGCAGCGGGAAACAGCAGGCTGGGCACTCTCTTTTTTTTTTATTTTTTTTTTTATTTTTTTTTTTTATTTCGAGCCAAACAACCATGCATAGTGAACCCCACCCTAGTGGCTCAAATTAGAAAAATATTCCTGCTTTTTGAAAACACTGCAGATTGTTGTCTCCTAACAAAGATCCTCCACTGCTTTTCTTCCCAGGATCCTTTGCTCTACTCCGTTTGCGATGCTGACTTACTTCCTGATCTGGTACGTGCCTCCTTTTGAGCAAGGGAAGGTGCTCTGGTACCTGGTCTTTTACTGCCTCTTCCAGTCAATGCAGACGGTTAGTATGTCACGTTGACACGCCCCACCACTTTGTTCCCCTTTGGTCCCAGTGTGTGTGCACCAACCTAACTGTGTTTGTGTACGTTTGCAGTGCTTTCACGTGCCATATTCAGCCCTCACCATGTTCATCACTAACGACCAGAAAGAGAGGGACTCTGCCACCGCTTATCGTACGTTAGCTCGCCTGCGTGATCAAAATGCTTTTACACGCGTGTCTTCTTTCAGGTGCTGACGCTCCATGTCTGTGTTGCTCGCAGGTATGATGGTGGAGGTGCTGGGCACAGTTCTGGGCACAGCAATCCAGGGACAGATAGTAGGTGGAGCCACAAATTGTCCCACTGAGCCCGACGACCTGAACGGCAGAAACTCAACCAACACGTCCAGAGTTTCACTGGATGAGACGGTGAGTCTCTTAAATCTTTTGCATTGTGTCCGATTAAATTATGATCTTTACATACAGCGTTTACATGAGTGCTAGTCGAAGCTAATTCAGTTTTTTCTGTCCTCAGAAACAAGCGTATTTGATTGCTTCAGGGGTCATCTGCATCATCTATTTCTTCTGTGCAGCAGTCTTGTTTTTGGGCGTGAAGGAGCAAAAAGGTATGAATCCATGAACTACAAGTGAGAAGTTATCACTTGTCCAATGCCAAGGTGGAATATTTCAAATTAAAAGCAGCGCTTTAGACGCATAACTTGGACTGGAGTCAGACCTGAGGCCTTGAACACCAATGAGTCGTGACTTCACTTGGATTTAACTCTTACTTTTCCTGACCACGGATATAGTCTGAATCAATCTGACAGCAGCCGATCACGTTGCGTGAACAGTGCACACAAGCAGACTGACAACCGCTACCTCATCATCACGCTGAGACTTTTGGCGAAACAATGCAAATAATTGTGAATGTGTCGCATTTCATTTGGCGACGGCTGCATATTGACTTGTAGCGACCGTTTAGTTGGTCGACAAAGATTTCTTTAGTCGAATAATTGTGTTTTACTTTCTTTTTTTTCTGTCACCTATGAGCACATCTCTGGTAAACACAAGATTAAAAGTAGGGTTTTGTGGGATTCCTTGTGGAGAAACTCAGTTCTACAGATCTGTCAAATAAATAAACTTATTGATTATTTGACAAAATCGTATGAGTGTAATTAGACGTCTTTGTTCGAGGATGGCCCTAATGACTTGTTTAGGAGTCGAAACGCAAAGTTTAGGACTTGATTGAGGACTTCATAGCCAAGATTTGAGACTTACTAGTGTCTTGCAAACCATGACTTTGTCCCTCTGCATCAGTTGTCCTCGGGAAACATTTATCAGCTGTCTTATCTTTGTTCTCTTCTCCTCCTTGTTGGGTTATAGAGAACGGGCGGAAGAAAACCCTGCTTACCTTCCGTCAGGGCCTGTGGCTGGTGATGAGCTACGGACCGTACATAAAACTAGTCATCGGCTTCCTCTTCACCTCTCTGGCCTTCATGGTAATACTGTGTTTCATTATCTCACTATCTCTCATGCTGGATACAGAAGTTATTGATGTAGCCATAGTTAAAGGAATAATTCAACATTTTGGGAAATAACTTTTTTTTTGTCGAGCGTTAGAGGAGAAGATAGATGCCGCTCTCATATGTGTCTGTTAAATGAAGCTATAGGAAGTATTTATCTTAGCTTAGCTTAAAGACTGGAAACGAGGGGAAGCTGCTAACTGTCCAAAGGTAAAAACCACAACTTGTGGTTATTAAACTTCTGATTTTGTGTGTATTAAACAAACTAAATATAAAGTGGAATTCCCAAGATGTCGAACTATTTTTTTTAAAAATTGAATCTGTATCTGTAGTTTGCATAAAGATGAATCTTATTCATTTGTTTTTATTTTTACAGTTGCTGGAGGGAAACTTTGCCCTTTTTATCACCTATTCTCTCGGCCATAGAAAAGACTTCCAGAATATTCTCCTGGTCATCATGGTGAGTTCTTCTATTTTCCACTGAAGGGCTGTTGACCTCCATGTAAAAGCTCTAATCAGTATGAGATTTGGAGGACATCTGCAGCTTGTTTGGCTATCCTCGTGGCACAGAGTTAGCGCTCAGTGATAGTGGGGTTTCCAGCCCGTACTCTGAGGCCTTTCCTCACGCGAGGAGGCGCATGGTACCGGGGCTGAAAGGGCAGATTTTCAGGATGAGAAGAGGTGTTGTTTGGGCTCCTGGGAACCTGTCTCCCAGTCAGACACTCGCTTGGCCTTAGCAGGGGATCAGGGGAGAGACGGTCACACGGTAGTGCTTTTGTTGCCTTGGCGATCCCTCACTGCCACCATTAGTTGCGCCCTCCTTTCCATCCTCTTCTCGCTGCTTTCTGCTCTGGTGCCTTTCTCTCTGATTAGAAGTAAAACATTCTTGGGCACCATGTATCATATTTGGAAGGATGGGATTTAAGGGGGGGAAAAGGAAACATTTTCCATTGTATCGGCCCGCAGTTGATGTAGTCGTGTTACTTTCCAAGTTGTCAGTAGGAAGTTGTTGTGTGGTCATTTAACACTGGTTGACCAAGTTTGAACTGGAGGTCAGAGGTTGTTTGCCCCCTGCAGGGTTAAGTCAAGACTACACAAAGCATATTGTGCCCTTGTCCCTTGACCTCCTGCAGTGGTCCCTTTGTTCTTTCCAATTCCTTTGTTCATTATAACAAAGTTATCATTTAGGTAACTTCCATTGTGCCCGATCTGCAGCCCTGTTTATAGATATGCTGAGATCGTATAGTGATGCAAGTCCATCATGCAGCTTTGTTTTTTGGATGAGAATGGGGTTTTTTTGTCCAAAGAAGTCAATAAAGGTCTTATATTTGCATGTAAATGTTTCAAGGGAAAATGCATGCATGGAAACAAAGAAATCCTCCTAAAACAAAGTTGTTGAAATACATCATCTATTTTACAAGACCATATACAACACAACATATTGCATACTTCAGCCAAGACCTAAAATTTCAAACTAAAAGTTTATTTTAGTCCCAGATCATTACCTCGGCAGACTTTTTTCCAAAAGGTTTATCAGAATTAAAAGTTACATTTATAGTAACATAATAAAACCTCACCACCACCCAAAATACAGAGGACATCACCTCAGTGTCCTCAAGGTTAACTGAGGTTCTGATCAAACCTCACTGATAACAATGCAAGTGTTGTAAGTGATACAAGTGTCAATCCTTCACTTGTTTTCCTCCAGCATATAAAACGTTATATTATCTGCAACAATGTGAGCGTGTAGATACATATTTTTCTCTGTTAAATTTAGAAAAATTAAAGATTAAAAAAATCCATATTGCTTTAATAAGAATTGAATGCCTCGATTTTAAAATAATATATGAACAAAGCTAATCTGGCTACATTTCATCTGATGTTTTTATTATTAATTTGGTTCACGTGAATGATGAATACTCAATCCTAAATGAACTGTGTACATCCCTTGTCCTTTTGCGAGCATGCGTAATGAGATTTAATGAAACAACAATACTGATAATTCATTTTTTCCAGCTTTCCGGGACACTAACAATCCCGTGGTGGCAGTGGTTTCTGACCCGGTTTGGGAAGAAGAAAGCGGTTTACTTTGGCATCACGGTGAGCGGAAATATGCTTGTTTTATGGCGCAACAAAGTCAATAGATCAAACAGGATGTGTTGTTACGTAATTGCTCACACCCTTCTCTCTCTTCCCGCAGTGGGCAGTACCTTTCATGATCCTAATCGTCTGCATCAAGAGCAACCTGATCATTTCATACTTGGTCTCAGTGGCGGCAGGTGTGAGCGTGGCGGCAGCTTTCCTCCTGCCTTGGTGAGCCCGAGTTCATGCACAGAACCCATGAATCAACATATCTGTTGATTGTGCCTCGAGTTTCCTTCTAAATGTTGTGTTTGTGCTTGCAGGTCAATGCTTCCCGACGTAGTGGATGACTTCAAGGTTAAAAACCCAGACATCCATGGTTACGAAGCCCTCTTCTACTCTTTCTACGTCTTCTTCATCAAGTTTGCCTCTGGAGTTTCTCTGGGTATCTCTACACTCAGTTTAAAGTGAGTTGGCTGATATACATCTGTAGCCATGTTGTCATAAATTATTCCCATGTACATTTCTATCCTCTCTGTCATCCTTAATAACATGTAAGTTTATACCTCTAACGCTCACAGAGATTAGCTCAATGTTACAGCTCATTAGACCAGTGATCATGTGCTCAACAATCGCATAATCCTTCAACAGTCTTGCCAAACTGTACTCCCATCAGCTCAACGTTTCTCCCTCTATCTGCATTTTTTTTTCGCAGATTTGCCGGCTATGTGACTGGGAGCTGCTCACAACCAGAGGCGGTCAGTTTAACCCTGAAGGTGCTGGTCTCTCCCGTGCCTGTCGTTCTTATAGCTGTGGGGCTGTTGATATTGAGGACATACCCTATTGATGAAGAAAGGAGGCAGGGCAACCAAAAACTACTGCAGGAAATGCGGTAAGTGAAATGGAAATGCGCATACAAGCATTTAACAAACAACTACACAGATGTTTATGCTTAATTCGGTATAACCACACCAGGCTAGACACCTGTTGTTGTGCAGCAGGCCGTGTGCCGTACCACAGTAAACAAACCAGAGAGAGGCTAAATTCAATTCCGCTCTCTATACCTGAGCTAAATCCTAATGAAACCTTTTTAAAAAGCTGTTTTGCTCCGGTGTTGGCATGCATTTTTTTTCACCCTGTTTGGACAAGCCAAGTCCTTTGTGTGTGACTCCTGGCTGTTCTCCCGTCCTTTAACAGGGACTCCGAGTCTGAAACTTCAGCACTTGGGAGCAGCGCGTAGCCGCAGAGGACGAGCCAACCACCACAGCCGCTTTAACAGGTTTGCACAGGCTGTCAAGGGACACGACCGCCAACCATCTGGACTAACGGGGACCACAGACCACTGCTGCCCAAACATAGTCAGCATTAAGCAGCTCCCCACCAGTGGATCACACAGGTCTACGTCGCCCTCTAGTGGCCGGTCAGTGGCATCTTATGTGTGGGACAAAGTATCTTCTGTGGCCTTTATCTCCAGCTGTGTCCCAATTAAAGTCACCTGCTAAAACTGAAAAACATATACAATTTACAAATCATTATAGTGTATTATTTTGTCAGGTAGTGTAGAACCAAAGTCTGGGGTTAGTGACTTTTCTTGTTGCTTTCACTTCCAAATATACTTTTTCCTTTTCGAGGTTTTCCTTAACAGTTTAGGTGAAACACAGCACTTATCATTTAAAAGGAAGATCAAAGATGTTTTGTTAACACTCAACATATACAGCTCCTATAAGCTCATGGGAGCTGTAGTTTTACTCAACAAAGAGAACTCTAAACTGTTTTTCCAAAGAGTTGTGACTTTATTGTTTACTGAGATGTTCCTGTAGCTGCTATGTTAATTACCTCGACTAGTTGTGAGCAGCGGCACCATTTCTTTTGTGCATTGCATTGTGGTCATTTTTACACTCCAGTGTGAGTGCACTTCCTAGTGAAATACTAGGTTGTATTTGGGACACAGCTTGTGATTTGTGGTGTTCTTTATTAAATATTTATTTGTTGGTTTACAAGATCAGACCAGCACTCGACTGCAGTGTGATACTGTGGTGTTTACTATGTCTTAAGTCACTTGTGTTCAGGCAGTGCTCTGAAGGAAATATACAGCATCAGCCCTTATTTATAAAGGACATACCAGCACTATTCCCCTAATTGGAGTTGTATGGAGCTGTCCTACCTTTCATTGATTGTTGCTGTTTCTTGTAGATTATTTCAGAAAGGCAAAAACAATAAGTGTACTTAAATCTTCTGAAGGGGAAAAGGCACCTTGTGGTATAATGTACTGTATGAATCACTGCCTTACGCACATCTTGAATACTTTCTGTTGAAATTGTGACTCAGATTATTTTCCTTGTAGCTACTGAGAAGGGTTTTGCCATCTCACCTTTTTTTGTGCTTTAGCATTTCAGCCAATCTGTCATGTTTACATGACATTTCTGAATGTGCGTTCAGTGCAAAGTCAACTCCAGTATGAAGTCATTTCATCAAGAATCTTTTCACTTCCCAAAGGGAAGGAATTGCTTTATTTAACTATTTATTTACATCAAATATCTTAAGGGATTATAATTTTGCTTGTAAAAGCACACGTGTAATGTATTAACAGTGAATGGATATGTGAGTGATTTTCAAGTCTTGTGGAAAACATTGAGACCATCAAAACATTTTCATTTTTTTCTAAGACAAGAAAATAGCACAAATTGCTGTAATGTGATAAACAACCTGTCGGCGTTGTGACTCTTAAAATCAGCTGCCCAAACCCAGTTTCTAATATAAGGTTAATGGGCGACATCTGTCACATTAAATGGCGTCATAGAAAAGCACATTACATTTCCCCTGGGTGTTTATATGTATAATATGTAAATAGTTTTTTCCAACTTTGATCAGAAAAGAGATACATTAATGCACTGTAAATTTGTAATTTTAAGTCTGTGAATAAAGTTTGCCAAAACAAAAAAAACCTGTTAATGTCTTTGCAATATCCAAGACTAGAATAGTATACTTGTTTAGGCTTACACCTTGATGCTGTGTTGTTGTTTTTTGTCAGATGAAGTAGAATTAAATTCATGTAAGTTGGTATAAAGCAACTCCATGGAAGGCACAGCAGCTGGTGGGCCTAATATTTGGCCCCTTTGATCAAGCTGATGATTTCTGTTTATTAGTATCTAAACCTTTCTAAACCCATCATTTTCACTAATTAAACCATTAAAACCATACATACAGCAGTGTTCTCACTGCACATAAACGTTAGGTCTGAATCATTTCACTTCTCTTTAAGTCAGATTCCAAAAACCTCACTCGTTGGTGCTTATATCCAAATATTGTGACTTGAATCAAGAAAATGACTAAAAGAATTGTGCAGCCAAAGAAACCCGTCCTTGGTTCCTATTTAAAGACTGAAATCAACCAAAGGAAGCTAAACTTCACCTGTTTGGCAACAGGCTGCCAATTTATCCTCTCCTCTAATTACCTCCAGCCGTGGCTGAGCGGTGGTTTTACACGCAGATTGAAGGAGAGAGGTAGAAGGACAGCAGTCTGTTGCGATGAAAGCAAAGTGTCCTATCTATATTTTGTGGAGTGTTTTATCACTTTGCCTCCCAAGCTGTGCACCGGACACTGATGAATCTCCATTTACCGGAAGGAAAAGGGTTTTCGAACTCGGTACGCCAAAATCCAAACAATCAGGAACAGACGACAGAAGATCCTCTCGGAGGTCACTACCTGCAGGCACTTCTCCATTGTCTCATCTCAGTCCCCGAAGGCCTTACCCTCCTCCGACACCTCGACCCATGCGTCCAGGAGAGCCCGAGGCAAAGATCCAGTCGGACTTTGCTTACCTCCCAGACGTTTCTGTAACCTGTTCCTCGTCTGACTTTGTCGTGCGGGTCAAACCATCTTTCTACAGTCTGGGTGCCGAAGCAGAGGAGCTACAATTAGGCCGCAACTGTAAAAGCAACGGGGTTCTCTGGCCATACGGTGACCTGCTCTTCACGTATCCTCTGACATCGTGCGATGCAGTGCGCGAGGTAAGATTTGACTTGAGTCATTTGTTTTCCGACTCTCTCTGCATAACCATGAAATCACGGTGTCTGACCCCTCTTTGACAGTCGCCCTGCGGTTACCTGATCTACAAATTCGTGCTCCATTATGACCCTTCGCCAAAACGTTTACGAAGCACAGCGCACCGGATCAATGTCGACATTGAATGCCGTTATCAAAGGTTGGACTTGTCTGTCATCCGTTTGCAACATCATATGTGTGTGAGTGTAAGCTCGCTATTTACAATCTCCAAAACCTGTCCAGGAACCATCATGTGTACCAACTGGCTGTGCAGCCCACATGGGAAACTACTGTTGTGCGTAAAAAGCTGAAAGGAAATCCAGATGACTTCCAGATGACGTTAATGGATGGTATGTTTAAAGAAATGTGGTTTTGCAGTGATACAGAGCAGCTTGTCTTTTCAGCGCAAATGTGTTTTTGTGTGGTAAAGTGTTGATAAATGGCTATTAGGTGGCTTCATTTGATTAAAAAAATATATTTTAATAAACCCTCAGATTTATGGAGCAGACCAGTCAAGTCCCAGGTGTACCAGATTGGAAAGACTATTAATTTACAGGTCTCTGCTCATCTGTCAACTGGTGGGAAACTCTACATCAACACCTGCTATGCTACACCATCCCGTGGCTCTGCATCATCCCTCAAATACGCCATCATTGACAATTTTGGGTGCGTATTATGGAGAGTAATGCATTCAAAATCTTTTAGTTTTTTCCCTTGGTGTCCTGATTTGCATTTAGTGTTGTGTTGTTGTCATCCACAGCTGTATGTTGGACAGTAAGAGCGACCCAGGGGGCTCTCAGTTTATCTCTCGGACCGACAAAACCCTGAGATTCTCCCTCAAGGCTTTCCAGTTTACGTTTGACCCTGAAACTGAGGTGAGAATGACTTATAATTCTCCACATTCAAAGTTTTAGTTGCTGCTTAACCCTGTTTCCATTTTTAGGTCAATATTCACTGCAAATTGTTTGTCATAGCTGAGGATCCGGGTCCTACACACAAATCATGCACCTACAGAGAAAACGGGTGAGTGTTGACGCTATATCAATTCAATTTCTATTCCTGGACTACAGGGGACTTTTTTTGTTTCCAATTGGCTTGAGCATACTTGTGCATTTGCCATGATAGATGGAAGGCCCTCACTGGTGACGACTCCGTTTGTGAATGCTGTGATAAACAATGTGTGACTTCTAAAGCCCGGCGGGCCTTGATGGAAGGTATGTGGCAGTTTTTTTTTAGATTAGATTTCAAGGAAATATTCATGCACCATTCCTACTCAGATATATTGGATTGTTGTTTTGGCTCACCACCCCAAAATCAAAAATACATATTTTTCCTCTTACCCGTAGTGCTATTTAACAATCTAGATTGTTTTGGAGATATTGAATGTAGAGATGGCTGCCTTCTGTCTAATATAATGGGACTAAATGACACTTGTGGTGCTCTAAGCAATCAAACAATTTAACATTTGAAAAACTCCACAGCAATGCTTCTTTCGGGAAATCATGACCTGGTTTCTCAAGATAATCCAGACATTGTTGTGAGCCGTTTCACATACAAACGTAAAAATACTTCCCCTCTCCATGTCTCCAAAACTAGACAACTCTCACCAAAACAATCTAGATTGATAAATGGCTCTACAGGCAAGAAGAAAAATTGTGTATTTTTGATTTTGGGGATGAACTGTTCCTTTTATTAATAGAGATGATTAAAAATGGTTACATCTCTTAACTTTGTTCAAGGCTCTGCCAGCAGTGGGTCATTGTTGGTCTCTGATCAGCCATACACAGCAGAAGATGGCGTTCCACCAGTCAGCAGAGAAGGCGAGGCCACAATAAATCATTACGATGAGCTGAAAAGTCATGAGAACCTTTTGTACACTGCGGATTTAGAAGAGTACGAAGATGACGAAGAGCAAGACTACGCAGATGAAGAAGAAGAAGAAGAAGAAGAGGATGATAAGTTTGAAGAGGATAGTGGGTTTGGAGTGATGACAGAACCTGATTTAGACGAGTTGGGTTTTAGGGGAAGGGTCTTTGTGGAGGAGAAGAAAGAGTCTGAAGTGAAGGATTCAAATCAGTTCGAGGTGGATGGGTCAAAGTATGTAGTACAAGAGGAGAGTGAAGAAGATGAGATCAATTTGAACCAGAAGGAAGCTAAAGTGTTGCGACATTGGGTGTCGGTGGAGCAAATGTTGCCATCAGAAGATGGCCTACAGAGAGAGTTAGTATCTGAAGGTGAAGAAGACAACAGGAAGCATGCAGGTAGAGAAGAGGACGACCGGTTGATAACCTCTGAGGTGGAGTGGAAGAATGACGACGGTCTGGCAGACTTAGTAGATAGTGAGGTGACCTGGTATTTCACATGGAGGTAGCATTAGTTGAATGAATCGATCAGTACTCTACGTGACAGGATATTCTGACTTATTTCAATAAAAACATGAAAATGCAGTTGGACTCTTGTCATAACTTAAAACCAGACCATCACAATTTATGTTCTAAAGGTTTAATTATATCTGTATTTGAATAGATCAGTCAGAACATGTTAATATAAGATTGCTGACAATTGGAAATGACATAATGCAGTGCATATCAGACCAACAGGAAAATTAGAAGAAAAAGGAGGCTTCTCAGTCAGTAACAATTTGATCGGTCCATAAATCTTTATTCTTTCCATTATAAATGATTTATTACATTACAGTGTCTGAAACCAGTTTGAACTATATATTATAGTTGTACACAAATATCCCACTGTTTTAGCAATAACTGAGGAAAGGCAGTGGCTTAACTAAAAGCAGCAAAAAAAATAACGACTCTAGTATTGCTTTACATGTCTGCTCATTGTTTGTGTGACATTAATGGTCATGCACAAAGAGAGCTCTGAATCACAAAATGACGTGGGATTCTTGATAACATAAATTTGGAAACGATTAAGAGCCATACAACTTGATTTAAATGATATTTGGGCACAACACTGCAAAGCAGACATTCTGTCTATAGAGACCCTCCTCTGAACAGGAAAACAGGAAAAATAACTTAGATAATATTTTTTTAACAAATAATTGGTGTGGAAACTCTTTTGAAGAAAATACAGAACTCTGTCGCACAGATCCATCATTCCTGGATATGTTAAATGTACAAAATCGTGCTCTATTTACAGACGAGCGCCCAAAAGTCCCATTGTTACAAGTACTGACTAAAGCTCTGATTCAGCAGGACACAAGTGATACAATCAATATCTGACACTAGAGGGTGATGTATTCCCATCTCTTGCAGCTCAGAGGACCCTCTGGCAAAAGAAAATGTGCTGTAATCACTCTTAGTAAAATGCTAAATGAGTACTTGAGAAAATTAAGACCCACACCATTAATGTAAAGTCAAAGGATTTTCCAAATGCAAGCTTTGAAATAAGCATCTCGTCTATCCTAATCCAGATTCTTGTCTCTCTCACAATGGCCAACTTGCAGCAAATTCAGTGTTGTTAGTAAGTCCTTCCCCAGGTCTCCTTCAGTCTTTACAATCATGTCGATGGCGTCCCTCCTAATTCAACAGTACCTGCTGTCCCGTTTGTTTTCTCTGCAGCATCTGATGTTGGAAGATTAAGGCAGAGTTAGTTTAATCGAGTCCAGAAGAGTTGCTCTCAATTTAAAAACTCATTTAGATTTTTAGCCACGCTAGCGCTCTGGGGATGGCAGTGTGTATGTTGGTTGGTTCACACTGAAATATCTCAAGAGCTATTGGATGGTTTGCCATGAAATTTTGCATTCATGTCCCCTTTAGAATTAATTGCAATCACTTTAATCTCTTTTCAATTCCTCCAATACTTTGGTTTATGACATACTTCATGCTGGTTAGCAAATGTGAGCATGCTAACGAGCTAAACTAACGAGGTGAACACTGAACCTGTTAAAGCTGCATTCATGCAATGTCGGGGAAAATGGTAAAAACAGGAAAATCTACATTATTCCACGTCTGTTAACACCACTGCTAACCCTGTAGTTACTTCATTGAAATAGCCTAAAGAAGCTACTTCTACGGTGTTACGTTTTTGTTGATCAGTGAAACCAGGTACAAACAAACTATATTTCTAAATTACCTGAATTTGTTCTATTTGTATTAATATTGTAATTTATTTAGATACTGATCTGTCTTGGAATTATAACTTGGGTGCTGACGTTAACCATTTTTCTGACTTTGCTGCTCACAATTATGGTCAAAATAATATGACAGCCGAAATTCCAGCATGCTGCACTGTCATTTTAAAGCATTTTAGCATGCTGACGTTAGTATGTAGCTCAAAGGACTGCTGTGCCAAACTACAGCCTCACAGAGCCGCTAGCGTGGCTGTATAGACCTTATTAGTCTTGTTCATCATTTCCAGTCCAACATTGTTTTATTTATAGTGAATAATCTCTTACCCATGATACTCTCTTGCAGTGCTTCCTGTCCTGCAGTTTGCTCTGTCCCTTCAGTCTCAATCGCTTTACCCTTCGTTGTGGGTTTCTTTGCAACAGGTGGTGGCACCTTGACTCCCTTTGTTACAGAGGAAACCTCCAGCTTCTTCTCTGTTTGCGCCATGGTTTCCAGTGCTGGCTTGGTCTCGATCACCACCACCTTGTTGCTCTTGGAGAAGATAAAGCTTGCCGTGCAGGAGGGGGACTTACGGAGGTCTACTGGTGATGTTGAAGCGTTCAAGCTGAGGCGAGCTGGAGGGCCGGCTTTTGATCTGGCTGCAGTCCTCAGGCGGATGGCTTCCTGTAGGTTCATGGAAGGGGAGGTGGTCATGGCAGGAGGAGACTTTTTCGTAGGGGAGATGACTGTAGTTGATGAAGATGCAGGTAGAACCAAAACAGACTGGGACTTTGGCTGAGCTGGTTGTGCAGTAACAATGGCAGGTGGTGAGGTGGGTGGTGGAGAGGTGAGTGGTGGAGAGGTGGTTGGTGGAGAGGTGGGTGGTGGAGAGATGATGATCAGAGACCTCCTGATGGGCTTCTGAGGAGCCTCACCACTGGCAGATGAGGTTGGGAGCAGATTGCTGAGCTGCTGCTTCCTCATTGTGACCTCTGCCTCTGGTTGCTTCTGAGCTTCAGGAGTCTCAGGGCTGCTATTGGGTGAAGGGGTGAAAATGTGAGCGGGTTCCTCCTGTACAACAGGGTCAGACATCAGTTCTGGGGCTTGTTTTTCTGTGCTTGAAGGACTAGACGGGTCCTTAATGTTGGCAAGATCCTGCACAGGTAAATAATTGTTTTCAGGTGCAGAAGGAGCAGGTTCTTGAGCCTTTTCTGGGCAAGGAGAGTTTTCGAGGGCTTGTGGGATAGAGACTTCAGATGGTGGCGAAGGGGGGGGCTCTTGGGTTGCTGGACTATCAGTGTTCTGGGGCTGCACCTGAGGTTGGAGGAGAAGCTGTAGCTGTACTGAAGGCGGAGGGGGGTTACTCTGAGGGGGAGTGAGAATACTGCAAGATGAAACTGGGCTGGGTTCAGATTTGAATGGGATGCTGTCTTGTGGAAGATCAATCTCCTGTTCTGACTTGGGTTGTGACGGCAAGGGTGGTGGAGGTGGCACACTTTGTGGTGGAGTGAGCTTGCTAACTTCTTCAGAGGATTGACAAGCATTCTCTTGAGTAGATGGAAAAGAAGCCTCTTCAGTGGAGACAGCTGTAGGAGGCTGAGGGGAGACCTTGATAACCAGTGGAGGGAAGATCTCTTTAACTGGTGAAGGTGATACCACCGCAACCAGTGTTACGGACACGTCTTTAACAAGGGGAGGGGGCGCCTCTTGAACCAGGGGAGGAGAGGACTCTTTGGGCCTCACAGGAGATGCGTCTTTAGGTGGTGGAGGAGGAGGAGTCACCTCTTTAGGTGGTGGAGGAGGAGGAGGAGTCACCTCTTTAGGTGGTGGAGGAGGAGAGAACTTTTTAGTAGTAGGAGGGGAGACTGCTTTAACTGGTGGAGGGGGAGCTGTATATGGTGGGGGAGGTGGGATACTCAGGGGTGGAGGTGCGGTCCCCTGGGATGGACTGGGTTCAATCTCTGTGTTCATCCCAACACGTTCTGTTTTCACAACTGATATAACAGACGTAGTAGTGCAAGAGGAGTCACTACCAGGAATGGACCTCTCTGGTGGCACCTGAACAGGTACAACTAACGCCACCTCACTAAACATTGGGGGAGGTGGAAGAGGGAAATCAATCACATCAGGCCCATTGAGGCCTGCCTGTGCCAGTGGTGGAGGTGGTGGGGGCCAGGACGACTCGGGGGACACAACAACTGATGTGACTGAAGCAACCGTGGTCTGTTGGGGAGGATGGTGCACCAGATGAGGAGAGGGAGATGGAAAAATGCGTGCTAATGAAATGGCAGGTAATGTATCCGTGTATGTCTTTACCTCTGAAGTTTGTGTGGATGTCTTCTTGGCTTCTTCTTCTTCTGTCACTGCTTCCAGCCTTCCTTCACGTTTCTGTACGGCCCTCACTAACATCACATTTATTATGTCACTTACTCTGCCTTTCTCATCGTTTTCTGTCACTTTACTGTTTCCTTTCAAATCAACATTCTGCTCAGCCAATCTGCTGTTCTCTTTGTGAATCTCTGCACTCACAATCCCACTTTCCTGAACTTCCTTTGTCTCCAGCACATTTAGGGATCTATTAACGGACTCTACTGTCACAGCTGGATTCTTGTGTTTTCTCTCTATCACTAAGCTCTTCACAGAGCTCTCTGTAGATGCAGAAGGAGACTGCCTCTGTTGTCTCCTGTCCTTTGGATTCTTCTTTATGATAGCGTAAAGGTTATCAGGTGCCGGAGGTCCCAGCAGCAGCTCAAAGGAACGCTTGCTGTGGGCCCATACCTCTGGAGGAGGGGCTGGAGGTGCATGGACTTTAGGTGGCGGAGGGATGTTGAAGAGTTCTCTCAAGGCCCTTACAGAAGGGCTGACGTTGACCGTATCGACCGTGTCAGGTTTGAGATCCTGCGGGAGTGGGGATGCGGTTGAAGCAGCAGAAGTGGAGCCTGGAAAAAACCTTTGAAGTGTTGCTAAGATGCCTCTCTTGTGGGGCTGTTTAGAAACCTGTGACGATGCGCCATCTTGGCTGGAGTAGCCACTGGATGGGGATATTATTTTGCTGAGCTTCTCTTGTGAAGCATCTTTGGAATCCTTTTCCTCACCCTTTGCAGTTTCCTCTGCTTTAAGTTTCTGGAGCTGGGATCTGATGGGACTGAATGATGCAGAACCTGTAGAGTCGTCCAGAGAACTGGTGTCAGCAGTGTATCCAGGGCTGGTTGTGGAGGGCACAGGAGAATATCCCGATCTGTTTTTTTCATTTTCCTCACCAGAGGCTGAGAGGTTATGGAGAGAGGATTCTCCTGCGTTGACCCTTATCTCTGCCAGATCACGTGACCGTCGCTTCATCTTATTGTGAAGGGAATAGGAGCGGCTTGGAGGAGGAGGAGCTCTCTTGGGTTTCATGACAGAGAGGCTACGCGCAAACGGCTCGTCGTTTTTAATCCCCTCCCCTTTAATAATGAGCTTGCCATTGGACGTGCATTTTGAAACCTTGCTGATGGAGGAGTGAACACTGATTTTGTCCTCTTTAGCAGAGGCATCTCCGCCCTGTGACCTCCTCTGTCTTGGGGTGCTGCTCCTGGATATAGTAGAGGAGTCAGATACCAAGGTCTCTGAGGACTCAGAGTTGCTCCAACAAGAGCTGTCGGACATATTCATAGGGTTGTAGCGGGAGGCGGAGGTGATGTTGGAGGATCTCGAGGAAGTGGTTCTGGAGGAAGAGGCTCTTGAGGAAGCACGGGAGGGGGGCGGGCTGGACAGCAGCAGACTGCTCTTGCTGACGGTGCGGATGCTGTTGTGACTCCGTCCACGGCTTATTTCCAGCACCTCGATGGAGGGTGGCAGCACAGCGTTGGGAATGATTTTGGACATATAGGCGGCCTGGGGTGACATGGTAATGACAGGGCTCGGCGGCTCCTGCTGGAGGCTGTTGGCAGTGGTCATCCAGGGAACGGCCAGGGACTGATTCCTCTGCCCACCTGAGAAGTCCGGACCAAGGCGGTGCAGCAGGCCAAGGTCATCCCTATGACCAGCATGGTCACCAAACTGCTTGAGTTGGTCTTTGTTGAGGGGAAGGTTGGTGTTCATGTTCTGAAGGCTGGCACTGGCTCCCTTTTGTGGCCCATCAGTGGTTGAGTTGTCAGTTTCACCATTATAGAGCTGTTCCTCATCTAACCTCTGAGTCAGTGCCCAACCCACTCTGTCCAGGCCTGAGAGAAGGCAGGAGAAGTTTATATTAACAATTGAGGAAATGGAAATGCAAAGACATCATCTATATAGGAGACAGTAACATAACCTTATTAAATACTATGATATTTCTGAATGGAGCTCATACAATTTAAATAGTAGTTCATAGACAGAAGTCTTTTGTAAGTAATATTTGAAATGAGCAGCTTACCCAGTTCTCTCTGAACATGCTGTGGGATTCCCGCAACAGTCTTCCTGTGTCTTCTCCTTGTCTTGGTCTTTTCTGACTTTTTGCCAGAGTTCAAGGGCCTGAATGTTGATTCTAGACACATGAGAGAAAACCACGATCCACTGATCTTTAAAACATTAAATTTAAAAGTGAATACAATCTGTGCATCTCACCCATTACATGTTTTATCTGTCATATTATGTGCATCACCATATGTTGCATAATGACCCAGATGTAAATAGTATTTTGCCCTTGTGGTGAAGTTACCTTGTCTGGTGAGTCCAGATCGGGAAGATCTTGTGGACACAGATGATTGTACAGAGACGACAGAAGATATGGTACTGTCGGTCATAAACCCTCCACCTTCGCCGTCTGTGTGGACTGTCATTGACGACTGGCAAAAGAAGAGAAATATCTTTGTTAACAAAACAAAAACATGTACAACAACTGTGCATTTGCTGTAAGTGCTAGGAAAAATGCTGCAATTGTGTCACTTACAATCACGCTTTCATTGTCCTGGAACTCTATTCCATTGTTTGATTCTGCAAGGAGAGTAATATTCAAAACATTTAAAATGGTGATTAAAATTCTTAGCAGTGTTTATATCCTCTGGCGCACACCCTCTTGAGCAACATGCAGACAGTTTGCCAACATGTTGGCATGGCACACCTCTAATTTAGTGCACAGGTGTGTGACTGTATCACTAGAGTCCTTTGTACCTTCCTGCTGCATCATTTTTAATCCCTCCAGGGCCTCGGAGTGAAGGTTCTCCAGATATTTGGGCCTGCTGGCCTCAATGAACACGTTCTCCTGGAGCAACGGGGGTGCCGGGGTCTTGTCATCGTCATCTCGCTTTGGGACAGCTTGAAGTAGAAAGAGGGGAGAGGGGATAAGTCTGGATCAACTCAAAGCTCTGTTTCTGTAACAGTAGATGAGGGGCCATATGGACAGGATGAGAGCATTCAGGTGTCTGCCCGGGACATTTAAGCACAAGTAGAGTAAATATGTTTGAGGGTTAATTACGAGAGTGTGCGAATTAAAAACGGCTGAAGCAGTTCCTTCCACTCATGCGGGATTAAACTCCAGTGACTGACTGTGACTTTTAAGAAGGGATTATCACATCAAAAAACTACCGTCAAATATATATGCTCGGTATTACTCATTTTCTTCTTCTAGTATCTAAAGTAATTTCCAGTGAGGACACTCGTTGAATTGCTGTCACATCTTGTTGCATCCAAATTACATCAGTTCAAACCAATTATGAAACACCTGAAATACCACATGTCATGAACCATGGGTGCCATCTAAACTATCAAGAAACCTGGATAACCTCTTCTAATGACTTGTTGACATACATTTTCAAGTCTAGTCACAGGTTTTACTTAGAAAGTGCAATATAAAAAAGACTAATGTTGCACTAGGTTTACATTTGCTGACCAACTGGCCTGTGATTGAACTTTGTGATCCAAGTAGTGGCCCCACGCTTCCAGGACAGAGTCTGGCATAACTGGGCTAACAACCTGCTAAGATACTTTTATGTAATAGTGACAGCTGCTCCACATTTAGCCACCGACTGTCTGCACTGTCGCTGTAAGACCATGCTGGAATTAGCCATGTGCTCACCAATTGCAATTAATTTTTAGCACTGCCTCTTTTGTAACAGCATTAGTGGTGCTCCAAATAACAAATGATCTATAAAGTATGCAAAATTCCAATACCTTATTCTATTTTCCTGCAAATTGGAGCAAGTATTAGTTGCTAAAGTAAGACTAAATCACAGCATGTTATATATCAGGTGAGTAAACATAAACTGACAGTTTGTTATGGTCCACAGTGATAGTGATGTCCACACTTGGATTACTTTATTGCCTTCCTAGGCGAGCCAGTTGATCCAGCCTGTCCTGGTCATACTTGAACAGCAGTTTAAACAATCAGGGTTTGAGTCATAAAGCAATCAGGTCTGTTGTCTTGTAATGTCAATCAATTGTGCCGCTTTCACTCACCTTTCCTATTGAAGAGAGTTGGAAAGCAGTAGAAGTTAGTACTGGAGTTCTTAGTCAGAAGCACGACCATGCTATCTCGTAAAGTAATCCAAAAGTACACCAAAACTATGCCCAAGTCGGGTTAAAGAAAGAGGAGCACGTATTAGATCCGAATGTGCAGTCCGTCAGTTCAAACAAACATCCTGAAAAGATCACGGCAGGATGACAGTCTTGCTTGTTTTTGATGAAGAAGTTGTTGTTGCCAGTTCAGATCCAAGCGGAGTGTTGAAGGTCTCTACAGCCAATGGACAATCAGAGCTCAAACACTAATCCTCAGCAGCCTAATTCCTGCCATCCCTCTCTACTGTATCTCCCCCACTCGCTGCTCAACAAGATACCCAGCATCCCCACTGTTGCTCCCCATCTGCAGGCACACTCGCCCCGGATTGGTCAGTCAGGGCGCAGATCAAATTGAGATCATACATGTAAACATTGAAAGGAAGAGAAAGCTGTTGTCAGGGATTTGAGGTACGAGGGCGTCACGGGTGGCTCCCCCTCACTTGAGCCACAGCTTATAGCACTGTTAATAAATAACACTACACTGCTTTGTCTGGCTGTACACCATGTTCACTGTAAAACTCGAGAAACACAGCAAATGTATTTACTTCCTTCGAATTCATTATGAGAATATAACTTTATTGTTTTGCCACAAGGGGGAGTAAGTGAATTAAAAGAATAGATTTCTTAGACCAGATTAAAAACATGTTTAAAAAGAGGCCTGCAGCTCCACAGCACATGGCCACACATGTGAATAATGTTCCCTATTGTTCCCAGCAGCATTACATTAGATTTGTTACTGTGCAAGGAGAATACAGAGGATGACAGACAATCTTAAATTACTCAGTTAATCAAGAGCTGCTATCTAGAGATGAATTTGATGATCTTGAGTTGCATTAAACACCTTTGTTTAACTTGTTTGAGTCAAATTTCTTCGATTTCCTCACTTTTGTTTCTTTTTGTTTCGTATTTAGGACACCTCAAACTCATCTTCTGCTAAGGGGTTGTTCACTTCCTGGTGCGCTGAGCAGAAATGACACGGAATGTATGCCATCTGAACAAATGGAAAACATTCTCATGGTTGTGATCCCACAAGTGACTCAAGACGAAAGCAGTTTACAAAAAAAAGAAGAAAAGAAATGAATCGCATGTGTTGCTAGTACATAGCAACAAGTAGAAAAAGATCACCATTTGAACAGAATCCGCTGCTTAAGTGGAGGCTTTGCTCACACATGTCAACAGAAAGTGAACCGGCATGTGGAGGGTAAAGAAAGTCTCGGACAAAACCTATCTGTTGTAATGATACAGCACACACTTGACTGGAGAGGCTTGTAGTGACGGGTGGGGCATGGCTGCATGTTAATGAGGGGCTCGTATTATCACTTGGTTCTATGATCACATTGTAATTGTGTCCAAATTAATCACTGACATATTAAAGGCACCATCTGCCACTGAAGCTGGCAGTATTAACGGGCTGCTAGTGATTATGTATGAACATTAAACTGATGTTTACATCTCGGATTTGGATAAACAGACTAAATCTAATGGATGTGATACCGTTTATTCAAGTTCCAGACTTCTCCAGTGAAGACAAAAATCAGCTTCGGGGGGGGATTTATAATGATATTTTATGACGTGAATAATAAGGATTTAAAGTAGATCATTATAAATGAGTAAACATCTGTTGGCAAGTTTGATTCTCTGGCAGAAAACAGAGACAGAAGGGTTCGGGAGGTATGTTGCGTCATCAACTACTGTAAACAAATTACAACCAGTGACACAGATGGCGGTCGAGAGTGTTTATGATATCAAACCATGGTATTACTTTGTACGTTTTAGCTGTGACTACTCATTTAAGATTAGGCGTACTTTTGTTTTGCCTATTGTCATTTCATTTTCTAGCAAGGCTTCAAAATCAGAGTATAAAAAATTCACATTTAACATGTAAACTGTGACTAACTGCAACATAAACAGTTTAACTCTGACCAACCAGCAGTTTGATTTACCAAGACCAAGTCTCTAAAGGCTTGAATGTATTTCATTTTGTCAGTAAACTGTTCACTTAGATGTTCTAGGGCTGCCCCCTCTAAGTCAACCATTCTGTCATTTTGGTTTTAGTCGACTAAGATTTCTTTAGTCAATCAGTCAATCTTTCATGTTGAATGACTTAATTCCAAGAAACTTATGAACACATCGCTGGTAAACACACAATTTAAAGTGGTGACTTTTTTTTTTTTTATCTGTCAATTAAATCAATAAATCAATTAGTGGACTAAAAGAGTGTTAGTCAACCATAACATTCTTTGTTGGAGGACAGTCCTATCATTTTCTGTAAAATTGTATTTCCATAAGCCTTCTCCCCACCGCCAGGAAATACTGAATCCTTAAAAATAAAGAAATAAAAGAGGAGAAAATAAATATCTGACCTTATTATGTGTAAATATACTGTTGTCAACTTGTAAAATACTCACATATTTTATTTCTAAAGTAGAATGTAAAACTCCTTCCAGGTTGCTAAAATGTGACCTCAGTGTCTTCAGTGGCTTCGGTTCCACCGGACAGATACGACAGCGCAGATATTATAGTTTCAAAGGAAATGGACAACTAACTGCTCAAAAGATGGGTTACTTCAGAGTGTTAATAGTTAAATCTACTGTAAAAAGCAACAGTTTGAGACCCCTGCTTTAGATAGAGCACCACACACACACACATTAACACAGACAAAATACCACTGGCGTTATGTGACTCTAGAACCGCTTCATGGGAATCAAACAGATGCATATACCCCACACACACCTAACTTCCCTGCCCTAACTTGCCCCTCTTGTCTCTCTTGTTTCGCACCGCCAGGCAGACAGCCACGCAGAGACATTATTCTCTTTCGCTCTGAGGGTGAAGTCTGCCAGGTGCTTAAGCCTCTCTAATCAGCACAAACCCAACTGAAGGCATGGCGATGACAGTGGGGAAGGGCTGCAGGCTCACTGTTCCTCTAAAAGCAAGTATCTACAGTCTGGATACACTGACTGGACACATCCTGGTCAGAGCTCGCATGCTCCATTGACTTGGTTTTCAATGAATTAAATATAAACATCTAAGCTGAAAGAAAGGAAGGACGAAGCGTGGTGTGACAAGGACGGCAATCCAGGTAACAGATACACCTGCATGATCTGGCACGCATGGGTTGCACTCAGACAACACAATCTGTATGCCAGCAAACCAGCACGTATCAGAAACCGCCAGACATATACTCAAGGTGCACCCATATGGACACTAAACATTTTGCAGGTGGCCAGTTTTGCATCACAATCAATGTCGTGACATCAGTTTACATCCTGAACCTCCCAACGGCCTTCATCCGTCACTTCACAGTTTAAAAAAGGTCAAGAGTGAGCGAACTCCTGTTCTCAAAGTCAATGTCATTCATAGTGATGAGTTCTCTCTCGATACGCAACTAATCAAATCCCATTAAAGAAACTGCAGGAGAATGTAAAACATCCAGGCCTGCTAGTGCCTGTTTAATGTATCCAAGGCATTGCCACCGGCTCCTACTATTAATAAAACAGCTCCACAGTCGTATTAGCAGAACAAGAGTGAGTAGAGACACAAATAATGGACCGGGTGTATTTAAGGTACAATTCTTAGTAGGTTGGTGAGTGTTCGTTAAATCACAACTAAAGAAAAAGAATCATTGTTCCATTTGTTACTAGATACTTAAGAGTAGAAATTCAAAAAAACAAACTGCTACAACATTGTAGTCATGCTAGCTGTGCGGTGGTGTCAGTCAGTCGTTGGTCCAGACTATCAGAATAGCTCAACAACAATTGGAAGAATAGCCACTAACTTTAAATTACTCCTAATGACTTTAGTCATCCCCTGACTTTTACTCTGGCGCCACCATCTTCAGAATAAATTAAATGGTGGATCTCCTCCCTAACACCTCTCGGTAGGCCTGTTAAAACACCAGGTTGTGCTGCTGTGAACTGGGCAAGCCCCTGTATTACATACAAGCAGGCTTATCACAGCTCCAGTCCTTGAATGCTTCACGAAAGAACAGCGTGTTCTCGGAGAGGAAAACATGAATAACCCAACACTGTGTGCACCTTTACTAAAGTCTAGTGAGGTAAAACCAATGAAGTTATCTTCTACCCTTTACAGTAAGCCCCATTGATTAAAAACAGTTATTTCACTACAAAAGTTATGACTGGTGACTCCAAAAAAATGTTCCAAGCCACAGTGTGTTGGCAAACATTTTCCTTCCGGGACAATAGCTTGTGCAGTTTGTGCAAAGCAAAAGTAACGTACGTATCTGCACATCTTGGCAATGAAACAATGTATGATTTCAGAAATAATAACTGTTGCTGTTTGGCTTAGTTTGAGTTTGGTAACACTGACACCAAACATTAGAGGAGTGCGAAGAATAAAACGAACTTGATGAAATTAAACCGGAGCGCATTATTCAGTTGGGACCAGCGGGCAAACTGGCACCTAGTAAACCTCTCTTACCATTTGCGTGACCTAAATATGATCTCCTCTGCCCTTCAGGTGTGGTGACTCTTCACCTATTGAAATGAAATCTAGTAAATACCCATGAAACCCTGTGATTATCAACAAGCATGTGTGCAGCTGTTTACTATACAGGTAGTCAAGTCCTCGTCTACAGAAACGTCAGCATTGGCTTAATTCTCACATAACACCCGAGCAGAGTGGGTGCTTGTGTTGTGTGTGTGCTTAACTGTCAGATATTTTATATACAAAGTGAGCAAAAGTGCCCCTAAAGGACAACACATGAGAGAATAAACAAGCGCTTTTCCCATGAAGGCTGAATAATGTTTGTCAGAGGTAAACACCTCTATGACGGGCTGGTTTCCGCCATGAGAGGCAGAAAGTGAAACGCCACAATGTGTCAGTTTTCTCAAACCTGTTCTCCTGCCCTTGTAATTGTGTCATAATCACAACACAACTACAATAACTACCAACACTACAGTACTGTAAACAATATTAAAGTTAGGCCTACCATTCTAACAGCAATATCATTTTCCATGAATTAAACGAAGGTTGATGTTGGCTTTGGCCAATGTCTCAGTGTTGTTGTTAGCCTGTGTGTGTGTGTTTCACTGCACACTGTGGTGTGTATAATTCAGTATATTCCAAATGGATCTAAATAAGGATGCTGTAACTTGTGCCTATATTGCCTCCTTGCTTTCTTTCACTTCCCTAAATGTGTTGCAAGTTTTCCATCAGTCTTTTACTTCTTCTATTATCTAACATCCCAAAGCTCAACACTTGAGCTCTACCTTCCATAAAAACACAACTTAAATTTTTCTTAAATTAAGGAGCGTCTACAACAAAATCTTCAACAAAAGCTAAACTAAATGGCTCATATGATCTGTCACCTGGCATGTATGCTAAACGCACACAAAGGGCTCTCTATTTCTAGCCTCCTCAGAGAAATATCTTTATAAAGCTGAGGAATGTGAGGAATCTCTGAGGGAGTGTTTCGGGTGAACAAGTGACCTTCTGAGTGTACCTTGGTAGGACTGTATAACCTAATCAGTCATTCCTTCACCTTATTTCCATTTACCAAAACCAAGGCCATTCCTCTTCAAAGCCATTAAGAGATCAAGATGGGATCAGAGCAACAAGAGTTGCATAAGAGAGGGATAGAGTAAACTGACAGCGCGGCAGGGACATGAATCGCTGTCTGACAGGTACGCAATGACGGGTATTAATAGTGTAAGGAATTAGAGAAATGGAAGAAAACTAACACGTGACAACAGATAATCTCTGTCTTTTGGCTCAGGATGAAACATTGTTCAGGTAATCAGAGAAGACAATGGGTTTACCACACTGAAAGGTCCATGAGGCCAGAGTTTATCGCTCCAAAACTTGCTACTGTGCGGTTCCCTATCTGGTCAAACTCCATAGGCCTTGTTTACAAAGAAACATTCCCACAAAGAGAACTCTTCCCCTAAAACATATTCTCCAAAACATTTTCAGAGAGTGATCCATTACAATTTACTTTAAAAAAAACACACACACAATTTAAAAACAAAACAAAACAAACTTCAGGTAAAGGAGGAAAGTGTTGAGGCCAACTGTAGATTAACTTCAACATTAGTTTGGGTTATCCTTAAGTATTGAGATATAAAAACATTTGAGTACACCGTGTTTGAAAGACTACAGAATCTGCTGCTTTGTATTGATGGGTCAAATAAAACATTTTGAAAAGTTGGTTGAAAGGTTGTTATATTGTCTAGCGCTGCAACGAACAATTAGTCATTATTGTTTTCAACACTTTGTCTATGGTGATCTATAAGTCACAAATGAAGGACTGAGGTTTGACACCAAGGCGATCATACTAGTCTCCTACACACACGTGATCCTCTATGGTACCAGTGTCTCGATGCGAGGAGGACCAGTGGGAGTGGAGGGGGTCAGGAAAACAGAACCCCTTGTTTCTCCCTCACTGTAACAGTCCTGGCATGGCTTTTAATTAACTGGCACCGTGCCTGCCATACCAGGCAGTTAGTGGGCAGGAGGCCCCTCTGGCATCAATACCGATCATCATCACAGGCTCAGCTGGAGGTATTCAAATTTCTGGGCAAGTGTGTTACACTGCACCGTGTCCTGCTCCTGCAATAAACCTCCTCTGGATGCATTTTGGGAATTGCTGAGAGCTCATTGTCCAATCAGAGGAAGCGTCTGGCGAAGGAGTGTGCTGTGGTTGTTGCCAGTACCAACAATATGCACGCCACACACAACACGTCGATTGCTAAGGCGTTCAATGGCAGCATATGTTAATAACTGGCAATAATAACACAATATATAAAGAATATTCATTGTGTCTGCCATCACAATGTTGGTTACAACTTTTTTTTGTAAATCCAGAAATCTACTCTTTTAGTAAGGAAAAGAAGGATTCACTGATGTGGGAAGTAGCCTCAAAATCACCTTGGCCAGAGGAGACATATCTTATCTCTCTTCACAGTTTACTTTTTCTGACAAACACTGCTGTTGTTTCTAACCAATAGTAGCACAATATACCCGTCTAGCTGAACTACAAGATCGGAGATTCTACATGGAGAAGACGCAGCAAAAGAAACAGGCCTCCGTCTGAAAAGCAATTAGCAAAGACTGAACCAAACACGGTGAGCGCTTTTCAGTTTTTGCATGAGCCGACTTAGTAGAAGGAAGGTTTTGCTGGTTGCTGTTTTTGTGTTTCAGGTATTACAACATGAAGGTGTGATTAATGAGTGTACAAAACTAAAGTTAGCACTTGCAGTTCACACAGGAGAAAACAGGACTGGTACAGTTTTGCATGCTGACATACGAGTGCACATATGCAAGCTTCAACAAGCTCTTGGAAAAGTGTGTTGCTGCAATTTCCTTGGGAGCGTGTGAACAATAACTTCTTTTTAGTTCACTGTGTGTGTGTGTGAGTTGAGTTTTACTTCAGTTGTTGACTGTGTGAGTGTTTGTGTACGTATGTGTGTGTGTGTGTGGCTGCACAAAAGGTCTTCCACCTCCAAGCATGGCCACATTGTAGCACCTTCACCCTCCACGTAACCTGAAGACCAGGTAAGTTAAGTGATGGTATCACAAAACACGACAGACAGAGATTTCTTTTCACGGCGAGCAAAGGGAGCCGAAGGTCAGAAGGCGGGTAGGAAGTCAGTTAGTTCAAACATCCTCGCCTGTGAACAAACACACATGCCTGGGAGCCAAGGAGCAGCATGTCGAACTGGTTCCCAGGACCTTATTCTTACTCGTCTTAGAAAAACACTGCTCTCTATAGAAATGTATTTAAATGTCTTTTAAAAGAGCTCTTTGTTAGGGTCAATACATTACCTGGCCACATTGGTGGGTTTTAGCCCATTCACTAAAAATTACTTCACTAAAAGTAGCGCTGTAATCTCATGTTGAAATGACACCACCGGCCCTCTGGAAGCTCGGAAATACATTTCCCCCGGAAAATGTTTTCGCCAAGGTGGTAAGACGGTCGACTACTCATCTTGTGATGAATGAAATTAGTAGAGGACAGCCTAATCAATAACTACATTCATTATAGTTTGCTTTTTTATGGTATTTGCTGTGTCAAGTAGTTCCTCTGCTCTTTTAGCCAACAGGTTGATGCTTTATTTCATAAAAAAAACTATTATAATGTTATTGTGGGTTGTCTTTGTTTCTGGTGAAGTGCCCCACCCAAGGAAATGTTTTCTTAATTGTAAAAAATACATAAAACATACTTTTAAAATATTCAAGGGGATAAAATAGTCAATGATCATCCTGTAGACTCTTACCATTAATGTTACCTTGTGAATGAGTCTGTCTTCCTGACTTCAGTCCTCCCTTGTGTCCACCCTGATGCCCATCCAAAGCTAAGTCAAGTGCAGGACCTAGACCCAGGCGTTTTCCCTTAGCATCAAGATCCTTCCTCTTCTTACCCTTCAGCCAGGTCAGAGCTTGGTTCAGGGAGCGACTGCGCTTCTTCCGGCCCCTCTTGCTGTGCTTCTCCTGGGCAAAAATATCAACCACGTCCTGGGGAAGCAGTTCCCCGAACCCCAGCGAGTCACGGTTTGACATAGCAACTCACAGTGGAGCTACGCCCTGAAAGAAGAGAAGGGGAGATTATAGTCATCATCATCATCATCATCATCATCATCATCATCATCATCAAAACATTACATGCGCTGGCACTCAGGTTGAGATATTAATCAAACGACCACATCGATTTCTAACGTTCCTGGCGTCTACTGGTTTCAATGCATTGAAGTGAATTTTGACATTTTGTGCAGTTGAAGCAGGGGGCTGTTATGAAAATAAACCTTGCTGTTGTGTTCAAGAAAATCACAATATGAGAGTTGAGAGTTGGCTGCAACAGGTTTTTTCGGATTACTGTCCAGGTTTGATTTCCCATCAACATAGCTCATTATTCACATGCTCGTCCGTAGTAAATGTAGTGGATGTAAATGTAAATGTTGGTGCTGCGTTGAATAAACCACAGAAGCACCAAGGTTAACAATGATGGATGACACCTAGCCAAACAGGTTTCAAGTCTTGGTAAGATGAGTTGTATCTTGAAGATAGGCTTTTCTTACGTTTTTTAATCAATCTGAAACATAAAGTATGCTTTGGAAAATGTAAAGTCAGTAAAGTAAATAAATCCAGTTGTACTGCACATAAACACAGCATCAATTAAGTTTCCATAGTTGCAAAGTTGTGTTCTTAGACAACCCCAGTTGGTATGTGTGTGTGTGTGTGTGTGTGTGTGTGTGTGTGTGTGTGTGTGTGTGTGTGTGTGTGTGCCTGCGTCTCTCGTTCGACCCACACGCTCAAACTTCACAGTTCTGCAAAGAAAGCACTGGCACCGCTCCCTTCATTCCATAACATGGAGTCATAATTCACAAAGCCGCACCCGTAAGACTCCTGCACTTTTGCACAACAGCACACTAGGAAGAGCTAGACAATGGAAAAGTAAACAGTCTGTCTGTGTTTACTATCTTATACATCAAGTTATTATAGTTGTTTGATGGAAAGAGACTGTAAGCAATCATGGTGGAAAACATAAAATTAAATAAAGAGAATTTAACACAAAAGTGTGCATTGAGGCACTTCTAATGAACGGTGTCCATTCATATATCAGTGTAGTTTCTGTTTCGCGTTGCTTGTGATGTTTCATTGGCATCCACACCCCGTCACCTTGCTGAACTCCTCTCGTCTGAGGCAGGTTTCCCAGCCTTGCTCCTGGGGATCTGTAGCTTACACTGGGCTCCTTCCAGCTGCGCACTTTATTAGATACTTATCTCCAAATAACAGGCTAAAAAAGTAGGCGCAAGCTCTTAAGATGACAGTTGCAGCAGCTCGCCTATAAGCACACAAAGACTGGAGGAAGGCGGGAGTGGAGTCAGTCTAAAATAGTTTCAACCAGAACTGAACCTTCATGTCAGTAGGATTTATTGCAGGACTCCTGTATTGGACTGCACTGTTTTAGCTGGGTGTACCTAATAAACTGGTAACTGTGTGACGTCTTCAAGGCAGGCGTTGGTCTTCGGCTATTAAAAGTAGAAAAAAAGTCTACAGCCGCACAAGTGCTAACATGCTAACACCGTCTTACTTTAGCATGCTAACATTTGCTAACTAGCGATACACATAAAGCTGACGAGAACATCTTTAGTTTGTATTTGCTCATCAAACCAAAGTATTGGACAAACTCAAATTCTGACCGGATGATGGCGCTAGAGGAAGAGATCAGGATTCATCCTCTGGGGACCACGCATGTTGGTACAAAATGTCACGGTAATCCATCAAATAGTTACTCCAGACTCAAAATGCTGTTAAATCTGGTGTCTGTCCTGTCCAGAAAGAGACGTATGCTGCCCCATATGAGAGACTTAAGATGAGTACTTGAAGTACTTGAACGCTTCTCTAAACTTTATACATATGTGGGCGGTTTTAATGTAGCCCAGCAGAACTTGTTATACACTGCCTCACATCTGTAGTGGCCCAGTGTGCATGGAAGAGATGCGAGGGGTGAGTTTTAGTAAAAGGCCAACAACAAGACAGGGCATCTGTCTTCTCCAGAGAAAAGTACCAGGCCTCTCCCTGCACTAAGCCCCGTGTTTCTCCTGCTCCAAATTACAGTCATTTGGGCATGACTAAGATTTGTGCATCTGTATTGGCTACAGTTGCCAATAATTCTCTCTCTCTCTCTCTCTCTCTCTCTCTCTCTCTCTCTCTCTCTCTCATTTATAGCCCGCGGGCCGCTCTCAGTGCAGCAACTCCGCGTGTTGTTTCCACCACAGAGGGACGAGAGTAATGGTAAGAGCTGCGGGACACGGCGGAGGACCACCCAGCAGACCGCTGTCTGTGCAGTCCGGTCACAAGGAGTTGACTCATGCCACCATTGCTGTGGTTACGCATAACAACCTACAATTTTCAGTTTTCCAAACAAATGTAATGAGGTGACGCACACGGTGGAGTGTCCTTTAAAATTCTCACTGTTTGTTTGATGACGTCTGTTTATCTTTTTGTTACAATTCCAGAAAATGTCGCGTCTCTTGGGTTTATAGGTAAAAGGTGACACAACCCTCTCTCTATAAGCTCACAGTCTCTCCTCAAAGTTAAAGCACCATGGCCAACATCTTAATTATAGTGTTGCTTCATAGTGCCAGCAGTGACTTAAACCTTAACCACACCTCTTAATTCGTAAAAGCTGATGCACAAACTACAGGCACGCTTTAAAATCAAATTTGTTTTTGGGGTTCCGAAACCTCCACCAGCATTGCCTACACTACACACATCAGGGTGTCTCAAGTTATCAGAAAGATCATGATCAACTCATAATGCCTAAGCTGATTTACAAACAAAGTTGAATGTTCCCTCTCTCTCACACACTCTAAACCCGCTGTGGTTTCCCAGCCCAGCCCCAGTACTGCCGGAGCAGGCATGTGTTCCAACACGCTGTTTACTTATCCTTTACAAAAGACGCCAGGCTTTCACATTGAACAGGAGATACCGCTCACACACAGCAAACCTCAACGCAGTGTGTCAATAGCTGCAGCACTGACTGATTATCTGACATTGACAGCAGTGTGTGCATACACATCAGGATGAAGTAAACCTGATAATAGTTTACACACGGTCAGGAAACGGACTGCGAGACTCTGTGAGCATATCTGGAAATGACACTTTTCCACTGTGTATTTTTGACAGCTATATGTCCTGGAAAGGAGCTTGAGGAGATAAATTCCAGAGCAAAAGGGGCTCTCTTCTCCAGTTTTACCGTCAATAGACTTCCAGCGAAGCACTTACACCTGCCGTGCCTAAAGCAAAACTGAGTAGCATAGCTTACTGTGCAAATCCAAACCGAAACCCATGAATATACCAAAGATGTCAATCTCACAATGGGCTCTACTGTAACTCCATTTGACAAACTGGTGCGTAAACAGAATGAGGAAAATGGTAAAAGGACTTGGACTTGTATAGCGCTTTTCTAGTCTTCCGACCACTCAAAAGCGCTTTATCACTACATGTCATTATTCACCCATTCACACACTGATGGCAGGGTCTACACCGTGCAAGGTGCCACCTGCCCATCAGGACAAAATAGCTTTCATACCCATTCACACACCGCAGGCACAGCCTACGGGAGCAATTTGTCTTGCCCGAGGACACATCGACATGGACTACCAGTCATTGTCTTTGATTATCAAGATATCGCGATACACAATTACGTTGTCTGAATTGATAAAAAGCACATACTGACTAACTAACATTTTGCACTAAAGTTCCTAAATAAATGAGAAAATATTCAGTACTTTTCATTTGCCGGGTACTTAGTTCACACAGGAGTATATAAAACCATGTGTTTATTTCATAAAGACTATTTATGTTATTACCAGCAAACATGCTGCATCAGTTTCAGTAAGTGCCAAGACTCTCTTCTCTCCATATTACACACACACGTACGTACGTATATATATATATATATATATATAGAGTGGGAAATATGAACAATGTGAATTTCACAGGCAGTGGTGGGGACGAGGGAGGGTGGGGGTCTCCAGGAAATGTAACTTTGAATGCGGTGAGTCACACAGGGAAGCTGACGGAGCGCACTCCAATGCCTCACAGGGGATAAGGCAAAGCCGAGAGGGAGCGGCCTGCGATACAGGCAGCCACCTTTGTTTGAATTAGGACTGGCTCAGTTTGACCAGGAGGCCGTTCACATCTACGCAAGAGCTGCCGGGATTCACATGGCAGGATTTAGCCGCCAACAAGCGAAGGCTAAGTTCAGACTGAATGTGGTTAGACGGAAATACCAGATTAACAAGGTTAATGTTCTCCTGTTTGTGGGGGGAAAAAAAAACGAGGTTTTTGTTCTGTTGTAGTCTCCCTGCTGAGATATTCGGAATATCCTTTCCAGTAACCAGTAGCCAGTTTGGGCAACAACCGCTTTTTTTTTTTTTCAAACCACACTTAAGAGTGACTCTCTTAACTAACTGGCGAGTCTTCAGCACTGTAAAAACTAGTGTTACCGTTCGGCACCTGCAGGCATCAATCAGGGCGTTGGCTGTCATCTCAAGGCATTATCAAACAAAGAGGAGCATGTCTGCTACTAAAGAGCGAACTCAAGCAACCCTGTCTGGGCTCCAGCTCTCCACACTCACTGTAGAAGAAATGCACTGAGATAGAGGATGAGGCCACAAACTGGAAACGCTCAACCCCACGGCTTCAGGGGAGAGCTTTGTGGGAGTCAATGAAAGATTTCCCATCTTAAGAAAAGTAGTTTTGTATTGACAGAGAGGATTACAAGAAACATAACTAATGAGACCAAGTAGCTCATGAAAACTTTGTTTCAAGAGTTGGGTTTCGGGGGGTGGCCACAAGTTTCCTGGTTCCACACCAACGTATCAGCGTAGACACAGTGGCGAAGGTCTCGGGACAGAAACACAAGGCCTTACTGACATTATGTGGTCCCTTTGTTTTGCTGCAGAAAGGATAGTTTCTGAAAACGACCATGTAGGTAATGCCAGTGTTAGAAATAAACACAACGACGCCATAAGACAATAATGACACAAATAAACCAGAATGCTATGTAACTGAACTCACTGAGCTTATAGACACTGTGCGTGCGTGTGCGTGTCTCAGAGATCTGTGGACGGGGTAATTCAAGTTGGCGCAATGCAAGGCCGCTGTAGCCATGCAGCAGCTTGTCTGGTAAGAGCAGCGGCTGCATTCCTGAGAGATTGATAATTACCGACTGAGAAACTCTTCACTCCAATTCTGCTTTACCCCCCCTCTCTTGTTCTCCCTCCCTGCCACACATCCCTCATACAGTACAGTGGCCTCGGAGACCGAGCCATGAAAGAAAAAGGATAATGGCTGGCGCATGGGAGTCATTTTGAGATAAGATTATAACAGGGGGTTGTGTGCACTGCCCAAGGTAATTGTTGACTGTGTATGCTTTTTAGAGGGGAGTCGCAAATAATCTAACTCAATTGAAACAGGACGGATTTTCCTTTTACAGACCAAGTGGAAAGATATGCATCACAGTATGAAAAATAAATGAATGCATATACGGTATAATATATATAAACATATATTTACACACAAAGACTGTATTTTAACGATACTTTGTGAGAATTGCAATTTCCTGTTAAGTGTTTTTTGTTATTTTCTATCTGTCTTGATATCTGACAATATATTCTCAAGACCTTTGCATTAAATGTGTTCAGTGTATTGCAAGCCTTATTACCTAAAATGTTTCTATTTAGGGCTGCAACTAATGAGCATTTTCATTAACAAACAATCTGCTAATATTTTTCTTGATTAATCAGTTTGTCAATGTCAAAAAATGTGAAAAAGGCCCATTATAATCCCCCATAGTCCACGGGGGCTGTCAGTTGGGATTTTTTGGCATTTTTGCTTGAAAATGACTTAATTGATTATGAAAACAATTGCTGCTTAATTATCTGTGAACTAATCAATTCATTGACTGATTGCTTCAGCGCTAATGAGCTGCTGATATACTTTGTCAACAATGCATAAGAAGTGCACCTCCCTGGTACGTGACTGTTTGAGTCCCTCGAATCCCATTTTCCACTGTTTCCTTCTTCGTTTATTTCCAAAAACAGGACAGAACAATAATGCACATTTTACTTTTCTGTCGCGGTTGAAGAGGCGACAGCCAGCAGAGAGACAGAGGCGGAGCTCTGTTGAGTGTGTTGTTTGCTTTGCATACAGGGGTTGCCAGGGGTCCAAGTCTGGACTGCAGCCTTCTGTGGAGCTTAAGACCCCTGAACTGACAGGTCAGTGAGGGGTGAAAAAGAAAATATTGTGCAGCAGTGGTGACCAGCTCTCAGCGAAGGCAAACACAGCCGGACACTAGGGGTTTGAAAATACATCCTGGCATCTCAGTGTGTCTGCTCTACACCGGGTTAAAACTAAAACTCTGTAGCTGCTTTAAAATCCTTTCAATCTGTCTTTCACTCAGTCCGACAGTCGCCTGACTGTGTGGGAATACATTTTTTTTTTTAAAGTCCTCCGTTTAGACCAGAACTTATGTGAACTCTCAGAGAATCAGAAAATAAAGAGTCTAGGATGTAAGAGCAGAAGACAAACAGGGCCCTCTTGACCGCAACAGCTATTGATTCAATCAATCAGAAGTATTGATGAGGACTCACAGATGAGTTACTCATCAGTGAGTCCTTGTGTTTACCGGCACTCTGTGTCCCACTCATCAGGAGAGTTTCCTCTCACTGCAGGCCTGCATGACACACACATAATCATGAGTCTTTGTTCGTTACGACACAAATTGTTCGTCCCGCCGCCCTCTCTTGACCAACGGCTTTCCTCTTTCCTCCACTGAACGGCCACTTCACCACTGATGGATGAACACGGTAAACGACAGAGAAGTGGAACCTACCTGGCTGCACCATCTCCCGACTACAGAATGCGCGCTCATTCTGTCTTTCCAGTGACTTCCCTATGTCCATCCCTCATCTCTCACTGCCTCTTGTGTTATCACTCCGTCTCTCCCTTGATCTTCCTCTGAATCTCAGGTATCTACCGGTCTCTGCTGTACCTCTAATGCTTTCATAACACACCTGTAATCTCCATGGGTACAAGCCCTGGCTTGGCAGGCTGGCGAAGAAGGAGCACCGGTACGCGACACGCCCTTACTAAACAAATGTCTCAGCCTCGCCTACCAGAGGGTACAAGAGGTGAACTTGAAGCCATGGAGCCTGGGGGGGGGGGGTCCATCAACCCTTGATCGCTGGAAGTGCTGCAGAGTTTTCAGAAAAGTTTGCATTTGGAGCTTCCAGTCCAAAGTGCAGGAGAGGCAGCAGACAAACAGAGAGGTGGAGACCCCCGAAGAGAGGTGGTCCTGTTATCTCTGCTCGGGTCTATGTGAGAGCAGAGACTCATTGATTTGGCATAAGTTAAACCAAGTGTCAGAGCACCATGCTGCAGTCATTTGCTGCTGGTGTCAGTGACAGGGAAAAAACACACAATAGTCTTCATTGTCATAAGCTAAGAGACGCACTTACTGGTCTTAAATTACCTTTTGCTTAGGATCCCTCAAGGCCAAGCAAAGCAAATCTCCCACACCTAGTTTTTCATGCATGCCTCTTACTCAGCCTGGATCTGTTGCCATCCATTTGCATCTCACTTTATCTTATCAAATTCTGTGGGGCTTTTTTACATATTGGGACTATTTTCTTTATTTTAAAGACTGATCTCATATTTTCTTCATATTGCAGCAAATTAGTCAGACAACAGGCAACAGCTTCACTTAAATGTACTTAGGCACCCTTAAAAGTCGACTGAGTTGATCTTGGTACCACTTTAGTACTGTCATTTGAACTTTATGAAAGACACAGCCTACGAGGCTTTATGTGGAGGGATTAAAATACATAAAAGGGCACAAAAGAGTGCACTTTTCTGTTGTTCACAACGACAAAACATAAACGAACTGTTCCGCTCACCTTAACGAACTTTTATGAGCCAGAAGGATTGAGTCAGCCTCTCTCCATTTGAAGCGTCTCCCTGCTGCGTCTTTCCTCTCCAACGCAAGACTTTCACCGTCCGAAGGAAAACTTCAGGTGAACATTTCCGCAAAAAAAAAAAAAAAAAAAGCACTTCAGGAAGCGACTGGAGTTGTGGATTTGTTTGTACCCACGGGTACAGGTCCGTTTTATTTTGGATGTCGGCGAGACTAACTTCTCCCACTACTGTCAGTGCCTGTTTGTCTGCGCGGACGCTCCAGCGGACCGCAGAGGGGGAAGTGGGGAAAACTTGCCGTCGACGTGCAGCTCCCACCTGGAGGAGGCTGAGCGCGCGCAGGTGAGAGCGCGAGGCTGCGGTCGGTGATGTGAGGACATCTAGCGGCGAGACACGGGAACAACAAGTAACACGGAGCAAGAGAAGGAGATAGTGGGTTCTCTTTTCCCCGCACACGTTTCATCAGCAGCTTTTTTTATGCAAAGAACATTTCTCCCGAAGGAATGTTTAGAATGGGTATGCACATCTGGATGTTAACTGTTTTACATGCACACCATATGTGATAGTGAATGGCAATACCTGACAGTTAATAGAAAGGATACAAATCACAATGAATTTAAATACCATTTTTATTCACGTAAAAAAATAATCATATTGTTTGACAATGATCTAAATTAGGCCTAGAGTTCAAATGTAACCATTTTCCTTTGTTTGTTTTTATTCATGCAGAACAACACATCAATGCAAAACCATACAAGAAACATAGAACACCTTACTGACTTATGAAAACCATGCATTTCCAAATCATAATGAATAAAAACTGGCCTGTTTTCAGCTTTGTGACAATGATCTTTATCCCAAATCAAAATACGTGTTTATTTGACAGAGAGTAGAGAATACACTATGAAATTTAGTTAAATGGTCAACAATAACTCGATGTTGCCATGGACACAGATGATGCAGACTGCATCATGTAGTCATGCTATCATAAAGACACTCTGGATAAACATGCAGTGCATATACTTCTAACGTGTGTGGATACTCTTTAAGTATTTTAGTGTGTTTTAGTGTGTGGGATATGAGATATTATATTAAACAAAATATAAACTTATACAGTGAAGATAATCTCTCAAAGTTGCTTTATAAAATCCCTGCTTAGGTATCCTTGTGTGTGGTGGTTTGTTTGTTTATATTTGTGTGTGAGGAGCTATTAAAAGAATAGGCCTGCTAATGTTTCCTCCTCTGCCTGTGCAGTATAGTCTGAGGCCAAAAGGTAGAGAAAAAGTTTGGAAACACTTTCAAGTCATGACATCACCACCTTTCTGAGATGCACATTAAAAACAGCTGTATAAATATAGCTCTCTCTGGCACTCAGGCTGGTCCAGACATGTGTTAGATGATGCATCCAGAGCATGTAGGCCGGTCTGCACTGACACAGTTTGTGATCTCCTGTGGGGGTATGAGAGAGTCTTAGATAGAGTTTCACCCCTGTGCCTCCAGTGATATTAATAAACAGAAAGTATGCCTCTGTTTTGCTGGAGAAAAACACACTGCAGAGCTGTCTGGACTGTCCTCTGCAAACAAAGTAAGTAGAGCCACAAGTTAATAAGAATTGTTACTGATCTGTTTAAGATTTTGACAATGAAAGTTTTTAAGGTTCCCTTGTGTGGCATCTTTGCCTAATGAGAAATGTCATCATGATTCAATTTACATTACATTTCTTTGTTATGCAAAACAGCCTAAAAAGAATGAGCAGATTAGAGTTGTTGTTGGTTTTTAACCCAATCATCAGTTATTGCTGTGGGTCATTTGATTAATAGCTGTTCTTTACTCTCTTCCAGCTTGTCTCTTGAAGGCCATGGACAATCAAACATTAACAGACATTGGGAAAAACATGACATCTACTGAGTCGCACAGGGAACTTGTTGAGGATTTCACAGGCAGCCGCCATACTGACTCTGAAACAGGGACGATCACTCCCCTGGATGAGTGTACACCACATCCCGTACCGCAAAGGGACCAGGTGGTCATGGACCACTTGGGGCAGCTTTTCAACCACTGCATCCAGCAAGTGTCCCATCTGGAGACGCGGAGGAACGAGCTGATACAGGAGCTCCTCTCTCTGCAGGAACCCATTCTGCGAGTCGTGGGGCACCTGAGGGGGAAGCTGGTGGAGACTCAGAGGCTGCTCACGCTGGCTCAACTGGATTATGTCGCCGTTTATGAGGACGTGAAGGAGGTGAAGAGGAAACTGTTTGCTACAGCGAGAGACTGCATCCAGAGCCAGGTGACGCTGGCTGAACAAGAGTATGAGGTGGCTCAGTCTGCTGTTACACAGGTAGGAACCTGGATGGATGATACCTGGAGGATTGACTTACTGTGGCAGGTTATGACAGATGATGGTTAGCTCTGCAGTTTAAGATGTCTCTATCATATCATCTACTGCGTGTATATCATTTTATCTATATTTGTCAGACAAATGGTTTTGCAGGAAATACAAAAAAAAATAATTGCATGAAACCGTCAATGTGTGCAACAAACGGCAGTGAGCAATGTAAGGGGTCAATGCTGAATGTAAGGAAGCAGGAAACATTACATACTGTGTAGAAGTATGGGGAAAAATGTGTATATATACTGTATATATACATATATAGAACAATACAATATAATTAATATAGTTTGCAAACTTATACATTAAAAAACTGCTGTAAATACCAATGAGAGAAAGTCAGCATGATTTTAAGAAACAAAGGAATTATGTTACAAAAAGTCATTAAAGGAGAAACTGAAAAGATAAAGCACACTTAAGTTGAACATCTAAAATATTTTTTAAATAGCATACATATTAAAATGTATGAAGAGAATGACATGTTGGTTCATGTTTGTAAGATATTAGTTCAAATAGGTTGTATGTTGTTCATAACAACTGTAGCTTTGCTCAATTATACCAGTTGCCTATGTCTTTTCTTTCAAATCAATTTCACATCCATCCATAGGAGGAGCTCAAGGCCCACATCCAAAGTCTGACCCAGGAGTTGTCCCAGCTCCAGGAGGCCCAGCAGAACCAGCTAAACACCCTGAGGGACCAGGCCTCCAAGCCCCGCAGGCCCAGGGCCACGAGTGACGTCAGCCAGTGCCGGCAGGCTTCTGCCAGACTGCAGCGGCGGCTCAGCGGCAGCATGAAGGCCCTGGAGTGCTGGTACGAGCCTCGGCTCATGGCCCTGCTAAAGAGAAGGGAGGTCGGGGAGGAGTCCTTGAGGAAAAGCAGGGAGCAGGCCATGGACCTGAGGGCCAGCCTGGGGCCCCTCAGAGAGGCCATGCAGAGACTGGAGTTGCAGAGAGCCTGTCTGGAGCATTGGGTCACTCTGATGGAGGAGAGGGAGCAGAGCATCACACAACACAAGGTGACTGAAGTCAGGGTAGAACATGAAATATATAAAGGATGTTTGGTAAAACTAGACCAACTGAGATGTTTCTCTACTTTGCAGGAGACTGTGGAGAAACTAAAAGAGATTCTGAGAGAACTAGAAGTGGAGTTTGAGGTTCAAAGAAAATCTAAGAAAAATTTGGAGGATCGTAATGACAGCATATTGAAAGAGCTGACATTTCTGATGTACGTTTAATCTGAACCTTCTATGGTTGGATTTACTTTGAATTGTGAGCAGCAGGATAAAAACAGACTAACATGTGGCTTGTTTTATAGAGGCAGTGATGAACCCCGTGAAACCACTGAAGAGGAGGATCCTTAATATTCTGTTTGCAGTGGATACTTATGCTGATCTACATTATACCATGGCATAGAACTTACATTTCATAAAGAAATTATACAAATAATTGTAAAATTCTGCATAAATTAAACTTTTCGCTACTACAGAATTTACTCTTGAACTACCTAAAACTTAACATCTGGCATGCTGCGCCAAGAAGCAAAGCAAACCAATTTACTGTAAACATTTTATTATGAATTTACTTAACTACACAAGAGACAGATGCAGCACAGAAAAACAAAACCAGCACATATAAAAGTGACACACAGAATCTGGAAAAGTCATAATATGAATATCAAGCAAATACAAGAACAGTATGTACAACTTTAATACAAATGGATCTTTGTAGAAATTTAACTAACTAAACAGGATGAAAAAAAATAAAGCCATCAAAAAGCAAACCTGAATGTGGAACACATCTGTAAAGAGTTGAGTACTGGGGAAAAAAAATATCTAAAAATCTGGTCAATAGAGACTTACTTTAAATACATCACAACAAGATGACAACGCAGCATTTTATTCTTTAAATGTTCTTCAAAAAAAAAAATAATCAGTTTTCAACAAGCAGGTCAAATGAAGAGATGTGGAGACTGAACTCATGCCTGGACCTCTGCATCTGCAGCACCTTCTGGGTCCTCGTCGTTGTAGATGTTTTCAGCCTGGAGAAGAAACAATTCAGAAGTTGATTCACTGTAACTGCTATTCAATGTTAATAAACGCACTTTGAAATTCTACCTCATGCATGTGTCTGATATTCATTGTTCCACATCATTTCACGAACCTCTGAAGTTCCCAATATGGGGACAAACAAAGCTCTTACCATTTGCCAGACTTCCATGATGTTGTCCTCTGATACAGAGCAGATGACCCAAGGCTCGTTGGGGTTCCAAGAGAAGTCGGAGATCTTCGCTGTGTGTCCGCCATGGATGAACTAGAGAGGAGCAGAGCAGGAGGGATCACCACCGCACCTTAAACTGGATTAATACATACACGCAGCAGCTGTTTTTGTCACAACTGACCAGCAGCTCAGGAGGGCCGTCCTCAGCATCCTCAGGCGACTGTTCCTCTCCGATCTTACTGAGGTCCCAGACATTGAGCCTCCTGTCGGTGCCGCTGGAGGCCAGGATGGTTTCGTTATGAGGAGACCACTGAACCTGTTGAGTAGAGATGGGCCAGATGTTACATTTCTGTGACAAAGAGCTCCATAAAAACAACACTATCAATAGAAAGCCACAATCAACAAGACCAAAACTATTCCTCTGTAACGCAGAGGTGGCATGTGTGCTTAAAAAGGCAAATATGCCACGTCGCACAAAATGATGACCTCTAAAATAATGATGACCTCGTAAGCCTGATTTGAAGACTAGAGTCTTGTGTTTCTACCATTAGCCATAAGATAAAAGCTTCATTGTCCGTTCACACAAAAATGTGTCTTGCATCACATGCACCAAACAATCAACAGAATACCATAAAAACATCTGCCAGGTCACCTCTGAGTGGCCATCAGAAGACATAACATAGCAACGTCTGAGAGAAACACACCCATTACCAGTTTTTAGTTGTAGCTCTGTTTGCCAACATCTAAAGCCCGACATAACCCCAGATCTGCAACGAACTCCTTCAGATGAATTGACCTGACCAGAGGGCCACTTCTTACCTGGAAGATCTCGTCCTTGTGAGACTCAAAGGAGTGCAGCTTCAGTTTCAAATTCCTAAGGTCCCAAAGAGCCACAGTCTAAAAAAGAAAAAGTAGCTCCAGCTTCAACCGATTCAACACATAACAAATGAGAACTGACTTCACTGGACAGCAGCACGCTATGTAACAGCGAAACAGAGAAAGAGTGGACCCACCTTATCTGCAGAGCCAGAGGCCAGGATGAACTCACTGTAGGGGTTGAAGGACAGGCAGTTGACTTCAGCAGTGTGGGCGTCCACTGCATGGCTGGGCTTGGAGGTGTTGTTGGACCGCGTGTCCCAGCTGTGCCAAAGCAGACAAAAGCACCACTGTTCAAAAGAAGATGGAAACTGAACAACGACTTTTGTGTCCCATGAGTCGTCACGGTTAGTTAATTTTGTTATCAACTAAAGAGCTGCTCACATCATGAGTCTCATGTCATCCGCCACAGACCCAAAGAGCGACTCGTGGAGCAGGTGCCAGGAAACATCCTCCACCACAGCTGTGTGGCCTGTGAAGATGGTCTTTGCATCTACTATCTTTCCCTCCTTGGGCACTGTGCTGATGTCCCACAGGCAGATTGTCTGTAAAACAGCAGAGATGGTTCAGAAAATGTTTTAACAACAATTTACAAAAAAAAAAAATCAAAACAAAGTCAGGAAATGCTTTGCAACAATGGCAAAAGACTAGTTATATAAAACAGTAACAAACAGGTTCATTTGTAATAACTCTAAACTATTTAAACATCCAAAAAAATTAACATGAGCCACCGGAAAACACAAGATTCTAGTGAAAACGGGAAGAAAGACAACACTAGACTTAACACTTCCAGGTTGCTTACGTGGTCATCAGAAGCACTGAGGAGGCAGCCGCTGAGGTTCGGGTTCCAGGAGAGGCCATAGCCCTCCTTCTGGTGGCCCCGCAACCGCAGGTCTGGGGTGCATTCTCCAGAAGGGTCTTCAATATAAATAAAATGATGTTTTAATGTGCAGAAAAATGTGCAGAAAAGAACACATGGGGTTTTTGGCTGTAATCCTACCGGGCTTGGAGGGGTGCTTTGTGTAATCAAATACCAGCACGTCACTGGTGGGAGTCTTGGTGGCAATGATGCAAGGATTCTGAGGCATGTAGCGGGCTCTGTTCACTTCCCCCTCATGGTTGATCTTGATCTCAATCTCTATCTTTCCACTGACGGATCCAAAGCCCCCAAACTCTGAAATAAACAACGGTTACATTGGATGTTTGATGCAAATGAGCAGGCGTCGAATAAAATTCTGTTCTACCGAGCACGTTAAAAAAAAAAAGAAAAAAAAAAGAGGTAAATTCTATGCAATTCTGGTTTATTGCATTTTATTAACTAAAATGTAATCTAAAACAACAATACGTACCTATATTTTCTGAAGTATTAAAGATTTCCGCGAGATTTAAATGCATTCATTCATCAAGAAGAACTGTGAGCCACAATATCCAAATACGAGAACTTGTTTAAGACAATTTGATGACAATAATGTTAATATTGAAATATCTAACCCAATGTGAATAATTTGTTTAATCTACGTGGCTTGGCAGTGGACATGATTTTACATGTCATTAGCTTTTGAAAACAAAGTTCACCCATCAAGCCATTTTGTCCAATAAGCAGCTAGACACAACACATTTAAGGATCTAGTTTTTTTAACACAACACAACCTCCCATGCACACATTATCCCTCACCTCCTTTCTCGCTGTCATAGTGTGACGCATCAAACTGGGCATCATCATTGGGGAGCTGAACGCTAGCAATTACAAGGTGATTCTGCTCATCAGAAGTGTGTGTTCCCAAAACCAGCCTGTGTACACTGTAGTCCTTCCCCTCTGGTCTGTGAAGAGGGAGGGAGTAAAAAAAATTAGTCATATGTTCATTCATATGAAAAAAAAAAACCGACATGATCCCTCTTATGTCAGCAGATCCCCTCTCACCTAGTGACATCTGGCAGCCACTGGGCAGTGAGGCTGGGCCACTCCAGCGCGTGAGTCATGACCAGGTCATAGAGGAAAGGAGTGTTCTTCTTCCAGATCTTGTACTCCTCATTGATCACCCTTTCCTCCACAGCATCGTCAAATGCAGCTGCAAAAGGAACATTTACCAATAACATAAAGTTAGGTCATGCCGCATCTAACTTGCCTGGGCTGAATATTGGAGAGACATAAAAGTTATACCGTACTCATAAAAGTCTTTCCCTTGTTAAATGAGGTTTATTTGACTGATTATATAATGTCATTCTTCTATAGTTGGCTATACGAGTACGAAATCATTATCAGCCCTAAGCCACACGTTCCTCCATGTGTTAAGCTACACTCGTACATTAAAACCTCTGCTTAGCCAGCCTGCTAGCTGCTGACGTTAGCTACCAGCTAGCTGGCTGGTCTATAACAATGAAAGGTGATGCTGGCTGGCGCGCCAACACCGGTCCATCCTGACTGGTAGCCGGTGTCATTCTGGACAACACACACGTACACGTTTAATCAGCTAATTCAGTAAAAAGTGAACACCCTTACCGTCTTTATCAGCCATTGTGTCGTGGTTGAACCACTAGCACTGACGAAGAGTAGAGAAATATGTTGGGAGAGAGCACTCTGTAGAGAGAACGAAGGCTTGCAATGGCGCCAACTCGATGGAACGGGATCGACCAATCAGCGTTCAGCAAACACCGACAGGAAGTCGTCACAGCAAACACACGTCTTCCATCCGGAACATCCCTCCTCCGACGCATGTAGCCTCACGGTTGTGACACACCGACATGGTGACATTTGTTTTGGTCGTCCTTTAAAGCGTTGAGTGAACGTACAGTCAGAATGGGCGACCGTGAGCTGGACCTTACAGAGGCACAGAAAGTGACTAAGTCAAAATACCCGAAAATCAACAAGAAATATGAATGTAAGTCTGATGTTATGATTAAAAAGATGTAGCTAGCTTAGCTCGTTTAACATTACTGTACTAGTGAACACTGTTAAAACTTTGTTTCAGTCTCCATCGTCAGCTAGCTGTAGCTAACGTTATGTTCATGCCTAATTAAACTAAACTGTATTGTCATATGTGCCCAGCTGTTATAAGCACTTCTAACAGCACGCCCTGCCTCATTATGTCACCTTGTGTTTTACTATTGCAGACCTGGATCATACAGCGGACGTGCAGTGAGTGTGTTTTGACATCTTGGTGAAATCTCATGTTTCTCTGTTGTTTCGGTCGCTGTTATATTTGCTGATCTCTCTTCAAAGAATTCACTCTTGGGGAAACACTCTGGAGGAAGCCTTCGAGCAGTGTGCCATGGGCATGTTTGGCTACATGACGGACACAGAGACAGTGGAACCGATTGATACTGTTGACGTGGAATCAGAGGGTGGGAGCACTTTGTCGCCGTCCGTTCAACGCAAGCCTCGATCAACCTCTTCTATACCTCGATCAGTCATGCTGCTTCCAGATCACCAGAACTAAACCTGCATATCCTGTTCCCTTTTCACAAGGTGACGACATGGAGTCTCTTCTTTTCCACTTCCTAGATGACTGGTTGTACAAGTTTAGTGCCGAACTCTTCTTCGTTCCCAGGGTGAGTATGTTGGATCAGTTATATGGTGCTGGACATGTTTTGTATGTAGTTTATTAAAACATCTAGGGGAGGTATGGAGACATTGCAGCAGGAACTACCATAGTTCAACCTGTGCCCTGGTCTGTTCTATCAGGAAGTGACCCACATGTGCCACAGTATGCACACTGCTGTGCATAATTTACATATAATGTATTTTGATTCTTGTTTGATGGACAGACTATGTTAATATCTTGTTTATTATTTTACTGTTATTCTCCTGACACAATAATTTGTTGAATCTATCCACTAGGAGATCAAAGTTTTGCACATAGACAGAATGCACTTCAAGATCCGCTCCATTGGGTAAGTTTCCATTGTTGTCTTTACTTAATAACTCATTCCCTGCAACTCCACCCAGATAACTTTTGATCAAAACAAACTTATATTTGTTAGAAGCTCACCTCTATCATGTATTTCGGGGAGGAAATCTCACGGGCAGACCAAAAGAAAAGCACAGGTGGAGGATTATGTTTCCACATTGACCACAGATGGTGCAGTGATGAGACCGCTATAGCTAAGAAGTGCTCCTCTGACCTGAAAGTCTTGCTAAACCATTCTACTCCCCTCGTAAACTTACTGCTATAATACTGGTTGGAGTGTATATCCCTCCCCTAGAATATATCCAAGCTCCTCATAACAGCTGTTAGCAGACCAGTATTTAAGCGTATAAGGCATCTACTTGCACGCAACTGGGGAACTCCGATCACTCCCACATTACCTCACACTGGCAAAAGCTCTAAAATATGGTCCCCTGTAGCCAAAATAGACCCTGAGACATCTTCATGGAAGATTACCTGGATGACTACACTGATACAATGACCTTATTTATCAGCTTCTGTGAAGACATCTACCAGGATAATCTGCTCCTTGAGCGATGATAAATCCAGGTTCTCCTTTGAGCTCAGGAAGCTTCGACACAACAACAACAAGGCCTACAGGAGGGGTGACCTGGTGGTTTACAAAGGGGCAAAGCAAGCACATAAGTGCAGTAAAGTCACACAAATAACAGTGTAAGGACAAACTGGTATTTTTCTGCTGTTGAATGTCGGTTTGGAAGGAACCTCAGACATGAACAGATGTTGAACCTCTGAGTACTGCAGCTGACCTCTCTCTCCTAAACACACTCTTCTTCATCGATCTAGTCTTACTTTTCTATTTCATTTATCTCTTTTATGCTGCTCTCTCACATGGTCATCTTTGTTTTATTTATTAAAGTTGGGGTGAGGAATTCTCTCTGGCAAAGCATCCACAGGTAAGTCAGTGAAGCTTGCTTGAAGATGTTACTGTAGAATATACACTTATAGGAGAATTGTGTACAATACATAACACAAGATAAATGCTGTGTTTGTGTTATGTCCTCTCTTGTAAATCCAGGGAACTGAGGTGAAAGCCATCACATACTCCGCAATGCAGATCCACGATAAGGAAAAATCGGAGATATTTGCCATCATTGATATCTGACGATACCTCCAGAGGCAGACCGCACTCCTGGTTCAATGAAACTGGAATATCTACTCGGCCAATTTAAGTGGCCTTTTATCTAAGGCAATGATTCTTGACTTGTAAAATGTTTTTCTATTTGTACGGTGAACCGTTTACGAACAGCAGCATTTGCCAACATTTCTGTTAGCTGATAGATTACAGATTAGTGATATGACACTTATATCTTATAAATTGTATCATTTCAGAAATCACAAAACCATGGAAATATTATGAGTCTTTACTTAAAGTCACTATTGAAAAGAAAAACTAATTGAGAACAATGCAATGTTTTAACACATTTTGTTAACCCAGTTTTACTTGAAATGCTTTTGCAAATTCTTATTTATCACAAATTTGACATGAATTGTGTCGATGCCTTAATCATTGTAAATAAATCAACAGATTTTTTATTTTTCTGCTGTGGGATTGATTAAATGGAAAGTGGTACTTTCCACACACTTTAAACACTTTATAGATGGAAGATTACTTTTTTATTTATTAGTATTGACATAATAATCCCAGGCAGTTTCTGAAAGCTGTTCTGGATAAATAGAGTAAAAGGAAGTGTAAACTGCAGTATTTATGATATTTGTGATTTATGTGGCTAAAAGAAAGCTACACACTGTGTTTTCCAGTTCAACTAGTCTCTATTGTCATGGACCAAATATGTACAATGCATTGCACAAGTGGAATCAGGTGTAAACGGGCTGAAACCAGCTGGGATTCTATTATAGCATTACTTACAGTTGTAAGAACATTAGAAGCTGTCGCAGTAGTATTTTAATTGCAGTAATTAATCCTTGCCAAATTCCATGTGGATTGACCAATGGTGGAATATGCAAAATAATAATAATAAATAGGGTACTACAAATAAGTTTAAACTGAAATACACATTTCTGAGACAAATATGCAATATAGGACACAGTAACATCAATGAACTTTGATAAAAAAAACAGCATCGATGGAAGATTTACCTTCTATGTTTAATAAGAACCATGATCAGCGAGAGGACGTTGGATCTATATTCTATAACAATAGGTTTCAATCACCATTCAACCGGTTCAATGAGACCACGCCCCCTGCTGCCTTTCCCTCCCGATTACCGTGGTGCGCTCTGGCGGTGACGTCATCACCTCCTCTCGCGCATCTTCCTCCTCCCACTGCACTGAAATGCAGCTGCGCCATTGCTCCTTTGTCCATTGAAGAGAGCCGCGCGACGTGCAAAGGAAAGATACCGTGGTCGTTCTGCAACTCGACCACATATTGTGCAACGTGTTTCTACCGGGTCTCCGGTGTCGAACGAACGTAGCAGGGCATCGCTCTTTAATCTGGCCGGAGTAGTGTGTTGCTACGAGCCAAGCGTTCAATTTTGGGTCCGCCGTGCAGTCAAGCCCACAAAGGAAAATCAAAATGGAAGACTCTAAATACCTTCCGGAGCTCCAGGCCGAAAAAGACAGCTTGGACCAGTCGTTCACGCACGCAATGAAGCTTATTTCTGCAGGTAAATGTGACCGCCACCGTGTAGAGGCGAATACAGACTAACGGCAGTATGGCGCGAGGCCTAGCGTCTTTTTTTCTTAAACGAGCGGCCGGTGCAGGCCTGAACAATGGCGTTATGAACACGTGGTTGTTAGTGATGTGGGTCAAACTGTCTCAGTTGAAAATGTACCGTGTTTTTCTTATTTTAACGGAAATAATCCTTCTTCAAAAAGACTAACGTTTATAAATGTTTTTTTTTTTTTGTGAATGAAATAATCTGTGTTGATCGTTCATACCATCGACTCATTTTTGCACGGCGCCTAATATATTACGGCTCATGCAATAGACAAAAGCACTTTAATTGGCACTAAATATCATTGCTATGCATCATGTTTTTGGCATTTATCGCGAGTTGGTCATTGAACCTGTGAATTCCACATGCTTAAAAACGTTGTTTTCCCCTTCTCGCGTGCAGAGATTGAGAGGATTGGGAAAGGTGAGACCAAGAAAGAGCCAGAGAAGGAAACATACCTGGACCTGTTCGCCACCAAGAATCTCAAACTGAAAGAGCGGGTACTCATTCCTACCAAGCAGTATCCCAGGGTAAGCGTTTAATTTATGCGTTCTCATTTAATGCTCCATCCACTGCTGTGGATGCTGTGTTTAGTGAACTGGCCCATTGGAGGTTAGATTAAAAAATGTTTTAATCCTGCATCTGATTAAAGGCACCCTCTCTTCTTCCAACTGGGATGTCCCAGTATTAATCAAGTCATGAGCTCTGTGTACTAATCTTTGTTTTTCTGCATGATCAATTTTGCAGTATTCTAATAATGCAGATTTAGAGTAAGGACTGAGTTGACCGTGACCTGATTTTATTTAAGAATGGGCTGTACTACCTGCTGTGTATATAATCTGTCTCTTTGTTGCTGGTAACATAATATAATGCAAGGCTGCAATTACATTGGAACATTCCCTACAGGTGAACTTTGTTGGTAAGCTTCTGGGACCACAGGGCAGCACAATCAAGAGACTCCAGGAAGAGACTGGTGCAAAGATTTCAGTTCTGGGGAAAGGTTCCATGAGAGACAAGAATAAGGTATTTGTAGAAACGTTTTCCTAGCTGCACTATTCAAAGGATAACTGGTATTATTGTTTTGTACATTAACCATAATTTACATTTTTTTTTTTTTTGTTTTGTTTTCAGGAGGAAGAGTTGAGGAAGGGCGGTGAGGCCAAATACGCTCACCTGTCCATGGAGCTGCATGTGTTCATTGAGGTGATGGCACCCATACCAGAAGCCTACATGCGCATGGCTCATGCTATGGAGGAGGTCAAGAAGTTCCTTATCCCGGTATGTGCCCTGGGGAATGTTTTACAGAAACGTTTTTGTGCTTAACATTGGCATTCCAGTTCATCTTGACAGATCTTCTTTGAATTAATGTCTTTGTTTTTTTTAAAGGTATGCATTACCCCAAAAATCATTATCATTAAATATGGAAAAATAACCCCGCATTATTCAATATGCATCAACATTTATTGTCATTAGTTATTCTGTGTGCGCTGTGCTTTCCCAGTCACTGAAACGCAGCGACTCATTTGTTTATGACTACATATGCGCACGGTTGCATTTACAAACTATCTCTGTCATTTAATTGATATTATTTTGAATCTGTTTTCGGTTCAAAAACTGAAAACCATTGAAGTCCTCTTTTGGTCCCCTATATCGCATTAGACAATAATACCGTAGTAAAGTACGATATAAGTAAATGATGACCGCAGGTTTGAGGAAGGTAGAACTGCTTGTGTTGTCACTGTCGCCCCCCGGCTGTCCTGTGAAAATGACAAGCAAACTGACTGTTTTGGTCGTGTCTGTAGGAGCCCGGAGAGCACGAGTACATGGATCCTAACTTCCTGAATGGATCCCAGGATTGTCCCAGGGGGCGAGGTGGTCACCTCGGCAGGGGCAGGGGTGGACCACCTGGTGCTGGAGGACCACGGTAGGAGCCTGATTTCATGACTATAACAATAATTATTATTTTTAACCAGTGAAATTACTGCTAGTTTTAAGGATACATTTTCTGTTAATCACATTTTACAACCTGGTTAACTGTCCACAGGGGGCGAGGGATGCCACGCGGGGCTCCCCGAGGAGCAATGCGGGGTGGTGGCCCCCGGGGGGGAGGATTAGGGCGTGGCAACGGTCATAGGGGTGCACCATCAGGTAGGGGTGGACCGCCGTCTGCTCCTAATAGAGGAGGCTCGGCTCCCCGCTCTAGACCACCTGCAGCAGGGGCTCCAAGGATGCTCCCCTCTGCAGCCATGTCCCACCAGGGTCCTCCCTCAGCATCACAGTCCAAATCTGATGGCTACGAGGACTATGTAAGTGGCTTACGTCCTGGTTTCTTCTTTTCACACGACTTGTCTCTTGCGAGACCGTGGTGATCTGTCCTTTGGTTGCAATAGTTGTGACACGCTTGACATTGTCTAAATAAATTTGTCATTTTAGCCTTCCTATGAAGAGCAGTATGCAGAGCCTGCCTATGAGGGATATGACAATTATTACAACCAGCAACCTGCACCTGCGTAAGTCAAAATGACCTGCCTGCTGAATCTTACTGTAAATTGGAAGAGTACTATACTTACACTTTTTTTACTGCCCACAGGGATACTGAATATTATGACTATGGACACGGAGAGGCCCAGGAAACCCCATATGAGCCCTATGGTAAGATAATAATTTGTAGCACACACACACAGGACACTTGTGGAGCACTAATTGGACCTCCTGTCTAACTAATGACTTGTTCCTGTGTTTCTCCTTTCTGTCTCTGTAGCTCAAGATGAGTGGGACAACTCATGGTCCAGCTCCGGGGCTGGAGGCAAGACCGCCGCTCCCAGGCAGTCGAAGGGAACGTATAGAGAGCATCCCTACGGAAGATACTGAACGGCTACTGGTAGAGAGTTGCTATGGCAACTGTCTCCGATTGTAACTCACTGAACTTTTCAAAAGTAATTTCCCTCTCGTTTGTTCCCCTTTTTTTATGGTTTATTTTATTTTTTTTAAACTCGGTAGACGTTTTGTTGGATGTATCATAGAGTGCCAGAGGAGAAACATGAAGACGGGTTTTTTCGTTGTTTACCTGTTTCCATTTAATGTTTGTTTCAGTTGCGTAGTTGACAGGTCCTAGTGACATAACCCTAACAAAGAAACAAGAGTAACATTTTAATGATTTATCGTTTAAGTTAATTGCATCTGAACAAAGTGTGACTGTGGCGATAAATTCTTCTCACGTAGACTGCATTCTAAAAGTCCTTCATGACTGGACAAAAATGATTCACAATGCCTCAATGTAACTTAACTATAACGGAGTTAGTCACAAACTCAATACAGCCCTGAGCCGTTTGCAAAAAGTCTTCTCTTATATTTGTTCATACAATACAAATCTAGTCTGTGTGAAGTGATAGGGTATCCTAAAATACTATTGAAATCCATTTGGCCAAGAAAAATGCTTCTATTTTTGCCCCACTTTACAATTGATTTATTGTGATCTGTCCGGACTATTACTTGCGAAATCAACGCTGATCGACTTATTCTTGTAAAGCTTGAAGGATTAACAATCCTTACTGTGTGAGAGGAAGGCAGCAGCCAACTCAATATTTTGTACATAACCTTAGGACAACTGTGTATGCTTTAAGCCGTACCGTCTCCAAAATGCATAATGCCTGTGTACCTTTGGCTAAATAGGATACTAAATATATCCCCAAATGTTTTTCTGCAGTGCGTGTTTCAATAAAGTTTCTAGTTTCTTTTTAATCAAACTAAACATGGTATTTTGCCTTTGTTGTACCAAAGGAATGCCTTCCGTTTGTGAAAGTGGTCGTCAGTGGTTTCTCAACAACGCTGAATAAGCTGTATGTATACACGTTAGCCTGACAAAAAAAACAAAAGCAGTGTTATGACTTTGAGTTTATCCTCTTCGTCTGTTTTCAAAACTTATCTAAATGACACTTGTAATGTCGCCTTCGAAAAAAATAATAAATAAAGCTCATCATTCCTTGAGGTAATGTGCTGCCAAATACATGTTTGAATTGAGAATGATGTAGTGCTTGAACGTGGATTGTCATTAACCTTCCGTTAGTGTTATTCAAGCTCTCAAGAGAGCAATGTATCTTCAGCCACTTGAAGTAACTGAATTTCAACAGTATTTCAAATCAAGCTTGCAGGGATCTTACTTGACTTTGATGCAAAGTCATGCTGGCTGGTTTTTATAAAAGAAAAAAATCGCAGAGGAGAGGATTCTAAAAGCCTAAAGATCGCCACAAGAAGGTAAAACTAACCCCAACACTCATTTGTTAGAGTTTTTGTTTTGTTTTGTTTTCTGTGCAAAACATCAAGTAATGAAAGTCATCCAAAACATATCCAAAACATTGAAGTACAAAATTATGCTATCTGTAGTTATTTCCGAGCAAAATAAGCCGTACAAAACAATCAGAAATGGTTGTGATGCAACTCTTGCTCAAATAAAACCAATAATGGTCCATTCATTTCACTCAATACTTACCAATTTCCATCTTGATAATTTCTGTAGAATGTAGATTAATGAAAATTAGTAGTTGCACTCAAAGCGTTAAAACTTCCCATTGGTGGACAAAACCTTTCAGCTTGAGTTGCATGATACTTTTTTAGTATAAAGTTAGTTTTGCATGTGTGTGTTATTTACTGTGCATGAAGTCCCTGGTGTGTCCGAGATCTCATTTCTGTTTCTCTTCTTAGGTTGTCAGAAAACTGTGTAGGTGCAGTTGACACATTGAACTCCAGTTTACCGGGCTTTTATGGTCAGTTGAAAAGAGATTGCATGCAAGTGTTGGCCTTTGAATTCTGCTGCTGAGGTTAAAATCTTCTCTGTCTTTAACAGGTCCGTTGAAAGTCCCTGGAAAGAGCAGAGGCCTTGCTGTGTCTCTGAGGCTGGCTGCTTCTTTGTCAATACTAACCCCTCAAGGGATTTGTAGTTTTTTATACTTTTCGTGAGGAAGTGATCGTTGATCATGTGGAATGTTTTTATTGAATGTGTCCAGATTTACATTATTTTTACACCAGACATTTGAACTGCCTTTTTATGAAAAAAATAAAGGTTTTTTTTTTTTTATTATTGTAAATTGTGTTTCCTGTTTAATTGTTTTAATAAGAAAAGGATGGCTTAAAATACATTGACATGTCTTGTATCATATTATATATGCATGATGCATATTTACTGTTTGGTTTGGACTTAACTCACTTTTCACATGCAACAAGTGAGATTTACCAAAGACAACCTACTGTAGATCTTTCCTAGCTATGCCATTTGAAGACCCAGGCTGACCAGCGGCTTACAGTCCATGGAAAGTCTTTAACAGATTAACTGCAATAAAGTGAGGTGTTTGGTACGACGGACAATGCTGTATTTTACACTACATGCTGTACATCAGGAAATAACTTTAACACAGGGTCTTGGTAACCGGTTCCCATACCTGAGCTTGTGGTGGGTCTAGTGCTGGAGTGGGAGAAGCCTGTAGCCTTTGTTGGTGAACTTTTTAACACCAGTAATGGTTAAATGTGGCCCAAAACAATTCTGCAAATATTCAAATCCACATGCCTTTTTGTTTGTCATAGCTTATGTTGGCCAATTATAAGCAAAAGTCAGTCAATAATACAAATTCACAAAAAATACTTTTTTTTTCTCTACAATCGTGTAAACAAGTTGCATCAAACCAACTTGCTGCTACATCACAAGCGGACTAGTATAGACACAGTATATATCCAATTCAAAGAGGATCGATAGCGATAACATAGTTGCAACAGCCCCAATACGTAAAAACGTACTGTTATGATCCTAAAGTTGTATATACATGTAAGTATATTACCTATCATCAAAATACATTGCTCTACCTCTCTGACTGCCTGATTATCGGTGTACTGTCCCTTTAAATGACTCTCCATAGGTCGCTAACATTTCCGCGCCCCCATCTATCAGTGGCTAGTTTCACATCAACAATGATTGTCTTCGCTGATTTCAATGGAAAACACGCCAGTATTTCAATTCATATTTTGAAAATTTACTGCGTTTAACTTGTTTATGCCACAGAGCAGCTTCTAGCGCAGATAACGGAGCCTGCCACTGGTAAGCTTACCTTCACTTGTCTCGCCTGTTCAGTAGGTTGTTTAGGAGCTAGCTAGCTGCTCAGAGACTCTGCTAGCCTAGGCCTCAATCTTTGTATTTAATCAAGCATGGTCTTGGCGGACAGATCGGAGTCCGTCGCTCTTTGAACGGGTCCACGTTGGTTTCGCCCTCTGCCTCATGTGTCGAACCGAACCGAGAGAGCACATTAAGTTGCTTCTTAGCTAGCTTGTAATGTCAGCTTCCGCAATAAAACAACTTGCAGCATATACAAAGATGCTATGCAGCTATCTCAAACTTGTTCAACGCCAGCTAATCATGTGTGTTTGCGAGGGAGATTATTCTTGCAGATCTATAGGACTGTGCACGTGCTTTGATTTTTACCGTAAAGCCTTAAACTTGCAGATATGTGATTTATGAAATGGTTGTTATGACTCTGTGCACCACTCCTTATTGTCAGCCCTGTGACTAATCCAATCACTGAGCAACTTATTATTATTATTATTAACTTCATTACTAGCTGATGCTCTGCCGGTGAATTCTACCCTATGTGATACATATCACAGGCTCATTTAAATCATTTTACACCCATTAGTCAATACATATGACTACATATTTTTGACATTCTAGATCGGCCTTCTCAGTCACAGTGATCCGCTTCCTTGTAAACAGATTAAAACACAAGGAGACGAATCATAAAACCGGTCGCACAGCTGGGAGAAGTGAGCCGTGGGTGTGTCTGCGATGGCTGGTGGAAGGAGAGGGGCGAACCGTACCACGTACTGCAGACCTCCACTAAGCAATGAACCAGGCTCGGTCAGCAACGGCAACCACTCAACCAGCTCCCCGGTCACAGGGGTGCGATCCCGGACAAGGTGAGCTCTGATACACCGCTGCTTCAACACACACTGAGAGATGAACATTGGAGTCTTGACAGACTTCCCCTCATCTGGGCTGCAGGAATGAACTATGGGTACATCCCAAGTCTCTTAATTGCATCCCTGTTTCCCTCACTTGCGTCTTAGTTCCTCCCAAGTGACGTCTGTTTCTGATGAAGGCGGGTCTGATCACAGCTGGATCAGCTGTCAGTCTGCTTTAACAGCTGGAGAGTAGTTTGTGTCTGTACACATGATCACTGTACTTAATAATAGCAACTAATAATACTAATAAAGACACAGTAATCATCACTGTAGATGTTTTCTCTCTGTTACCTGTTTAACAAACTGTTCTGTTTATAAGCACAGGATCGATTTCTACCGGCAGAATGCATTTGTCTTATTCATGAATTATTTGCGTCTGTACATTTTTTAAAATTCTGATTGTGACGTCATTGTTAAATAACCCAGAATATGATTATGGGTTCTCTTGAATACTGGAATTCATTTATTAGGCTCCATGTTTGAAATTATAAAACTCATCAAACCCTCGTTTCGTCTCTCCAGCTCTCTCTGACTTTAATTGTATCCATAATAAAAGTTATTGAGGGAAATATCTAATCATGAAAAGACAAATCTTTCTAATAAATGAAGAAAGTTGTTTGTGGTCCTTTTGTTGTTCAGTCTACAATAAACACATTTAAACTAGATGAATCAGAAAACTAATCAAATATAAAACTAGAGTTTAGTCTCTGATCTGTCTTCACTCTGGTATGAAACTCCAGTGATATTTAGAAAAATCAGATCAGTCCAATCAGCTGCAGCGTCCAATCACATAACTGGTGAACAATGAGGGGGCGTGTCAGCCGTTAAAACAACTTCCTGGAAGGCTGTTCACCTGTGTCCTCGCTCATGGCTCCTCAGAGATCCCTCCTCGCTCCTCAGAGCAGAAATAAGAGCTTTGGGACGGCCATCAATATGGCGGAGCAGAACAACTTCTGGTTCAAGCGAGGAAATGACAAATAAGAGACTTGGGATGTACCCCTATGACACGGATGTGTCCTACTCCAGTTGTCCCATATTGCCACAGAGTGATACACGCGTCATAATAAAACGGCTGTGTTTGGTCTGCAGGAATGGCTCGGGGACATGCATGTCCAACCCCCCGCTGGCTGCGCAGACGGTCGTTCCTCTGAAGCACTGTAAGATCCCGGAGTTGTCCATGGATCGTAACGTGCTATTCGAGCTCCATCTTTTCTTCTGCCACCTCATTGCCCTCTTTGTCCATTACGTCAACATCTACAAGACTGTGTGGTGGTACCCTCCATCACACCCTCCCTCACACACATCACTGGTGAGCACTCAGTGGTCAGCTGTTGACTCATGATCATGTTTATTTTCGTAGATTACTGTATCTCTATTTTGAAATTTGCATATCTTGCTGGTAGCCTGAACTGGTATTTTTAGGCTGTGCTTATTATTGTTGACAAAATAATGTAAGTGGGAGGAATAATCCTGAATCCATCTTATTATTCACAGAACTTTCACCTTATTGATTATAACATGCTGGTGTTCACAGTCATCATACTGGCAAGGAGGTTAATTGCAGCAATTGTTAAAGAGGTAAGAATTGACTTTTTGGCTTCTACCTTTTTCAGAATTTAGCCCTCGTCCCTCACACGTGTTGCTACACATTCAAATATGAAGTCATATCACTCTGTATTTGATGCAAATGAGTCCTGCACTGTGCTTTTTTCTCTTTGATTATGTTCCGTGTTGAATATTAATCTAATGGCAAAGTTGTATTAATGCGACTGTTCTGTGTCCCCCCCCAGGCGTCACAGAGCGGGAAACTATCCTTCCCTCATTCGATCTTTCTGGTGACGGCTCGGTTCGCTGTGCTCACGCTGACGGGCTGGAGCCTGTGCCGCTCCCTTATTTACCTCTTCAGGACGTACTCTGTCCTCAGCTTGCTCTTCCTCTGCTACCCGTGAGTCAAGGAGAACAAAGAGGGTCGTACTCGTTTGACAGAAAATATTTTTGGTGGTTCCATGTTTTCCACACGCATTTAAAGAAAAGTTTCAATGCACTTGCATGTATTTCATAGTTTGTGTTCACCATCTTCAGTTGTTTTGGTTCCTGCTGATGTGTTTGCGCTCATATTTTTCCCATCTTTCGTGAGCTAGATTGGATACAGCCGGATATCAAATGTGTTTGAAACAGTTTTTGCTGAAACAAGCTGTATATATATGGTTGGCAAAAAAAAAAAATTGGGCTAAAAAAAGTAGTCTGAACTGAGGATTGAATGATTGTTGGTGCTTGTTGTCTCTTAAGCACTCTCGTGAAGAGCTTCAATTGAAACATTGCATTGTAACATCCGGTTTATTGAATATTAATAATATGATGTTTGGATGCTGTTGTCCATGGTGTCTCTGCAGCATGAGTGTGCTTAGCATTTCAAGTTTCATGATGTGGTATTATGTAGATTTTAACTGAAGCCACGAAGATATTTGCCGCCATATTTGTTTTTTTAACATCAGTGCAGACTGTCGTGTCACAAACTCAACCAACCTTGTGTGGACGCAAGGCGTCAGGTATTGATAAAAGTAAGCTGTTGTTTTTCTTCACAGATTCGGGATGTATATTCCATTCTTCCGGCTGAGCTGTGACTTCCGGCGAGCAGGTTTGCTCTCCCCCGTTGCCAGCATCGGCTCCAAGGAGGTGGGCAGCGTGGGCCGGGGCAGGGACTACTTTACTGTGCTCAAGGAGACGTGGAAGCAGCACACCAGCCAGCTGTACGGCGTCCAGGCCATGCCGACTCACGCCTGCTGCCTCTCCCCGGATCTCATCCGCAAGGAGGTGGAGTACCTGAAGATGGACTTCAACTGGAGGATGAAGGAGGTGCTGGTCAGCTCGATGCTCAGTGCTTACTATGTGGCCTTCGTTCCTGTCTGGTTTGTCAAGGTAAGAAACTGTCTTAATTGTAACTTCTTTAATATCACTTGTCTTTTATTTATTTTGTCCTCGCCTGTATATTTTCTCTCAGAGTACACAGTACGTGGACAAGCGCTGGTCTTGTGAGCTGTTCATCCTGGTGTCAGTCAGTACGTCGGTCATCCTCATGAGGCACCTGTTGCCACCGCGATACTGCGACCTGCTTCACAAGGCTGCAGCTCACCTGGGCTGCTGGCAGAAAGTAGACCCCTCGCTCTGCTCCAATGTTCTTCAGCACATGTATGTACCACTCACGGTGTATCACTGGACTCTAGGTCCATTTAGGGACTAATTTGATTCAAGTCCTAATCCAAATCTGCTGTCTCTCTTTGCCCAGATGGACAGAAGAGTACATGTGGCCCCAGGGAGTCCTGGTGAAACACAATAAAAACGTCTACAAGGCCATGGGTCACTATAATGTTGCAGTTCCGTCAGACGTATCCCATTATCGCTTCTATGTGAGTATTCCCAAATGAACACTAGAGATTTCCTGTACTGCCTGTTTTGTAAAAAAAAAAAAAAAAAAAAAAAAAGGCAGCAACTTGCACATACTTTATCTGATGACTGCATCCTGTCACTTTCCCTCCCCTCAGTTCTTCTTTAACAAGCCTTTACGAATATTGAACATACTCATCATCCTGGAAGGTGCCATGATATTCTACCAGCTCTACTCGTTGATATGTTCAGAAAAGTGGCATCAGACGATATCACTGGCTCTGATTCTCTTCAGCAACTACTACGCCTTCTTCAAGCTGCTCAGAGACAGAATCGTCCTAGGAAAGGCATACTCGTACTCAAACAGCTCATCAGACCAGAAAGTCAGTTAGATTTGACTTGTTATTGTTCGCATTCACCTTGGAACAACAAAAACATGCCTAAGAGCTCTGTATTTTTTCTACAAACTGCATTTTGTGTCACGTTTTTGTTCTGATCCGCCATAATTAAAAGACATATTTTTGTATTACTTTAAAGGTTTGCTTTAGTTTTCATTCTGACCACATGAAACCTCTGTGCCTGAAAAGATTAAACCCAAAATTTGAACTATTTCTCAGCCAATAGGTGGAAATTTCAATTGACAGGTTGCACTTATTGACTCTTCATTGCTGAGAATGTAGTCATTTTTTTATGTTTTAATTATAATTGCTGAATAACAACATGGTATGTTTTTTTCTTTTTCAGCTTTTGAGTATTTATGGAAGCAAAGATTTTTAACGGAATCCAACAGTCATATTTCTGGAATGCTAAACTTGATGCTATAAATTCAATGGTATTGAAAATGCAACCCAGAGTACTCGGTTGTGATTAAGTGAAACGATTATGAAATTCAAATGATCACAGACTTTTTCCGCATCCGTAGGGTTACACTTTTCATAAAGTGACAGATCCCTCATCTGTTGCACTTCTTCAAGTTTCTTTCCTTTTTTTTCCCCATTAAAGTTTTTCTTATCATATCCGAGCTGAGAGTGTGGGGATGGAGGGTGTTGTATGTACAGATTACAACGGCCTTTTTAGCTCCACCTTTACTAGCTGCATCATCAGTGATGCTTACACATTAATGTGTCACTAATCATAATCCAGTGATATGATATATATGAAATAGGCCATTCTGCATACAGAGCACTTTTACTTTTGGTAATTTAAGTATATTTTGAGTATATTTTTACACTGTGGTATTGCTGCTTTTACTTAAGTAAAATATAAGAGTAAGCTACTTTTTCCACCATTAGCTGACAGAAGTGTATGCATATAAGAATAAAACACTAATGGAGGTAGAGGAGTATATCGTGTTTCAAGGTGTCACTGAGAGAGAGAGGATCGTAGAGGAAGATGGGGAACAATGGCGCCGCCATGTGGCCTGAGTGCATATCTTCAGTTGCCGAGTAACTACAATGGCAAACCCACCAGGAGGCTATGACAGAAAAAAGATATTTGCATCATCAGCTGATTCATTCAGTACCATGGCAGGATGTTGGTCGCACCTGTATGACACGAAGAGTAAACAGTGATACTAACTGTCACACACACACACACACACACACAGAGGAGAGGACTGTCCCTTTAAGACGGATACAACACAACAGTTGCGCACGAGACGAGCGCATCGATGTCGCGCTTTACATTGGACCAGTGATTATAATATATATGTACACCTGTGCTACAGCGGGCAGAATTCAGCAGCTAAACTGTGGTTTATAAAGATTAGTTCACGTGAGGTCTACTGAGACGTTTTTTAAATGGCGGGAGGAGAAATTTGACGCTTCGCTCAGCCGGTTTGCTTTCTGATGCGTAATTGATTCGGTAAGTCGTGTTTGTGTCACTCGTAGATGATAAATATCTGTTTACACGTCTTCTCTCGCTGAATTCAACAATATAGTGTAGCAACCCGCGGTCTACATGTTGTTGTGAAAGCAGTTTTTCTACAGGGTTAATACAATCCAAGTAAATAAGAATGTCGATAAGCGTGTAAAGTTGCCATTGTGTTTTACTGTAGTGGCCATCTTTGGATTCTAACGTTACTCTGAACGGAGGCAGATAACTGCTATTATAACAGTTATTTCATCACATTGTAATAGCATGAAGCGATATTTAGGCCCAGTGCCGACACCACAGTGACATTAATGCACTCACTGTGGCTGTTGATAACAATAAACAACCACTCTACTGCAGTAGGTACTGATATCAATGAGCCAAATATACAATACTACACATATAAGTGAACCTCAGACGAGAGACTATTGTAATCCAACAGTCTTGCAATACAACCTTTTAATTTATAGTAAAATATATACATTTATTGCAGGGCTATTGCATTTAGTTGGGCCACTTCAGCTTGTAAAATGTGTTTGTTTTTGTTCTGGTCACAAACTGGGTGTAGCTAGATGAGGGTATGACCTTTAAACTCCACTATCCTAGTGGGAGATCTCAATAATAATGCAGTATATTGATTTTCTCCTTCAGCCATTAGTCTGAAAGCTGTATGCTCCTTTAAGGATTCATGTTACCTATCTGTGCATTTATCTGAAGTGAAGATAAAAACAAAGCCTCTGCAGTGTAGCTCGTTTGGTTTTTGTAGCATATAATCGGTTTGTTTGTCTGGAATAATAATTGGAAATAGGTGTCCTTCAGTTCACACATCTTCTCTGAGCTATTTCCACTTCGAGGCTGCTCTAAAAATATCTTTCTAGGCCACTGTTTCACACTCTTTTAAAAAAAAAAAAAAAAGTCAGAAAATTGCTTCCATTTGAAAATGTCCTCTAAATGCAATCACATAATCTTCCTCACTGTAGCAGCCCGCTAACACTGATGATTTAGATTAGTCTGTGACATGTGTATTGTTGTGATGACCTAGGGATGCTGGTAAACTAAATGCTTTTTTTTTTTTTTTTTTTTTTCAGAGTGGAGAATCCTCAGCTGCAGCACCGATTTTGGCTCAGTCTCCACGGAGCCCTTTTCTCAGGGAGGGGGAAGACTGCAGGTTTTCAACGTCCTACCTTTTGGTTTGCTTCAGGACGTCCTGTACGCCAGCCAGGCAGTTCTCCCCCCAGAGTGCTTCACTTCAAAGATAAATGATAATGGAAGACAAACGCAAGAAGCGGAGCCCAAAGGTGACCCTCCCCCAGCCCCCTCCTCCCCCCGTCAACCCCCGCAAAGTCTCCGTCCTGCCTGCCAGCAAAAGTGCCACCTTCTCTCTCGGCCTGCCGCAGCCCCCCTCCCCCAAGAACAGAGGCAAGTTTAAGCGGTCCATAGGAGCTGCAGGACAGCCCAAAGAGGTGTTCACCGTCGTAGCGCCACCGAAGACCACCAGGTTTGTGTCGTAGAGAGCCAATAGTAGTTATGAACAGCTGCTGCACATGTTCTTTGCCTTTTAATGTCCCATCATCTCATCCATAAACAGATAACTGACTGAAGTAGTTAATGCTACATCTGAGTGTAGTAGAAAGTGTGCGTTATCTTTAAAGTGCCTTGGAAATAGATACACTACACTCGCTTTGCATTGACGTTTAAAAATACAGGGGAACGTCCACTTTAGTAATATTTAATATCACGTCGGAAAGAATTTGTTTTGAAAGCGTGACTATATCTTTTGCTGAACAACTGGCATTTATTGGATAATAGCGATTGCAAAACAAATGTTTAGCATTTAGCTAAGATGCTAAATACTAAACAAACTGAATCAAATTGAAATCAAATAGCTGTGGTGCATTGAGCTGTAACGTTAAGCCCATTGCAACAGAGTCAGAACAGCAACAGACTGACTCGGTAATGTCTGTTACACAGTGATATTGTGAAAGCACTGTTTGCATGCGACGAGTCGATTGAAGGCAGGATAGTGATTTACAAGAACAGATTAGGTATGCGCGTGATGTTTCTGTTTGTTTGTTTGTCTTCAGGCCCCACAAGGAGAAGCCCCGGGCCCCCCAGCCTGCAGGGCCCAGTAGAGTAGTGCAGTCTTCCCCCCTGCAGCACTCGTTCCTCACAGACGTCTCAGACGTGAGAGAGATGGAGGGAGGCCTCCTCAACCTCCTCAACGACTTCCACTCGGGCAAACTGCAGGCTTTCGGTAAGACGACCTCGATTAGAGAGGCCACCGAGGGAATATTCTGTTACGGCCGGAAAATAAAGCCAGTTGAAAAAGTGAACTGAAATCAGATAGTTGTGGGGCTATTTTTACACTTCTGTTGCCATGGAAATACTCAAGACTTTGCTGTAATCCTTCTGCAAAAAAGAAAAGTTACACGGTTACTGGTTTTCTAGGAAAGGTGTGCTCCTTTGAGCAGCTGGAGCATGTGCGTGAGATGCAGGAGAAGCTGGCACGACTGCACTTCAGCCTGGACAGCCACGTGGAGGAGCTCTCAGAGGACCAGAGGAAGTGTGCCTCCGACCACAACCTGGAGCACCTGCTCTGTAACGTAAGCGCAGACCACAGCAGCAAAGGTCATGCTCATCTGTGTTTGCATTTTTAATACTCTGCACATTTATTTTAAATTGCACATTTTTGCATGCCAAAACGACCCCCTAAATTACAATACATCGCGTGTTACATTATCCTCTGCCGTGGTGGTCGCGTCACTGAAACAGCATCACGTGACACTAAAACTCTACTCTGACAGTCTGCTCTGGTTTAGTTGGTTTCACAAACTGGAGGCTGTGGAGTAAAATATTTAAACAAACAAATGATTTCACTATTTCAGAGACATTTTAAGTTAAAGAAATAATCAAACCCTCCATTAGGTTAATTCTCAGTTTTTGACTTCTATCCATCAGTAAATCTCTTATTTTAAAACCTTATGTCCAATGCACCAATGCACTTTGATTTATTTGAATAAGTGTGTTTCAGACATAGAACATCTGGGCATGTCCCAGCTTGTTCCACACATTTAGTTTTTATTCTCAACTCTGGCCAAAACACTTTATTTTCCCTTCAAAAACAATAATATAATAAAAACCTGGAGAAAATGACATGATTATGTCATGGGAGCACTTCAGTTATTAACTGTCATTGTCATCAGGGGAATAGTGAAAATATGCTTTCTTTTCTTTTGTTCTTTTAAGAGGCATTTATCACATCTGTGCCGTGTTAACGAGTCACGGTCATGACACACAGCAAGAACCAAACCTATCTTGTCTTCCTTTCACTCTTCACAGCTGTGAGCCATTAAAGCACATCTGCCCGTCTGACGTGAGTCGGAATGCTCTGCTGAGTGTCTTCTATGTGTTAAATGTGGATTACTATCCAGCACAAACAGCTGAGTGTCGTCCAAGAATGCCTTGAAAGCGTTTCTATTGTTAGGGTGTTGTGTGGCGCTGGTTGCCCCCGCCTGAGGCCGGTATGTTCGCTGAGGGGAAGTTGCAGTGCGATGTGTGAGGGAAGTGAGAACAAGCCTTCAGCTCGCTGCAGACACTGCTGCCAGGAATACTTGCTGGCTGCGGCGGCGGAGGAGAACTGTGCCTCGGAGCAGACGGGCTGTGAAGTGACTTTTGTAAACCACACGGTCTGACTCAAATATTGACGTCACACACACACACACACACACACACACACACACACACACACACACACACAGGCTGTTATGTAATATGATCAGTTGGTGATTAGTCCCCTGTACTACCACACCGTGTTCTAATCTTGTCTGTTTCTATTTCCATTACACCTCTCACACTTTTCTCCCATTTGTTCCTGCAGCTGGAGGAGCTCAGCACCTCGATGTATCCTTTTCCTCCATTCAATCACTGTTTTTGCTGTTTTTATGGGAATCACCCAGCACTCCAGGCGCAGACACTGGTTTTAAATAATTATTTTTACTTCAGTGTTTGTCTGTGTGAATCCTTAATGTGTTCAGACAAAAGCTCCACTTGGCTGAGAACCAGGACCTGCCCAAGACGTCTGGTCCCTGACGAAGTGAGGTGCGGAGGACGGCGACCGCACACTCATCTTCTCCCAACATCTAACCAGTCCAGGTTGCCATGGCATTGATCCAGCTGCCTTAGTAACAGAAGGGAAAGATCCACAAGAGGAGGAGGAGCTCTTTGTTCCATTTGGTCGGTGAAGCGGAGGAAACAATATAGAGACTTGAAGCAGCAGAGCATTAAATGAACACTCAACCAAAACCGTAAGCCCCTTAGTTAAAGCACAAGAAGCGATCGGAGGGTTTACTGAACACTTGTTAGATGGAATACGTTGTGTCCAGGTTTTTAGCATGTTCTTGGCACAAACTAACTTGGCTCCAGTTACTCGTTACATCATTTCGGAAAAAAATAAATGAAACCAAGTGTAAGCTTTAGTTCGCTGCGTCCCAAAAGCAAATGTCATGAAGTTGATTTCACAGTATGCCTTTGTCTGTTGCATCGTTTCAGAAGGTTTGCCTCTCTGTTAAGAAATGTTAGCACTCGTCGACAACACCACTGTAGTTAGCTCGTAACTTTAAAAGGGAGTTTGAACTTTTGCTAATATTCTGAAAGCACTACCTTGTTTTTATAGCTTTGCTTTTAAAGTTTCATACTGGAAAAAATAAATACTGGCTTTGATACATTTTAAAGGGTCTATGTGAACGGATACAAAAATGTATGTTTGATGAACTTGCATGTGAAATGATTTATGTTTTGCCAGTGTGAAATCCAGCTACTGTATTTGACACTGATGGGTCAGAATAACTTGGAGGATTTTGTGAGTACTTTATCAGGGTTACCCTCTAAAATGACCTACTGTAACATGTATGGCACCGTGTTGTTGGATAGCACATTCAAAGAGTTAATGCGGCTGGAAGAAGTCTCTGTACAGTACAATTTCAAAATGGCAGCTACTTTTATAACCAAATGATTTGCGTTGTATTAATTCCAGACTTAGTAGCAGTGTACTATGGCCATGATATTTAATTCCTGACAAGTTTAATAAGGTTATGAGTGATCAGAAAAATCACAGCATGTCAAGTGATTGGTGCATTTGGTTCCATAATACATTTATATACTGGTTACTCCATCAAACATCTTTTACAGCCTGCAATGTTCTGTACACATTAAAAGGGCTAATTCATATCTCTCTCTCTCTCTCTCTCTCTCTCATTATGTATTGACTGTCAAAACAATGGAAAACCTGTGAAGAATCTTGTGTGTTCAGTAATAAAAGTAAATTAGGAAACTTAAAGGCACAGAATGTGTGTTTCTTGAGTAAAATTCAATTACCCCTTTAAAAAGATTAGACCTTAACAGATGAGACACCGGGAAGTTGGTTTTACATAAATAAAACACTTTATTTATATATATATATATATATATATATATATCTATCTGTCTCTTGCTCACAAACAAGTTCAATATAATTTAACAATGAGTTAAAAGGCTACTTGAAGTCTGGCACTATACTGAGACATAATCACATCTGGGCCTTCACTGTTTCTCAGGCAACAGCTGGAGTAAAACTGAACTCCTTTTCCTTTCACGCTGGATCCAGGAGAACTGGTTCTGACCCAACCTTGATCCAGGCATCAGTGCGTGTGCGCGCACACACATATATACACACATATATATATATATACACATATATATACATGCATACATATATACACATACACACACACACACACGTGTATATATTATATATATATACACACACATACACACATACATATGTTTATGTGTGTGTATGTATATGTGTGTGTGTGTATGTATGTATGTATATATACTTAACAAAAATATAAACAATTTCGAGCCTGCCAGTAAATTTTGGTCATGCAAAAAAAAGACAGAAGGTACCAACTCAGCACATCATGAACAAGACTTTGAAAGCATTACACATTAGATAAATTATAAACTGTACCATTATACAGCATACGATTACAGAGTAAGCTAATACTGTGCAAATACACATTTGAGCTGTACAAAAGTATTTTGTACTATTTGTTTTGTTAATCTCAATTCACAAAAAAAACTACATAAGACATTTTGAAAATATCACATCACATTTGATGAAACAGCAAAAATATACACCCATCGGGTCCCTGTCTTCCTCGTCTTTTGTGCATTTCAATCTTACATTCCGCAATAGTGTCTGATTTGTCTACAGTACATGTTAAGATTATGAAAAAAAAAAAAAAAAAAGCAATGACAATCATAGGATGGTAAAATGTAAAACTCATGAAATCTATCATGATAATGAGCTACCTTTTTCAAAGTGCAAAGAGAGCAGGTTGAATATGTGTTACAACTGTCCATGCTTCTGTACCAGAGGAAATCTCACTGATATAAGATTAAGAGCTCCTATTTCTTTGAAGGACTTTCTCTTTATTGATACAAAAGTGCAGGCACTATATAAGAAATGTAGAACATCTCTGTCTTCAAGTAAGGTTAGTGTTAAGAAGTTATTCTCTTCCAACATCAGGGTGTGTTTGGATTCTGTTTTACCTTTAGGATAAGGTCCTCAGGACCTCATTTAAACCTTTATGGACATTGGCAGGCTGGGACGCAGCACACTCGGTCAGACTGGGCCCCATCTGGGTGTAAAGGGCTTGGCACAGGCTGGCGGTAGCACCCCTCACGCTGCCGCCCCGGCCATGAACGGTGCCACTGTGGCTGGAGGTGCCCAGGAGGAGCCACAGCAAGGGAAGCACTTTCTGCTCCACCATCTGGGGCTTGCGAGGGTAGAGCTCCATCACAAGATCTGGGAACAGAAAGCGAGAAGAAAGAGGTGGTCAGACACAAAGAGCCAAGGCTGAAACTACTGCAGTATTCAGAATTATTAAAACATACATACCGGCAACCTTTCCGATAAGATCCACCTTTGCTTTGCCGTTTAGGAACTGAGCCTTGGTGCAGAAAGGCTGAAGAAGAAGTATGTTATCTGTCACGGAAACAAAGACAATCACAAAGTCATATAAAGACAGTTCTCCGATTAGACTAAGCCTCGCAATTCACTTCTACCAGAGATATTTGAAGGCTCAAAACGAGTACCAAGATTTGAAATAAGTGCGTCAATAACTCCAATAGCAGCAGAGTAGATGGCGTTGTTCTTGGAGTTGAGGTGATTGTCCATGATTGCTGGGACCAGGATGTTGACCACTTGGGACAGGTTGTCCTTTAACAAGTGGATGATTTTCTGTAGAGACTGGAGGGCGTACAGGTTGACCTTGCTGTTGGACTCCTGCAGCCGGGCCTTGAACGCATCGAACAGCTGAAAGAAGGCAAACCGGAGGGAAAAGAAAAAAAAGGTGAAAGAGAGACATTGTGGCGATAACTGAGAACCACGACAATGAAATATTGATAGGCTTTAAAAAGAAACAAATGCTAGTACCAACCGGGAATATACTATTGATGACCATGTTGGGGTTGTGCTGGCAGTCGGCCACAAGCTGGTCGATTCCCTTGATCCTCTCTCTGAAGTCCTTTGAACCCAGCAGACCTGAGATCTGCTTGATGTATTCGTTCTTGTCTGCAATACTCTGTGTCTGAGCTTTGCAGCTGTAATGGCTATTAGACTCCCTGTAGAATGTAGATGATGCAAAGTACATCGAACGGTTTACTTTTACAAACCTGTGAGTAGGTATGAATAACTTGGTACTTTCTATATGCGTCATACACTTTGTGTTTAGCGACAGCTTTGCTTAAAAGGCTGAAGTTAGTGTTGTACAGTGTACAGTGCTGCTTCATGTTTACACCCACCGGCTGGTCTGGTTGAGGGGCTCTCTGGTGAGAGAGGAGGCCCTGACTGTACCGCTGCCTGGGAGGGAGCGTCTACCCCTGGCCGACTGGGTTTCCTGGGGCATCTCACCAAGACCCTAAAAAAAAAACAATCTCCAGTTAAGATGACGGTGTGACCATTTAGCTAAAGCACCATAAATGTTATAAAAGACATACAGAAAAAAAAGTTGCACCTTTGTCTTGAGAGTGAAGACGGTGTCTCTGACAGTTGGCAGGTCTTTGTTGGGGATGTATTTCTCCAGGATCTTGTCAAAGTCAGGGTGGGAAGACAGGGACAGCAGCATTCGACGCCCAAAGTACCTGTGGGTGGAACCAGTTTGATAGTGTGAACCCAGACACTTAAGTTTAGTTATTAACAGTCTCTCTCTTGCGTAAATTCCAGCTTCCAAGCTGCGATGTCATTGTTGGCCTTGCAGATGTCAGGTCCATAAATCAGCTGTTTTGTTTTTAGATATCCATTTCAGTAATAGTCCTATTTACATACATGGGACAACACAATATTACAAATCTCACCAACAAACCATGGCATCAAAAACAAGTAAAATCATCTCCGATAGAGTCGACAAAAACATTATGAGTTTGGATTGCATTACATTACATTCTAATTTTCTGGTCACTCGGTGGATTTTATGGCACGTGCCAACCATGTAAAATCAGGAAATATTCATGAATCTCATCAAATTTGTGCTGACCTAAAAAGTTAAAATCAAATCCTTGTGTACGAACCTAACTGGTGCATGCGGCAACAAAACCAAAGTGTACCTGGCTTCCTGTGAGGAGTCTTGCGCCAGCTTGGTGACGGCAGGGAGGATTCTGTCGGTGAGATCTTTACCTCCAGACAGAAGGCGGGCAGCACCAACCTTCTCCACCAGATTAGCCAGGTGCTGGGCGGCGCATCTTCTCACCACTGCATTGAGGTGACTATCAGGAGAGGGGAAACCAGTTCAGAAATCAAAAGATGAACAAGTGCAGTGAAACAGCACTTCACCGTGTGTGTGTGTGTGTGCAGAGAGATACACACTGACCTGAGTCCCCCAGAGAGTAAAGCGTTGATGCCACGAGTCGGTGTGCAGTGCTGGACCATGCAGCCCAGTGCTGCCTCTACATCCTGCCTAATGAAGGCGTTACTCTCCCCGGCCTTCAGCAGTAACGATTTCACCGTCCCCTCCAGCTCCTGGTCCATTGCCTTCTCAAGGCGGGTGTACAGGTCGCCCAGCGTGCATACTGCGACCCTCGAGACACTTGACCGCAGGTTCTTCACCTGAATGACACGGACATTATTAATACCTAACGGGGAAACGGGGGCATTCCAGCATTCCGTTACTAAGACACTGAGAAATGAGCTGTAAAATAAAGATATCAAAACATAAATCAGGAGCAAAGCGGTTCAAGTTGAGATAGAGTAAAAAGTAAAAATGATGTAGGAGTGTTATATAACAAGTTATATTACCTCTTGAATGAGAAACAGGCAGACATCATGAAGCCTGCCCTGGAGTGTGTCTGAGTGGTAGTGAGCCAGACTGCGCAGGAACGTCAGACCCTCGATCTTCTTCTCCCTGAAGATGTATAAAAAAATTAAAAAAACGACAACCTCGATAGAACCCCTGGATTTGAGTTATTAGTATGATGGATCTAAGCTATTGTCCTCGGAAGCAGTGCATCTGAGATACTGTAACAAGTGTTTCTCACCAGTCCTCGGAGCTCAGCAGGTTAAAGCTCTGCGTCAGTGCCAGGTCAGGCTTGGAAAACGAACACAGCTCCGGAGGCTCAGAGAGATTTTTCTTGTGACCCACAGCACCAGGGGAAAGCTCATCTAAATGGCCCGTCAGACACCAAACAACACACAGATTCGGTCTCATGTTACATCTCTATCAGTCTGAAAACGAGCGGTGCGTGTGGGCGGCGGTGCATTAACAGCAGGTTGTCAAAACAAAGCATTTTGCCACATTACCCAAAAGCAAGCATCTTATTCACCCATGGCTCCGATGGCTCCGACAGCCTAATTAATGTTTCAACATTTTCTATTAACAAAGACCTGTTGAAGCTCTGGTTCATCCATTTATAATGCGGTGGAATATTGCTAAGCTGCAAGCCAGTGTCGGACCCACTGAGAGAGGACACATAGCAACATTATAAAGCTACACAGTGACACATGATTGAGTCTTTTTAGATCGACTAACCTGAGCTGTGGGACAGCGATGGTCGGGTTCTGTTGAGGCTAGGGGCCCTCCTAAGACGGGACAGGTTTTTGGGGTTCGGGGGCACTGTGGGGGGGCTCGGCTGGTGGGGTGGGGTGAAGCACTTGATGGGGCTTTGGGGTTCCGGTTGGCCGACAGGACTGGTGGGGCTGATGGGAGGCTCATCGGAGAGAAGGTCTGCTTTGGTGGACGCCAGTGTGCTGCCGTTGCGATGCAGATCTACATCAGAAATAAATCATTTCAAGTGTCCGGGTGCAAACGGTATAAACTACATATATGGATGATTTCATTGCTTTAAATAGGATACAATAAAATACATGACAGCAAAATCCAATGTAAAAGTTTAATATGGCAACAAAAGTGATAAAAAA